TGTGACAGCTTCGAGTCAGACTGGTGAGACCCAGAGCAATAGCTCTGGAAGTGGATCCAAAACGGCTGGCATCGCTGCCGGTGTTGTCGTGGGAGTCGTCGGCCTGGGCGCGATTGCTGGCGGTGCCTTCTTTTTCTTCCGACGTCAGAAGAGAAAGGCGGTGGAGGAGGAATACCGCCGCAATGCCGCCATCAACAGTTTCGTGCACCCGAATAAGCCAATCTCCTCGAGTTCTATGTCTGATTCCCGGTGGGATGGCGACTACATGGCTCAGCGCCGCCAAAGTAATGGCAGTATAGCCGATGATGAAGATTTCTCGAGGAGAATCCTAAAGGTGAGTTGACTCGAGGCTTGTGTTTGAGGGTGACACTACGAATTGACATCGTGATTCAGGTCACTAATCCGGACCACTAAACGTTGGGGTGATTTGACTGAACCGAGTCCCTCAAAACGGGAGAGACTCTGCATATGGACCATCAGCCGGCTATCTAGCTTGTCGGCATAATCTTGTATACGTCCTACCTACCTACCATTAACATACCGAGAGTCACTTTCCTCAGCTCCTCGGATTATGACTTTTCTCCATGGGTTATCTTCCTTGCCGGCGTTATGACGATTGAAGTGATGTGCGCAGATCCTGTTCACCAATTCTCTTTTTATTCATCTCCCCGGGCTGGGAAGGCGGGAAAGCTGGCGTGGCAAATGCTTCTGAAGTGGATAGAAGCAGGGTCCGCCGCCGCAAGACTGCGCGTCTGGAACTAATATATTTTAACCTTATTATGGGATTCTTGTGTGTGAGAGTTGTCTTTGCTGCTGACTTCCCCGGCTCATTCGACTTTCGCTCTTTCTCGACGTGGATTTTTCGTCGTGGATTGGGTGAATGACTTTCGAACTTGAATGGTGGAATGGAAGCAAGTTGACAACCGTGTAACAATGGCGTTACTTTGTCTTTTTCCTTTTATGTTTCTTTGGTCACTATACCTTTTTTGAAAAGAGTTTGTCCAAATTAGTGAGCGAGAATGGCGTCCTGTTTTCTATCTTCTTCCTCTTTGTCATGGCACTAATGGCAATTAGAGGGCCACTTTGTTTATCTTCTCTATTTTTGTATCATCCTGCCACCGCGACGAGGAGAGAAGGCCAAAGGCCTGAAACATCTTGCCTTGGAAGCGGAAATGGATTTAGATACAATTCAAGTACATAGCACTATTTCTTCGATTTGGAATCTGCCTCTGGGATTTCTTTCAACTGTAGTGCTTGGTTGCGTACAAGACTTGTAAGAAGTCGACCCTAGGGTATGTACAGTGTAGACTCAGGCATGAGAAATATTTCAGAAAAAAAATTGTCATAGTCATACGACTGACAGGCCTGCCAGGCCTGACTGTCCTGATGCCTGTGGTGATCTGTGGGAACTACGGGCAGAGATCAAAAACCTCACTCTCACTTTGTCTGAAATCTCACCATCAGACTGCAAGGAACGTAAAGGTCCGACATGCCACCAAAAGCACTAGAGACCTGTTGCGAGGATTCTGGAACATGTGACTTTCCTATTTTGGATATAGTCTAGCCATATATAGTAATTTTTATTTACCGCCCTTGTGGCAGAATAAGGTGTTGTTATTGGTCAACAAGCCAAAGGTCGGGTGAGTATAGGTACCTAGTCAGGTGACCCATCTCTCACAACTCTGCATTTTGTCCGAAATCTCAACTGCACAGGTTTGTGAGCGGAGATGTCAGAAAAGCCCCTGATCTCCCAAAATTCAGTTGCGAGGTTTCTGAGTCATGTGACTTTCCTCTTTTAGAATAGATAGAATCTTGACTCTGCATTTTGTCCGAAATTTTGGTTCACAGCTTTTGTGAGTGGAAAGGTCAGGGAAGCCTCCAAGCTGGCAAAAGTCAGTTGTGAGGTTTCTGAGTCATGTGACTTTCCTATTTTAGAAAGTCTAGCTTGACTGTATTTTGTCCGAAATCTTGACTCACAAATTTGTGAGCGGAAAGCTCAGAAAAGCCACTACTCCGTAAGCTGGCAAAAATCTGTTGCGAGGTTTCAGAGTCACGTGAATTTCCTATTTAGGAATACTTGTCTAGCCATATATGGTAAATATGACTCACCGCCTTGTGGCAAAATTGGAGATCACTATTGGCTAGATGAAGGGAGGACAGTTCATGTCAGCGACCAGCGAGAGCTTGGAACGCTGCAATAGTACAAAAATGGACCGGATAATCAACGTTGTATGAACGTCATAAAAGTAAATCTCTGGAGCAAGAAGGCTATCTAGCAAATACGAAGTCTGAGAAGCCTAGGTCTGCATTCCGCTCAGGAGATAAAACGCCTATATGCGGGAGGTTTGCTTGCTACCTAAGGTGGGGTCGAAGGATTTCCTCATCAAGCCAGTCGAAGATGCTGATCTCTCTTTCCAACCATCTGTAAGAGTGTGCACTTTGTTTTCCTTGTCCTCGAGTACGATCAATCATCATCAAAATCATTGTTATTTATTATTTTCTGAATCCTCAAGGACAGTTCTGATTTATTACTGTACTCGCGGACGTTTTCGGAACGTCCCCCGGTCCGGTTTCCGAGGTCACGGGCCGACGCGGGGTGTCGTCGGGTAAGGATGTGGGGGAGGCTGGTGGCTGACTGCTTTGCAAACTGCCGCGGGTGATTGAACATCCATGACTACAGAGTACCTGCGACAGCCGTCTCTAACCGGTGGCAACCTGTAGCATGCGGCGGAGGTCTATGTACGGACTGTTAAGAGGGCAAAGTAATAATTGCATCGTCTTCTACTGCTCTGAAGATATACTGACATATTATTTGTCTTGCAAGCAATAGAGAAGCCCATTTGAAGCCTTCTATTTTTTTTTGTGTCCTCGTTCAATCTTCAACGAAACTTGCGGGCCACATCTCTTGTCGGTCCGGAGAGCGGAGCCGAACCGACGATTGGGAAGAGAACAGAGTACTACTTTGTAATCTCAGCTCCCTTCCACGGAGTTGAGATCTCTGACTAGTCTGCAGGACAGATCCGGCAGATCTCAGGCGCGGGTATTTCCTGGGGTAGGCAAACTAGCTTATTTACCCCGAATATATACTCCGTACGGAGTAATCTTCAGCAGGTCTTTTTTCTGACTTGGAGCTTTCTGTACTGTACAGCCGAAAGGACTTATTGTATTCGACAATAATCACCAGGAAGAAATAAACTGAAGAATACCGACGCTTGCAGACCGCGGAATTGGGCCGGTTATTTACATGCGTCGGGCTCCACCTCCGAATTACCCCGGATTGCATTCCGCCTTCTACTAGATATCGTCTGATAGTGATTGATTACTACCGCACTCACTTTGAAGAAGCAGAAAGCAGAGAGTCAAGAAGAGCTGGACTGTCCCTCTTCAAGATAGCAAATCCATTCACCATGTCCTTTCAAGTTAGGTCTTGCCTGCGACTCGCAAGGCAATTCTCCTCAGATCCTGCAAAGGTAAAGTGTTCTACCCTGGCAATGTATGACGCTGCACGCTGGAACTGACTCTTCTTAGCACCAGAGATTCCTTGCCCGTGCGTTCTCGAGTTCCGTGAGACGAAATGAGATCAACAAGATCCTTCCCTCTGCTGAAGAGGCTATTAAGGACATGAAGCCCAATACGACTCTTTTGGCAGGAGGCTTTGGTCTGTGTGGTGTCCCTGATACTCTGATCAACGCTGTTCGAAAAACCCCCTCGATCACAGGCTTGACTGTTGTTAGCAACAATGCCGGTGTTGACGGTTCCGGACTCGGTTTGCTCCTTGAGAGCAAGCAGATTAAGAAGATGATCGCCAGCTATGTCGGAGAAAACAAGACCTTCGAACGAATGTACCTCAGCGGCGAGATAGAGCTGGAATTGACGCCGCAGGGCACGCTGGCCGAGCGATGCCGCGCTGGTGGAGCGGGAATCCCTGCCTTCTACACTCCGGCTGCATTCGGCACGGTCGTCCAGACCGGTGAGCTACCTCTGAAGCACAACAGCGACGGAACCGTGGCTTTGTACGGTAAACCTCGGGATGTCAAGGTCTTTGATGGCAAAAGCTATGTGATGGAAGAGGCGATCAAGGGTGACTACGCCTTCGTTAAGGCGTGGAAGGCCGACAAGCTGGGTAACTGCCAGTTCCGATACGCAGCCGCCAACTTCAACGGCGCCATGGGCCGCAACGCCAAGATGACCATCGTCGAGGCCGAACACATTGTCGACGTGGGCGAAATCGAGCCGGCGGCCGTGCATCTGCCTGGTATTTACGTCAAACGTGTTATCCAGAGCACCGAGGAGAAGAAGATTGAGAAATACACCTTCGCAAAGGAGGATGACGGTGCTGATATGTCCGCCCTGGGCAATGGGGACACCGCCAGCAAGCGTGAGCGGATCGTCCGTCGCGCCGCGAAGGAGTTCAAGAACGGCATGTACGCCAATCTGGGCATTGGCATGCCCATGCTGGCCCCTAACTTTGTCGACCCGTCTGTCGAGGTGATGCTGCAGTCGGAGAACGGTATTCTGGGTCTGGGCCCTTACCCGAAGAAGGGCCAGGAGGATCCCGATCTGATCAACGCTGGAAAGGAAACTGTCACTCTGCGGCCCGGCGCCGCAGTCTTCGGCAGCGATGAGTCGTTTGGCATGATTCGCTCTGGACGCATTGACTTGACAATCTTGGGCGCGATGCAGGTCAGCGCGAAGGGTGACCTCGCGAATTGTAAGTGACAATTTGTATTTCCTGTATTATACGCATCATGACCAGAACTAACCTGGTACAGGGATGCTTCCCGGCAAAATCAAGGGCTTTGGAGGAGCCATGGATCTTGTCTCCAACCCTTCGTCCACCAGGGTTGTCGTGACGATGGAACACACGGACAAGAAGGGCAATCCGAAGATCCTTAAGCAGTGCGAGTTCCCGCTCACAGGCAAAGCTTGCGTCAGCCGCATTATCACCGAGCTGGGTGTCTTCGATGTCGACTTCAAGGAGGGTCTGACCCTGATTGAAATTGCTGACGGGGTCACGGTTGATGAGATCCGGGCCAAGACAGACGCTCCTTTCCGTGTGGCTGATGATCTCAAGCCGATGCTGTGAAAGTAACAGAAAGAACGATCTCCTTTCTGTCGCTATTTCATACCCGATATTCTGTTGCGATCAATCGTCGATGATGGCTGGATATGACGTCAAATGATGGGAGTGTTAGCTGGTTTTGGTTTTGGTTTTGTATATATGTCTTTCCCCATTTTTGGAATAGAAAAATCTCAGAAATGCCATTGTAGGTTCTTTCCATAGTTCTTCCCCTGATCAGTTCGTAAACCATGAGCAATCAACGCCGTAGTCTAACATATTGTACAAAATCGTAAATCCAAACCGACCCAAAATAGGACATCTAAACAGGGGCTGGGCTCAGTGCGGCTTTGCGTTTCGCCAGATTTGGATAAAAAAAAATCCGGTGCCAACCGTCTGGGCTCGCAGCCGTAACACCACCACTATCCCATGATCGAGAGCGTCCTACTGGAACCTCAACATTCCTTTCAACCTCTTCGCGAGTCTGCCCAGCCAATTTCTATGCGGGGCTTCCTCGAATTCTTTCACCACCGCATCGTAGTGCCCAGGATTGCTGGCGGGATAGCGCAGCTTGTGTGGTAGCGGATAGCGTTTGCTGTAGCGGTTGTCTAGCAGCGAGTAGAGGGCATTGACGGAAGATTCGGAGAGAGGAGACTCTTCTTGCTGAGCTGATCCTCCTTCAGACTTGGGGAGACGGGATTGTAGATAAGTCTGAACAGAGACGGAGGAAGGGCGCACATGATCAGTGGGCCAATGCTTGATAAGGTGGGCGATGCGGGCGTGAAGTGTCTGCGAAAGGCTCTGTTAATAGCGAATAGCCAGATAATATAACTGAACAGATGCGATGGAAGAAATAACGTAACGATCGAAGAAATAACCTAACACCGACAGACAAAAAACAGAGGAGTCTGGGCGTACCGAGGGTTTGGACATGGTTGCTGTCTGCTTGTGAAGACACGGAAATACGCGGGATAAAGAGCGGTTGTAAATCAAATGTACGATATGCTCATCAGACAAGTATTAGAGAATAAAAGAACGGAAATATAATATACATGAACGCAATTGATGGTGTGGTCGAGAATTGGTCAAGAACTTTTCGCAATAACTCCCATTATCGCCGGCCGCAAGCTAACAACCTGGAGATAATTGGACTAGGATTGCTGCCTGACGGACGGGGCAGCAACTGTGGCTCAGGCTGTCAGCCGCGCCACGGGCGCCACAAGCGACTGGGTGACCGCCCCAGACGGCCGGTCGATCATCGCCTCCCCTCGTCATCGCCTGGCTCCATCCCCTTCCATTCACGCCCAGGTCGCATTACTACCTCCATCCTCCTGTCGGCCTCCCACCTTCATTCCCTCCTCTTTTTCCAGTCTGTTGTCTTCTTCCTAGTTTCTTCTCCTTTATACATCTTGTTTTGATTTTCATTGTAACTTTTCCTCGCTCAGCTCAGTCATGAGCTCGCAGCGCTACCAGCGGGTAAGGCAGCCGGGTTGGTTGACCGCTTAGGCAGCCATTTCATCCACGACACAACAGACCGTTTGGCTGGAATATGAGTGCTAAGAATTGAATCAGGTTAACGCCCATGACGAGGACGATGACAGCGAAGTTGAATCCTCCCCGGAGGTTCCAACTCAACCGCAACCGATTCCCTCGTCGCCGCCTCCATCCTTTCACTCACGATCATCATCCCCTTCATCACGTCGTCTCCTTCATGATGACCCCATGCGCAGTGAGGCCGACCAGGAATTGCACGATGCCTTTGATGATGGAAACGAGTCAGATGGGGCCGATGAACCCGACGACAGGCAACGGTTAATGCGGGGAAATCCTACGGCAGAGAATGGGAGCACCAGCGAGAACGCTAATGCCTCCACATCCGAATCCAGAGATGACGGGTCTCGGAATCCACAGACACAAAGGAGAGTGACCATTCTCCCTCCATTTTCCCCAGCAACAACGACATCAAGACGTGTCATGGGAGGCGGCACGACGAATGATGGCGTCTTTAGCAACCTGAACGCCAAACCGGAGAGGGGAGAGAAAGTCGAGGAAGATCTGCCTCCAGTATGTGATGAATATCCTCATAATGTGTAGACACAGTTATTGACCAGCCTCTCTTCCAGTCGTATGAACAAGCCGCTGCAGATGCAACACCCCCTTACTGGGAAACTACAATTATGGCACCCGGCATGTCTTCCGATGAGGTTTATGTCGACGGCTTGCCCGTTGGGTCCGTATTCTCTTTTGTCTGGAATGCCATGATCTCAATGTCATTCCAGCTTGTCGGTTTCCTTCTCACCTATCTTCTGCACACGACTCACGCTGCCAAGAACGGCAGCAAGGCCGGTTTGGGCCTCACACTCGTTCAGTACGGATTTTACATGAAGGGAAGTGGTGAAACAAAATCGGATACCGACGGAGAGCAGTATGCACCTCCACCGGATCCCAATAGTCATGACTTCAACCCGAATTCAATTGGAGATAATGCTGCCGCTGCCGTTGGGGCTCAGAGTCAAGGCGGCGGAACGGACGCAATATCTGCCATCACAACCAGTGAATGGATTTCTTATATTCTAATGATTGTCGGTTGGTTTATCTTGATTCGATCTGTCAGTGAATTCCTGCGTGCTCGACGGCATGAACAGCTGGTATTGCAAAGCCCGGATCGGGGACTCAGCGTTCCTGTCATCGCCGAGGGCGAAAGGTCCGAGACTGTTGTCTAACTAGGGTCATTGGATCTTACGTTTGCAAAAGGGCATAATGTGCGGGCCGGAGCTTGGGAGTTATATTCGACTTTCGTTTTGGTCTCACCGTTTATATTCTTGAAGTGGGATTATTGTTTCCTTGTTTTGCGTGTTAGCAAGACTGCACTGCGTGTAGGGATTTTCTTACTACTTCGAAGATACCAGAGTCATATATACATATACCAGAGTGTACCAATCTTTTCGGTTTTTATGATGTAACAGGTTCGATTTAGCATGCCATGCTGAGGGCTCAGCCACAGGCGCCACGTATGCACACCGTGTTCTATACGAAGCGCTCGCTATTCCGCGCAAAATGACCGGAGCACGCGGTAATTAGCTAACAAATAAGGTTATAGCTTCAGCGAACGACCTGCGCGACCCTACTATGATGAAGTGTGCGCCCCGTGGTCCATGTCAACATTGTCGTTATTGGTTGCGTAGACCAGAAACCAAACGGCCCATGTATCTTTTCTACAGGAATGGTCCCTAGCAGTGATTGTTGCCTCTGTTGCATTGCATATAAATTTGTTTCTGGGTTTCACGGTGTCTGTTGCGTCCGCCGTGACGAGGGGGATCGTCCTTTATTTATCCCCACTATTTACTTGTCGAGTGCACCGGGTTCCAACGCCGCGGAAGGTTATGGACTTCCACTTTCCACACCACAATCAGTACTCCTTCGTGGTACAATCTGAGATCGATGGCGCAGGTTGCCTCCGGCCAGGGACCTGTTGAGGCAAGGTCTCTGTCGTCAATTACTGCGATAGCCTCCAATCCCCCCGCATATCCGCGCAATCCGACCCAGCAACCGCTTGATCCGCTCGTGCTGTATATTGTCCGAGTCCCGGGGAGCAGAGGTAAAGATAGACGATTTTCTTTCCCTTTAACACTTTTTTTCCCGCATGATCTTCTATGTTCATCGGAAATATTCTAATGAGACAGAGTTTGTGACCTGATCAGACGTGTTCTTGACTCCTCTCAAACCTCCGACGAAGTCCAGTGTATCCGCCGAGGCCATCAATTCATCTCTATACTATTTGCATGTTGCGAGCGCAGAGGATGAGGCCGTGTTGCGAAGAATTGAATTAGAGCGCGATCAAGAGCGGCAAGAAGCTGCTGCTCGCAGAGAACAACCGGCGAATCGATTGCCTGCCGCAGTTCTTTCGCGGTTGAACAGTTTCCGTCGCAAACCTGTTGGAGGGAATACAGAGCCGGTTCCTCCCCCACCACCGCCGCATCAAGAGGGAGTCGAAAGTACCCGGCCAGCAAGCTCTGATTCTATTCCACAGCAACCTGTCTCGCAACCTAACCAGACGTCCGAGTATCGACCTTATCGACCAGATCGACCAGAAGCTGAGAATGCGCATACGGAGGATCCGATCAAGCAACCGGCGCCTGGTGATCGACCGGTCCGCTCCACAACGGAGTTAAATGACAATACAAATCGATTTCGCATTCCACGCCGTCCTCTTACTTCCTTGCCCAAGCAAACTGACTTGTCGCCTGGCGTTGCAGGTGGTAGTGCCCAACATCAAAACAGGTGGAGCGCAGACCTTGGATACTCGCATAAGTGGCCTTCAATAGCTAGTGACGACACCAATTTACGCTTTCGGTCAAGTTTGGATTCTCAACGACCCCAAGCAGTGCCAAATCTGTCGTCCAAAGACCCTTCACTCAGGGAATACGGTGTGCCTGCTGCCGACTCCCACCGGCGGAAGACGGATAGCGCACGAGATTCTAGTTTCCATATCACGCTTATCCGCCGAGACCCTAGCCACGGGAGCCAGTGGAATGTTGGGACCATATCTGGGTCTGACGCGGACAAGAGTGCGATTGAAATCGAGATCTCTACACCAGGATATGGGAGATTTGTGAACAACGACGACCCCCTGTCACTTGCCAGCTTAGGACTGAACCTTCCCTTGGCAAGCCGTGATGGGCTCTCTTCATCGACATCAACCATGCCAGCTTCTATCCCAGCCACAAGGGCCGAGAATGCTCCATCTGGGACGGATGTTGGTCCGAAGAAATTCCGCCGAAAAGTTCTGGCTGTCAGCCACGGTCATGGTCACCGACATGACGATTCGAGACAGTCTGTCGACCGGACGAACTCTGGGGTAGCTGAATCTCACATTTCGGCCAAATTCGTGCCTCCCAGAGTGAGGAGCGGCTACTACACGTTCACCTCGCCGTGGAACGGCACCTGCTCATTCGTCGCCAGTGTCAATGGCCGTAGTCTGAAATGCAAACATACGATCCCTGGACCGTCGACGAGTGCCGAGAATCCGGCAGTGACCGTGGCCGAACTACGATTCAATGTCCCATTTCCTCTGGGCATCCACCCCACGGCCATCACCCATCTCCATCTCCTTCTCGGAGCCCCGGGAATGACAAAACCAAGCGCAGCTCTCTAGCGCAGATTTTCACCTCGAATTTACAACGTGTGCGGCACGCTCGCCCAGGCTCTCGATCTGGTCCTGAATCACCTTCTGGACGGTCATCATTTCATGTCCGCATGCATTCTGACACCAGTTCTGACGATAATACGCCGCCTGGAGCTGATGAGGACCGGCTCGATCTGTCGCTGGCGCGAGAACACGCTGGTGGTGGGTTGCGCGGTAAAAGCGCCAAGCTAGGGAAGCTGATTATCGAAGACGAAGGGATCAAGATGCTCGACCTGGTCGTCGCCGCTTGTATGGGGGTTTGGTGGCGGTCTTATTACCAGCCCTGATGTGTCCGTTGCCCAGCCACTCTGCGCGTTCGAGCCGGTGCTTCTCTCTCTCTCTTTTTTTGCACCTTTGTCTTTCATCACTGTGGATGAATGACACTATGAAATATGTGTGGCAGAGTTATGAGATATGCTGATCTTATTTGATGATGCCTGTAAAGTAGATCTATGACCCATCTTTTTTCAAAGCGATCGTTTCAGATACATAGCGATAGCATGAAATTAGCATGAGATATTTTCTGCCACTTTCTTGCACATACATTTCATTTCTTTTCTTTTCTGCTCTTCTCTCTCAGACTACAGACAGAAACATACACCCCCCATTTTCCGGCCTGACCAGATGGATCATGGAAGGCCTTTCTGAATTCTTATGTCTCGCATTGTGGCCTGTCCTCTGTTTAGCTCGACTTGGCCTGCGGAGCAATCACTTAGTCCTGTGGGTCTGGATTCTGGTTCCAGTAGTCGTTCTGTTACACTCTTCCAGCACTTCCTCTTTCAATTGCGCATGGGATGGTCCCTATAGATTGTGTCGGACTACAATTATCCGTCATGCGTCTTTTTTTCTGTTTAGCCTTGTGGTACGGAGGACCTCTGGAGGGGAAAAGTGCCAATGCTGTTGGGACTAATATTTAAGGCTGAAGCGGAGTCAACGCTCGAGCGACCTTAATTAATTGACTCTCGACCACTGGCCTGGCAGCCCTGCCCCTCCGGCTTCATGCCCTGAAACATCAGCCGCACGGTGTTTGCAGCTAAGAGTATGAATGATCCTCTCTGGACTGTCCTTCTTATTTATTTATCCCTCATAGGGAGGAGCAGTGTGTTCTTTCCCACACGTGCAGTGGGACCAGGCGCGCTTTCCTAGATCCTTTCAAGCCACAGCCATTGCAAGGTCGCAATAAGAATCTCCTGCTGGGAAAGAGCTACCGGCACTGAGCGCGCTGGCCCGCTCTCGACCAATCGCGGCGGACAGACGGCGTCCTGGTTGCTCCTTCCCAAAGTTACCAGCCGGACTGGCCCTGTCGCTCTCCACCGCGGCCCCTCAGCCCCTCGGCGCCGGCCACTTCCAGGACATCCATCACCATACAATATCCATCTCACCTCATCTTCGCCCTGGTCAATCGTTCTCCTGTCCTGGTGACTGTCTTCTCCTTCGTCCTCCTCTTCTGCGCCTTCTTTCACCACCCTTTGCGCCTCCCTCTCCTCACGGCTGGGACCCTTTGTCCAGACCGTTCCTGCCTGTCACACCGGCTGTTTTGGCTGTGGAGTCAAGAACGGAGTGATCAAGCTGCACGCCTGCAGCTTCCGTTCACTTGCGCCGCCTGGCAGACACCCAATCACTTGGTCCCATCTCTGCCCCTCGTTTCCCCTCCCTTTTTCTCCAACCCCAAGGCTACCCTGAGATAACCGCAACGGGCTCTGCTGTCGCGTCCTGCTTTCGATCCTCTCCCTCACTCCCTTTCCCCTCGAGAGACAGGGAGACAACGTCGCTGGGTTTCCCATTCGTTGATGTGGTGCTGGGAGACGTTGCCGGATCGTTTATCTCGTCTCCTTCAGAGCTAGTTGCGGGCCTTTCGTTATTCCACTGCCATCTCGACCGCTGACTTGCGTCAGAAACACTGTGTCAGTGCTCTCGCGACTCTTCTGACCTGAGTCAGGGAATCTTTTCAGTGGTATCTTGTCGTTGGCAATTCGGAACGACCATTGCGACCCGAGTTTCCCTCGCTTTTCAGTATCCATTCTCCAGACAGCAGAGCTCAAGGCGAAAAGATTGATCGGCTGAAGCAACCATGTCGTCGGATTTACACTTACAAGGCCGTAAAGTGTTCAAGGTCTTCAACCAGGAGTTCATCGTTGACGAGCGATACAATGTGACCAAGGAGTTGGGTCAGGGTGCCTACGGTATAGTTTGGTACGCAGTCCACTTCATCTACTTTTGGAGGCAACATGTTACTGTCCCCCATGCCATGAAAAGTGCTCTCCTGGTTTATCTGGTTTTGTTTATCCTTCGCAAGTAGACTTGACTAATGAACAAGACGGATGCAGTGCCGCAGTCAACACGCAAACCAACGAAGGCGTTGCCATCAAAAAGGTCACAAATGTATTCAGCAAGAAGATTCTCGCCAAGCGCGCTCTGAGAGAGATTAAGCTGTTGCAGCACTTCCGAGGTCATCGTAATGTTCGCCCCCCAATTGCATACCCATTCGCCGGTCGGAGCTGACCTGGCGGACTAGATCACATGTCTGTATGACATGGACATTCCTCGACCAGACAATTTCAACGAGACATACCTTTATGAGGGTAGGTAAATGGCTGGCGTCGACCTCATTTCGAGTTTCCGACGACACCAATCGCTAACCTTTTCCGCAGAGTTGATGGAGTGTGACCTCGCGGCCATCATTCGCTCAGGCCAGCCGCTGACGGATGCTCATTTCCAGTCCTTTATCTATCAGATTCTATGTGGTTTGAAATATATTCACTCCGCCAATGTCCTGCACCGAGATTTGAAGCCGGGTAATCTCCTCGTCAATGCCGATTGTGAACTCAAGATTTGTGATTTCGGACTTGCTAGAGGCTTCTCCATGGATCCGGAGGAAAATGCTGGATACATGACGGAATATGTTGCAACCAGATGGTACCGTGCTCCCGAGATTATGCTGAGCTTCCAGAACTACACCAAAGCAAGTATGTTGTCCAATTCTTCCAATGAGTGGCTGCTGCCAATGCTTACCACACTCACAGTTGACGTTTGGTCGGTTGGCTGCATTCTGGCCGAGTTGCTTGGAGGCCGTCCGTTTTTCAAGGGTCGCGACTACGTTGATCAGCTCAACCAGATTCTTCACTATCTTGGAACTCCCGCCGAAGAGACGTTGTCTCGTATAGGGTCTCCCCGTGCGCAGGAGTACGTCCGCAACCTGCCGTACATGCCTAAAATCCCCTTCCAGCGTCTTTTCCCTAACGCGAACCCTGATGCCCTTGACCTTCTTGACCGCATGCTCGCTTTCGATCCATCCCAGCGTATATCAGTCGAGGAAGCTCTTGAGCATCGCTATCTGCACATCTGGCACGACGCCTCGGACGAGCCTGTGTGTCCCACGACTTTCGACTTCCAATTCGAAGCGGTGGATGATGTCCAAGAGATGCGCAAGATGATTATGGATGAGGTGGTCCGGTTCCGTGCGCTTGTCAGGCAGCAGTCGCAGGCCGCTGTTGCCGGTCAACAGCAGCAGCAACTGGGCCAGCAGAACAATGTGCCAATTCCCGAAAACAGTAATGGTGCTTGGAAGCAAGACGAACCCCGGCCTCAGGAGGCGATCGCCGCGGGCGGCCACCCGAACGACCTTGAAGCATCGCTGCAGCGAGGAATGGACGTACACTAATCGGTTTCATAAGAGACGTGTCGACCCGCCGTTTCCTTCGCTTGGGTTGACTAACTAGCTGGTCCACCCTTTGTCAGCGTCTTGTTGTTAGATAATTTCAGTTCTCTCTTTTTGATTGATTCCCCCTCACTCTTGAATTTTGAGCTTTGGATCAAGAGACTGGCTGGCTCAGATCGACTTGTGTGATACTGTCCTGGATTTGATCGGACGGACCATCCCAGCTTTTTAGATAACTTCTCCCCTGCATGCGAAATAGCAATCAGCCTTTTTTTTTGTGTGTGTCATGGTGTACAGTCTGGAAAAGAGTACAGATCATGCTTTCAATCTTGGCCAAGTTCTGCTCTATGTAAAAAACACATGAGAATGGAAAAGAATATACTGAGAAATAGCATTTCACACAAACCAGGGAACCTTGTCGAAGGCATAGAATGAGCATGCGAAATAATTCCTTCAATCTCGCTCCTCCTCCTCCTCCTCCTCCTCCTCCTCCTCCTCCTCCTCCTACTTCCCCCATAATAAACTCGACTACAATAATCCCTCTCATCATCCATTTCCGAGATAAGTATATGTTCTTGCTGAAGGCAATAGATGAATAGTATTACAGTAATCAGTAATAATCAATCCAACCCCAAACAAAACAAGCACAAGCCCACCACAGGAGGGAAGGAAGGAAAGGAAAGGAGTATGCCAACGGTGGATTCTTTTCTCTTTTCATAAATCTGGTATCACAACGTGCATACAGTCAGCACATACATACATACATACAAATGCGCTCCAAAGGAAAATGTACAGTACACATAACTTAACAGAAAGACAAATTCGGAAATGGAGAAGAGGAGAGAGAGAGGGAATTCCGTATTCATTCATTCCATCAATCAATCATGAATTGAAAACCAAGGCAAAAAAAGACCAAAAAGAAGAAAGAAAAAGAAGAAACGGTATTTTCATGTCATGTCATACATGTTTGGTATCAAGCTGTTCGTTCGAACGGTTCGGTTCGGTTCCCAATCAAGTAATCAAGTAATCAATCAATCCATCAAGCATCAATCAAGCAGTTGCCACCGTAGATTCCTTCCATTCATCATTTATCACCCCTTTCTCTTTTTTTTTCCCCGTTTTCCTTTTCACCACCCTTCCTTTCCTTTCATTCATTTCAGGTCATTGAGTTCACTCCCGACTGGTCGATCGATCGACAGACAGACAGACAGACCGGGTCTTTCTTTCTTTTTAATGCGTGTCCGTGTGATTAAGGTTAAAGGTACAAAAGATCATAAGATTATGAGATCATGAATAAAGGGTTTCCTTTCCTTTTTTTTTCCACCATCAGATCTACCAGGGTGCTATACCAGGGATAGACAGCTGGCGAAGACGTCGTTTTTAGGTGGGATGCGTATTATTCCATCTCGTCTTCCAAACCCTTGCGTTTCAGTGGAATTGAGATTGGAGATGTTGTTGCGGCGGGTAATGGATTATTATTCCCCTCGGAGCCTACCATTGCACGTTCAGGCTTGTCAGCTGTGCGGTCAAATTACCCCACCAGCAAAGAGCCACTTTGGTTGTGTGGTGCTTTTTCCTCTCCGAGACTGCCCGGATTAGATTGAGTATTGTTCGTACCTGCCGGGTTGCTCCCACTCCATGCTTCCTCGTACGACGGTGGATCCGTGTCTACGTCCATGGTTGCTGAACTTGTTGGGGCCGGTCCATCGACCATCGCGCTCGGCGTTCGCTCGTTCAGCGTGGAGCTTTGCGCGGTTTCGAAGATTTCTCGGCAAACAGGCTCGACAAGACGATCCTTCATGGCGTTGTTCACGTACACCAGGAAGTACGGCGTAGGAGGATTCACGCGACCTTGATTTTCGAAGATCTCCGCAGGGTTCTTGACTTCCGTGACTTCACTGTCGTTGTACTTGCGCCAGATATTCTTCTTAAAGTCATAGATGTAGATGTAGTAATGTCCGAATTCCACGGATCCTTGGTGCATGAACACCGCGTACAGGCGGTATGCCAGATGCTTGTAGTCCGCGAACTGAGTCTCAATCATCGTCTGAGTATTCTTGATTTCTTGCTCGACAACTGCAGACCCCGTCAGCTTGGTAACTAGAAGCTTAATCTCAAAAAGGAAATCATACAGGCTGTCTCGGTTTTCGTGATCTGAGAAAGTTGTTCAAGCTCGGAAATTAGCTGTGTACTGACGTCAATAGAATACTCAGCACTATTGGGATCTTCCTTCATGGAGGCCAAGTCCTCGAGCAGAGCCGTCGTGGTTTCGAAAAGGCTTGACATGTCTTGACCATCGTTCTCCTGCAACAGTCGTCAGTTTCTTATTGAGGCTTTCATGGATGCAGAAATTCTCTCGCTTACACTCAGACGTAGTAATTCCGCTCTGCGACTCTCGAGGGTTTTCAGGTTCTCCTTCCATTGCCAGCATTGCCGTCGTCGGTTGATAATTTCCGCCTGCTGCGTGTCCATGTACCTGTCAAGATAGATCGTCTCCTTCAATTCCAGATGGTGGGTTGACTTGAAGGAAGTCTTCTTGACCGGATCGAATTGCACCCGTTGAACTTGAATCTGGAGGATCGGCGGGAGTTTACTGATCGAGCCAAATTGCTCTGCCACTTCACCATCGACAAACACCTTCTGCGCATCAAAGGCACCGTCTATGGCCGCATATATGTCGCGAGATCCTGTTGCAACATCAACTTTGATGTCTGACCATATCTCCTCCTTCGACCGAACGCCTCGTTCCGCCGTGATGTAAGATATCGTTTTACCGTAGAATAGACTAAAAAAGCAGGCAGTCAGTATTGTAATAGACGCTTCGGTCTGGACGGAAACCTTACTCCTTAATCTGATCAAGCTGTTCCCCATCCGGAGCGATGTCCCTCGGCTTGATGGCACATTCGCTCTGGAAGAGCACATTATTAATCACTTCCGTCACGTCCTGTTGAGCCCCAATCTCTACTTCCTCAATGAGCTGTTTCTGCCGCTCCGATTCGGAAGGACGTGGGGGTACCGGCGGTGGTCGATTAGGTGGCTCCACAGGACTAGTCGACGGATTATCAGCGTCAGCGGGTGGTGGGGGTTGGTTCTCCTTGTTATCTGCTGGCGGCGCTTGCGACTCTGGTTGTGCACTCTCCGAGACAAGCGTTGCTTCGCTCTCTATGTCACTTGCTGTCACCTCCTTCGAAGGTCGTTGCTCTTCAGGAGCTTTCGAAGCCTGATCACTTTCACCAGCCTCGGTAGTCTGGGGTGGACCCAGAGGTCCCATCACGGGCAAACCGTTGATCTCACCAAGACCACCGGGTCGCTTTCCCGATACCGTGGATCTGCGTCTAATTGCCGCCTCGTTTGTAGAGCTTATCAACGTCAACCTTGCCAACTCCTGCTCAGGTCTGACGGAAGAATGCGGCGAAGTGATCATGTTTTGAAAGAGAGCCCGAAGTTCCCTGAGGACTGAAACACGATCAGCCTGGAATCATAGTGATACCGGGGAACTTACATTTCTGCGAACGCTCAACCTCCTGCCTTGAAACTTTGCGGGACCCCACTTTTTTATGCTGCAAGCTCTCATCGTCTAGCTCTGTTTTGTAGTTCTCGAAATCCAGAACCATCTCACGATAAGGACGGATCGTAAAATAGAACTGCAGTAAGCTATTGAGGTAACAAGTGTTCCCTATATTCTGCAGTCCAACCGGCCATTCGCACAGGTTACGATCGGTCTGGACAGTCGAGCCTGAAATGTAACTGCGGAGCATCGGGCTGTTTTTCTCTTTGGCGATGATTTCTAGCGCTCGTGAATACGTTTCAATCTGAGCCGGGGCTTCGTCTACGCAAATCGTATATGCCGCGATGATTGCTGCATCGTCGACTGTACGATCTGGTATCTGAAGCAGGCGATAGGCGTCACCCACATCCATCTCACCCGCTCCAGTCTCACCTGTCTTCAGAAAATGCTTGAGGGTGTCGGATTTCCGCGCTTCGGCTATGAGTTCAACTGCACGCCGAGCGAGATCTTTGCTGCTCGGGCTATCACTGATCTGTAACACAAAATTTCAATGTCAACTTGGGGTCATAACTTAAAAAACGGAGATTGGCGAGTTCTGGAAAAGCTGAAGGGTTCTTTACCTTAGCAGTGTACATGGTAATAATAAAATCATCTGAAGTTTGCTCGTCGACTCCAAGGAACACAAGAGCTTGTTCGACAGTTGAAACTCCTGACGAAATGGTCAGATGGGCCCTTATTGAAATTTTAACAGCCCCGGTTGAGACTCACTATCTTCCGCAGCGGACTTGATGCGTTCGCTTCCTCTGTAGTCACCTATTCGCCATAGCTGTTGCCGCGTTTCAGTTTCAGTTTCCTGCGTCGTTGCGCTCAGAAAAGCATGGAATTTGCCGATTATATTTTCTTCTGTGAGATTGGGATCATGCGGATCAAGACCAAAATATTTGTACGCCTTGATAACATCCTCTTCCGTGTACCTGCCTTCGCTATAGGCTATCATGACAGCCTGTTCAATGGTCTCGCGGTCAGGCCCTCCTCTTAAATCGCCAATCACTTTCAAACATTTCAGATAATGTGGCGCTCTTGCCGGATTGACCGATACTTGGCGATGATAGGCTTCGATAATCAAGGAAGAGGACATATCCTCAACTGTACCAAGATCTTCATAGCATCTAGAAATAAAACCGTTAGAATAATCTGTAAACTTCAGGGTTGGAGACGAGAGGGGAGACCAACGGTTCTCCGGGCATCTCAAATTCAATTACCCTCGATGCCCTTGGATCTGTTATATATTAGCTCAAGGTCGCCCGGGGGTAGATGAGTTTTGAAACACGAACAATTTAGAGCATCAAGAGCGTAGAATAGGTCGTTGCTAGCTGGAGTTGTTGTCGGTATGGTGTACGGTATCTTCTTCTCAGCTGGCGGGCGCTGGTCAATCAACGCCGACAACTCATGCAGAACATCATCGAGGAAGATGTTAATTTCATCTTGATACGGTGGGACAGCGGAAGTGTTTGGCTTGGGAGGTTCCCAGAAACCATCGTTCTAACGGAGAAAAGAAAATCGTTAGAGAAAGACACTTCCACCGAGTATGCACCAAGGCACCTGAGTCACCAACCTTGTCCCGGAACTCCAGAAACTCTAATAGGTCTTTGCATGCTTTTCCTTCAACTCCAAAGCAGACCACAAATCTTTTGTTCATTGCAGAGATCGGTTTACTCCGTTGTGGCTCATGGAGCGCATTGTGGATATATGTGCGAAGGTTATCCAAGACATTGACAGGAAGCGGCCTTGCAATACCCTCTAAGCGCTCAGGGTTGGCTGCAATAGCTTCGTCGGCCCTCTTCTTAAGCAGCTCCTGATCGGTCAAAAGCTGTACCCACTCAGGACCAAGCACCGGGGACACCATGCGTAAAGAGACAACCGCTGAGCATGTCGGATAGGAACACTCGTAATGAAAGGTTTCCACCAGCTGGCCCTTTGGGGTAACCTCCGCCGTAGATGGTCCGACTCTCTGTCGTCCAGACTTGTACACCAAATGATGGATATGTCCAGGCAAGTTCGTACTGGTCGCACTTGTGTTGTGGACCACTACCTGCAGATGATAGCGACACCGGGAACAAATGGCAGAGACTTTGGAAGCAGTTCCAGGACCTCGCCTCTGCTCCGGGGGAGGCAAGAAGGTCTGATTAGGCTTGGTGATGTAACTGTGTTTGCATGCTGCCGGAGACACCCATTCCAGCGGTCCATTGTATGCTTCGGGAAACACAGGAGGAACTTCGGAGAGGAGATTGCGACCTGACGCAGGAGGATGGTCCGGATCATACAGCGCAATATCTTGCAGAAGTCGGGGAGCAGTCTTGCCTGCGTGGCATCAACCTATCAGTACGATGCAGCTTCTACGAAATGATCGAGATACCGACCTGCTCTCTGGTTTGGGGGAGACATATGGAGATAGTCTGGATCTCAAAACCTCTGCGACGCCGAGCAAGATAACCTGAGAACGTCTTGGGACTGCGCCAGCAAGCTAGCTGCCACGCTGCGTCGAGAAGCTCAGAGTCCGGACCGCAAGTTCCCGCAGCGCATGTAGTGGGTGGGGATGGCAGTCGTGACAGAACAATGGTGTTCGCGATACAAATGAAGCTCTGCAAAATTTTAGCTTGAGTCAGCAGCACTATCAAAGCTACTCCAAGGCATGGCGCGTCTGTTGTGGTGCGGTCGCGACCAGGTAGGTTGTTGAGGGGCACGGCTCACCTAGGCAAGCAAATGACGCCGAACGCCTGAACGATACAACTTCGCACGAGTTGCAATATCCAGGGTGCAGGGGATGCTTTAAAAAGACAGACCAGATTTACAATGCCAGTGGAATAAAAAGAAGAGGGAGAAAGAAGAAAAGGAAAGTGTTGCGACCTGTCTTGACACTTATTGCTTTTATTTGCCTGCCTGTCTGAACGCTGCTTGCTGCGGAACTGCCTGTACTAATGCCAAGCTTTCCATGTTTCGGTCCATGCGCTGCTGTTCATACAGCAAACAGAACCATGCAGGATAGATACATTTGATGCGGCTCTCTTCTGTCGATCATTGCCTTTCCTCTACTATCTATCGCCTATAGTGATGCTGAAATTGCAAAGCAGATATATTATGATCGCTTAATTCTCCAGGTATCTTGAGTGCTACGTCATTGTTGAAGGGCATCCTTTCCCGTATTTTGACAGCGCCACTACCTCACTGTTATCTTGCCTATCAGAAATACCTGTCTGTGATCATGGAAAATAAATCATCAAGCATATGGTCTCTAAGTGTAGGCAGGGCCTGTAAGAACCGAGATAGGTAGCCCCAACTGCTTCTCCAAGGCATTAAGGGCGAGCCTCCTGTCAAGGCATCAAATCCAGCTATCATCGACAGGCATATAAGGCTGTAAATGATGAATGAAGAAATCTGATTGGGACTAAGTGAGACAGAGAGAAGGGAATATCGACTGTCTGAGGGTCTCTTTCAAAAGCAGCAGGCGGTGTCATCCGGCAGAATCGACCCCGTACCACCACCTCCCAAACTCAACATCGGCACCGAACAGAAGAAGGCCCTTCTCCAGGCAGTAGCGCATTTTCCATGTGCTCCAGCTCACCATGGCTTCCCAACAGACGGAAGTGAAGGTCTACCAGCCCAAGGATGCAATCTCGGCGGCACTCAAGACGACTGCGCTCACTGGAACGGTCGGGCTTTTTGCGTCCGCGGTGCAGAATACCCTCGTCAAGCAGAACATCGGACCATGGGGCGTGTTCGTGAGGAGCGGCGGCACAATTGGTATCATGGGTACGTGGTACTTCGGGAATGGCACAATTGAAGGAAATATGGCTTGGTTGCTGACTGCGCTTTTTCCAGCGGCAATGGGTGGTACCTATGAATTCGTGAAGACGGCGTCGGCAAACCTGCGAGAGAAGGAGGATCATTGGAACGTTGCATTGGGAGGCTTCTTCTCCGGCTCACTCCTGGGTCTTCGAGGTTCGTTTTTTTACGATTTCTTAACAATAAGCGACTGTCAAATCGCCTGTGGATGACTGACATGTGGTGTAGCCCGGACCTTCCCGGCGCTGTTCGGCTACGGTGCGGCCCTGGCAGTCGCCCTGGGCGCCTTTGAATATACTGGAGGTACCTTGTGGGGTCGTGACAAGGATCCAAACGTGGATAAATTCGAGGAGTTGGAGAAGTTGCGGAAAGCCTACAGAACTCCGGCTGAGGAGACATTTGCGGAGCTCGGGGAAGGGAGAGGTACGTGTTTCGCAATCAGACCACTGCATGACGGCAGACAATATGAGCATGAAATTGACATAGTTCTCAGGTATCTATGCCCCTGGATACGCCGAGCGACGCCGCCAGAGAATCAAGGAGGCATATGGCATTGATGTGCCCGTTACACAACCGCCTGCATCATGAGACAGCACTTCGACTCTTCATGTAGATTACTTCCATTCTCGGGCGCCAAGAGGGCCCATTCGACGCATCATTAGTATTGTTTCCTTAGGTCTCCAAAGTGCAATGGCAGCTGTTTCTTTTTTTTTCTCCAACATTTCTTCCATCAACCGGTTATTGACCTGGGAGGTAGCAGTTACGGTGAACAATCCAGCGATTACAGCAAGCCACGCCTTGATATCTTCTTTCCACACACACAGAGGAAACAGCTGTGGAAAGGTTATTAGAAGCAGTGTATTATATATGGCTTGTTCGGGAGAAAGGAAGTGTAAACCCAACAAGCCAAGCATGTATTTGGGACAAGATGGCTTTTGAGGGCCAGCACCCTTACCTCTACACTCTCCCAGCCTCCAGATGTGTTCTAATCTTGTTTCGTCTCTGACCTCCTCATCCCTTGTCCTTTGGTAAGGGTGGTACATTGTCATTGCGGATCTTGGCGGCTTCGGACATCGGCAACAGCAGACTTCGAGCCTGTGGGTATTAAGGTCTCTCTTTGAACAGGTCTGCTACCCTCTCAGTCTGAATAGAAGGGATCACCACCACAGAGAAGTCAGTATAACTGCACATTGGTCGGGAAGCTACTGTCATGGACTCATGGCAGCTAGGGATCTTGATAGCAGGTGGAGCCAAGCGAACGTGCATCCCTCGATCTGCATTGCATCCCGTGCGTATAATGATAGCTGCCATGCGCATTGGACAGAGCCGAGGTGCTGTGGAAATCGAGGAGTGATAGTCTGATAGTCTGCTTGAGTGGCTGAGGAGTTGGCTGGCGCGATGGCTCCCGCAGGTCCCGTGCCTGCCGCTGCCGCCATTCGCTGGCCGCCGTCAAGACTCCAGACTCACCGACAGTTGATGACGTCGAGGACTCGGCAGTACTGCGCTTGTCTGCAACTCTGTACGGCCGACTTCCATGACTTCACTGCTGAGCTGAGGCCCGGAGATCATTTCGGGATCTCTCCTTTTGTGGAGCTCTGAGGAATTTCAATAGTAACCCATTGATTGGGTACGCTCCGTGCCCGCGACGAAGCAGGCTCCCGAGTCTCGGACTCTCGATTCCCCAGCAATGTGGATACCGCAGCGAGATGCTGGCGCGCAGACGGCAGTCCGGGGCTGCATGTCGCGTTAACTGGCGATCGCATCGCTAGCATGTGTGTGAGCACCTGTTGTGACGCCGTCCTGTCTCGACCTTTGCAGCGCGGGCAACTTAAAATTAGCTATTAGCTAGAGCCTAGGCGGGCGTCTGGATTCCTGGAACGTCTGGAAGATCGAGGATTCCCGCCTGGAGCGACGGTCGCGCGCACCTCCACCCGGGGGCAGGCCGGATCGATCATAGTGTGCTGTAGCGCGGCGGTGGATGTGCCCAAACGCAGACGTCATCCGCAACCGTCACCATCGCAACTCAGCTGGCTCCTCCACCTCCCCCCTTTTCGGGCGCTTGCCCGTTTCTGCTCCGCCTGGCCCTCGATGCCTGCTCCGCCTTCCTCCCTCCGTTCTTCTCCTGCTGCTCCTTCTCCTGTCTCGTCTTGTCTGCCTCCAGCTCGATGTCTGGTCTGCGGCTGTAGCCTACCGTTGATGGCGGGGCCCGGTGCGTCGTCAGTCTGATTGCTCGCCCCGAACCGCAAGCTCGCTCTCCCCGCAGCAAACTCTCCTCCAGGCCTGAGCCCCGTCCGCCTACGCAACGACTGCGCCCGCTGCAGCGGTGGCGCCTGCGGTGGTAGTCACCGCCATCACGGGCTCTTCAGTCCTGACTGTCAATTGCTCGCTCTTTCTGGATTCCCCTCGTCTGTCTCTGTGATTCTTGTTGTCGCTCTGCCGACGCGTGCCTGCCATGACGATGGCTGCTCAACCACAGCCTCCTTCGCACGACGGCTTCGGCTCCGTCCCATTGCCCAGCGACCCTGCGCATTTGAGTAGAGGATATGGTCCCGGATCAGGATCCCGGCCGAATTCATATGTCGCCAATTCTGTTGCTCCGTCGGACTACGGCGCTGCGCATGGAGGCCTCGTCGATCCATCGCCGCTGGCGCACTCGACTCGCTTCAATGAGGAGCTGGATGCCAGCCAGCGAGGCTCGTCGCTGCTCGATGGTGTGCCCTCGAGCGCTGGCTTACAACGGAGTGAATCGCAGTTGTCCCACCACAGCTTGGCCCCGTCTCGCGGCGGCACGCTGAAGAAGAAGCCCTCGTTAAGCAAAAAGGGAAGTCTCAAGCGCAGCAGCAGCAGAAAAAGCCTCCGTGCCGGCAGCGTGAGGAGTCTCCATCTCGGCGAGAAGGAGAAGTATGGCGGTGAGGATGTCAACAGTGCTTTCTACGTCCCCATCCCAACTGGTGGGAGCCCTACAGATGAGCTCGCGAACCGATTTCAAGGCAAGTCCCCTTCGTCTGGTGAGCGCGAGATTGGGAGAACTAACGGGAAAATAGCTTGGCGCAAAGTCCTGAAGGATCTGATTATCTTTTTCAAGGACATCCAGAAATCGTACGAAACGAGGGCAAAGCTGTTACTGTCGGCGTCAAATATTATCAATAACATGACTATGCCTTCGACGTTCCTGGAATCAGGTGGGCTGGGGGATGCGACTGAAATTCTTCGGAGTTACCATAAGCAGGGTCTGATTGAGGCCAATAGAGCGAGGGAGGTCGAAAACGAGGTCGTGATGCAGCTGACCGGCCTACGGAGTGACCTTCAACAGAAGACAAAGGAGATCAAGAGTTTGTCCGGGGATTTCAAGAACAACGTCGATAAGGAGGTCGAGAGCACGCGAAAGGCGGTCCGGAATTTGCAGGAAACCCTTGGGCTCGTCGACGTCGATCCGTCTGCCACGTCCGGGAAACATGATCCGTTCATTCTGAGGTTGGGTGTACAGAGGCAGCTTGAAAGACAGATTGAGGAGGAAAATTATTTGCACAGGGTAGGCTCTTTTCGTTTTACCCTTTCCTGGTTTTGTCAGTGTTGACCTGAGCTAGGCACATCTCAATCTTGAAAGTTCGGGTCGCGAGCTGGAGTCAATAGTCGTTGGCGAGATTCAGAAAGCATACAATGCATACGCCAGCATTCTCAAGCGGGAGGCGGACGAAGCCTACGACGTAGTCGAGAAGCTTCGGGCCGGCCCTATCTCGATGCCCAAAGACCACGAATGGAACAATTTTATCGCCGGAAACGATCAATTGGTCGATCCCCGGATTCCGCTACGGAGCCTCGAGAACATCACTTACCCTGGGAAGGACCATCCCGCTGCTGTAGAAGTGCGGTCCGGCATGTTGGAACGGAAGAGCAAATACCTGAAAAGCTATACACCTGGCTGGTTCGTTGCGCTACTGGTGTTTTTTTTTCTAGTTCCCCCTTCCGGTAGCTGGTAACTGATCTCCGATCGCAGGTATGTTCTGTCTCCAACGCATCTTCATGAATTCAAGTCTGCGGATCGAATCGCCTTCCAAACGCCGGTCATGTCCTTGTACTTGCCAGAGCAGAAGTTGGGCTCGCACTCACAGCCTGATTCGACTTCCCATAAGTTTATGCTCAAAGGACGGCAAACTGGATCAATGCACCGCGGTCACGCCTGGGTATTCCGCGCCGAGTCTCACGACACGATGATGGCATGGTACGAGGACATCGCGAATCTGATTGGAAAAACAGGCGAAGCACGGAATGCATTTGTCAAACGTCATATGCGAACTCTTAGCGGCGGCAGCTTCAGGGCAAGCTCAATCAGCAGCGACGGTGTGATGGACGAAGACGAAGCCGACCGAACTCCATACTCTGGCAGCTCAGCTGTATTACACCGGGCCCCGTCAGTGGCAGCACAGACGCCCGCGCCGCGCCCTCAACCAGGTGGGCGATTCCCAAGTGATGTCCAAATCGACCGACACTTACACGACCCTCAACCACGTTCTAGTGGAGAGAGTTCGGGAGGCAGAGAAGCTCTAACAGAGGCTGGAGCCCCGCCTGGATCGGGAGCTCCGGTTCCCTCTTCTCATCAGCAGGCAGCGGGCCACGACTATGATAATACCAAGCAGAGTGTGCTGCCGTATAGGACTACAAACGAAGGGTCCTCGCCCTCCAAGCACGAACGGCACCAAAGCCATTACGGCGACTGGATAGGTACATCAGCAGGCCTGACTACCAGCACATCCGTCGCCGTGAACAACGAAAATCCTCAAACAATACAGCATGATGTGGCAGTCCAACAAGATCGATCAGCGGCTCTTCCAGTCCGCCAAGCCATCTCCTCGCCTTCTCAGGCCTCCATAGTCGCATCTTCCACGGAGAATCGTGGAGACTCGGCCAGCGCAATCGGAACAGATCGCGAGAGTATCTCCACAGCGCCTCCGAGTATGAATCCCACTGAACAGTCAACCACTACGACTACTGCCTTGACCTCGGTTTCCGAGGGTGAAGAGGTGGCAGCAGCCGGTCCAAACCAGGGCCAACTCCGGAGACAAGAATCACAGCGCTCGAAACAGAGCAGCCAATCGCCATTTTCTGTGATGGCTTCGACGCCATCCTCAATCGCAACTTCCCCTTTGTCGAGCGAGGGCACAGCGGGGGCGACTGGTCCATCAGCATCATCAAATGCTGTTCGTCCCCAAGCGCAGTCCAAAAACAGCTCCTCCACAATTGACCTCCTGAAGATGCCAGGAAAATTTCCTCGTACGATGACCTCGTGAATAATGCCGTAGGTCGATCCAACTTCCTGAGATGAATGAGTGAATGACAACGCGGATGGGAAATATATACATCTATATATAGTCGATGAGCGGTCTTCAAATTCAAAGCACTTTCCGTTTCCGTAGAAAGATGGGGGGGAAATTGGCCCAGGGAATTAGTTAGTCACTGTCACATGCACAACAAGGGCTGTTCTGCACAGTTCCCCTTTTTTTTTTTACTTTTTGTTTTGTTCATTTTCTTTTTCCTCCCGGCTCAATAAATTTAACGTATATGTTATGTCCTTTTTTTCCCCCTCCTTCCTGTTTCCTGCAGGTCCGGCGTTTTTTATGGCCATTACTTTCTCTCTTTCCAGTGAGACAGACCTCTCTATCATTAACTAGTAGTTAGTGTCTTGGGGTATTATTGGTTTTGGTGGTGTTTTTTTTTTGTTTGTCTCTATGAAATGAAATGAACAGAACGAAATTGATTTTTCTGTACTGGTCCTCTCTCTTTTCGTCACGTCACAGTGTCTTTTTTTTTTACCAGCCAACCAGCCTGTTGACTCCTAGGATAGGAAGGGGGCTGGAAGTTCACAACTCAACTATATCGATCGGCCTGTGTGTACTCTCTTTATTATTGTTTTACTCTCCACCGAAAGTACTTCCGTAAAGAAAGAATGAACAAGAGCCAGTATCGACCAGATAACAAATCAATCTGTTCGTCCACTCTTTTGGCTTCGTAGCATACACAGAAAGGTGATCATGAATCCATGTTGCTAAAGTGAACAACCTAAACCTAACTGCCAGCTTTTTTTTTGTTTGTTTTATCGAAATTCACATCTCAAAAGAGAAAACAATCTGGTGTAGTACAACCGCAAACTTTTTTTTTGACATAACAAAACGAGGTATCTGTCCACGAGTCCATAGAAAAAGAAAAAGCCCCATCATTCTGGTAATGTTACATGATTTGGTCCTGAGTCAGACCAGACGTCGGCTCAGCCCCGTCCATCGCATCGCCATGACCAGGAGGCGTAATGTATTTGACAAAGGTGATTCCCAGAGGACGGCCACCGTATTGGTAACCGGTGAATTTAGCTAGAACACACAGATTAGCAACCCCTCGGACATAAGGCAGATAGCTATGACGCACCAATTGCAGTTTCAGCAGTTTCCGCATTATCGAATTGGACCACACCAGTACCGCGTGAGCGACCATTCGGTTCGTACTGGATCTCTGCACGCTCGACCTTGCCGATAGTGGAGAAGAGGTCGACAAGATCCTCGTTGCATGTAGACCAGGGCAGCTTATGGAATGTCAGCGCCAGCCAAAGAAAACCACCCAGCCATCGCTTCGGATACTCACATTACGGACGTAGATGGTGTTACTCCTGTCTCCGCCAGAGGTGGCATAGTCAGTAAACGGATTGGGCGGGACAGACGCAGCAGCTTCGTAGCCACCGCCATATCCACCCCCGCCATAGCCGCCGCGCCCACCGAAGCCATAGCCGCCGCGGCCAGCAAAACCACCACGACCGCCAAAGCCGCCGCGACCGCCGTAGCCATAGCCGCCGCGGCCGTATCCACCGAATCCTGCACCGGCGTAGCGATCCTCGCGAACTTCGAGGTTTCTCCCCTGCCACTCATAGCCATTGAACTGCTGGATAGCATTACGAGCATCATCAGCAGACTCAAATACAACGATACCAGAACCTTTCGGGCGGCCGCTCGGGTCGGTGTGGACATCTGCGCGGATCACAGCGCCGTGTTGGGCTGCACGGTGCAATGGTTAATTCTTGTCTGCCTACATCCGGTATGCACAATTAGATCAACATCAGCACGTTCTGGACTTACCAGCTTGGCGGAATAAGTCTTTCAGGTCTTGCCAACCGACATTGTAAGGGAGCTGTGAGTCATCCCAAGTCAACACGCGAACTCTGGATTAATCTTGTCTTCAGGGGAAACAAACGTTGGCAACGTAGATCTGTCGTCCACCGCCATAACCAGCACCTCTGCCAAAGTCCCGGGAGGGGGGGCCAGAAAAGCGGGGTTCGGGTTCACGGTCCTGCAATTCAAAGAGAAAAAAAAAAGGTCCTTGTCAGTCGTCTATCCATTGAGAACTTCGGTACAACTGAGATGGCCGGGGGGATTTACCTCGCGGACATAAACGAGTCGTCCCATAAGGTTTTGGTTGCTGAGTGTGTTGACAGCATTTTGTGCTTGTTCCTTTGTCGCGTACTCCACAATCCTAAACGGCGCGGTCAGTGTGACAGAACAGACGGGGGTTAGGAGATCATGCAGATGTCAAGAACGTACCCGCAGCCCTACAATATCCGGACGGCCAGGTCCCGACCCGTCAACCCAACAGTCCATCAAAGTAACCAAAGACAAACCAGGAAAAAAAAAAGACCAGCCACTGCTACACATTGGCGCCCACCTTCGACATTCCATTCGGAAGGAGTAAGACATCGGCAAAGATAACCTCTCCAGCTATACAACGCACAACCTTCAGTCAGCCACACCCCACCGGACCGTCGCGCAATCCAACCCATATGATTATATGACCCTGCTCACCCTGTCTCATGAAATCTTTCAGGTGATGCCACTTGACATCGTAGGATAGATTGCCGACATAGACCCGGCGGTCTTGCTGTGAAGATTCGCGCACTGACTGTATCATTTGCTCTTTCGCCGCTGCGCGCTCTTCGTACGATCTACCGGAAAAGCCGCCACGCCCTCCGTAACCAGAACCTGAATGTCCCCCGGAAGCGCCTGCTGCACCACTCATAGGAGATCTGGATCTGCGGTCACTGCGACGGTAGTCGTCACGGCTGCGAGAACGGCTGCGAGGCGAATATGAACGGCGGCTGCGTCGAGGACTACGCGAACGACGACGCGGAGAACGAGACCTCTCGCGCTGGGTAATGTTAGCAGCGACGGACATCGGTTGTAGGGAAGAGGGGGGGGGGGAAAAGATGAGCGGGGTGATAAGAGAGATGACGATTGGAGGACGAGGGAAGCGAGTAAGAGAAGGGCCCTGTGAAAGGAGCGGAGCGTGTTTGGAGGTCAGGTGACGCCAACCTTGCTGGGAGGCGAGGATATAAGTGAAAGAATGTCATGACACATGAGGGAAAACTTATGCCGCCATAAGACAGCGAATTGAACGATCTATAGCCAGGAAGCTCGGAGGGACAGCGCTGGCTAGGTGTAGGCCACAACAGGTCCGCTCTCTTCACCTCCCACCATCTTGGTCTCCAACTTTTGACTTTGTCATGATATTCGCATCCCTGCGACTGGAAGATAACAGAGTCGGGGGAGTGAATAGCAATTGTGCTCCAAAAATGGTGCCTCCTTGTTCATTGGGGACAAAGATGTCGACTCATCATTTCGTCTCCATTCACAGGGCCCCGTTTTATCTGAGCGGGGATTATGTGACAGGCAATACTGAAAGAAATGTTATCCACTTACTTGATGTGGTCGATAAACGTCAGCTGTTATAGTGAACAAAGCGTCAGTGGGCTGCTTCCAGAAGGAGATAAGATTGGACAAGAGGGATGGGGGATATCAGGGATCGGAGAGAAAGAAAAGACGAAAACAAGACAACGGCCCCGAGTCAAAGAAAAGTTTCAAGGAAACAAGAAAGAAGCGCGTGAAAGTGGAGAGGAGACGTTCAGGTATGCTAGGTGGGCAGCAGACGCAGCCGTAGCCGCAGCCGCAGTGGAATAGGAGCAAGCACCTGTTGGTGTTCCCTCGACTCCGTACACCGTAGCCAAGACGAGGGGTGCGTGGCGGGCCAGACCGCAGCCGGCTTGATGGGAACAGCAGCAAGGCAAGAAGGAGGCCTTAGGGGGTAGCTGTGTGGGAGAGGGGTGGGAACGAAAAAAAAAAAGTAAAAGTAAAAAAGGGGAAAAAAAAGGTAATGAAGTTAGGAACAATTGGCAGCCAAGTACGAGGGGAAAAAAAAAGATAGTCGGCTGAGGGCATAGAGGACAGAAGCAGCAGAAAGGAAACACAACCCACCCATGATTTGTAGTAGAAGCTGCCGGAAAAGGATACGATGGATTGGGACCTTCCCCTCCGCTCAGGGTTCGAAATGGAAAGGCAAGGTGTGAGGGCAGGCAGAGGCTGCACTGCACGAAGGGAGCGAAACGGAAGATGGAGGGGGGGCGCTTGTGTGGGCAAGCAAGAGCCCGGGTCGCTCGTAGGCTCAGGGACGTCAGACGGGCCCTGTGGACAGGGATTCTGGAGGTTGGGGTCTACGAGACGACCTTCGAAGGACACTGGAACTCGTCAGTGGTAGGCAGACAGGTGACAGTGGACACGCGCGTTACCCGGGGACAGAGCGGGACGGGGGGAAAGTGAGCACGCACAAGATGGGAAAAGAGGATCACAGTGCAGCTGCACACAACGGGAAATGGGGTCGTTTAGCCGGGCGATGGGCTGGAATCTGCAGAGCCTGTCAGGAGTCAGGACTCAGGACTCGGGAGAAGGAACGCCGCAGCGAGGATCTCGAATTAATTAACTAGGCAGGCAGAGGCAGCTTGGGCCGTTGCTGCACGGCGCTGAGAGAAGCGCCGCGCGTGTCTCTGCAGCTGCAGAGTAGGGCTGATCTCTACTGACCTTTTTTTTGTTCTTCTTTCCTTCCTGAGCTTACTGTTGGTCTGAGGGATGGAAAGAACGAAACAATGCCTCGATGCTCCCACGCGACTGCCCAGTGCTGCACAGACTTAGGCTGCCAAATAGGCTGGATTGCCTGCGATCAGCTGGGGTCGGGCGAAGAGGGTTTGGCCGGCCGCGCAATGGTCCTTAGCACTACTGACGCGGGCTCGAGAGACCGTTTTGCCTGATACGCGTCCTGGCGACCAAATCGCACGCTGCCTTTGTCGTCACAAAGCTACAGCGCGGTATGGACCGGTATGGACCAGCGTCACAGGGCGTTGGGTGCCGTGGAGGTCAGCTCGGCGATGGAGTTTGCGCTGTTTGCTCGATCGCGGCTCCGTCGCGGTCAAGGCAGTGGAAGGGCGACGCGAAGAATCACGGGCCGGGAACCGTGGATGGAGAGCTAGACGAAATTTGGGCTTGGAGGCGGGGATGGATCCCTACCAGGGTGGTTAGACCGGAGTGGACGACGCTTGGAGGTATGTGGCAGAAAGAGCCAGGAGAGTGTTGGTTGGGCCGAGTTTTTTTTGCCTGTCGAAATGACTCGAGGCCGCCTGCCGCCTGCGTTCTGCGGGCCCGGCCGCCCTCGCCTGCCGTATTTAGTGCTCGACCTCGACAGCGAGGAATCGCAGCTACGCATGCAGCACTACAGATGACTAATGAATTCTTCATTGTGAACTATGTTCAGCAGCAGTCGAATGGCTGAGGCCTTGAGTAACCTTGGAGCTGGGACTGGAGATGTGCAACAATCGCAGGCCTGCACCCGTCCATGGACGAAGGACAGGATCTGATAAGCCACTGCCTCTGCGGCCAAATGCCGCGCTGCACAGTCATGTGAGGGTTCCAGTATTATTCAGCATCCAAGCTACTTCTGTGATGAGCAAGTGGTGCTGCATGGGTGGCGGCGCGGCATGCCCTGGACTTCCCTAAACATGCACGACACCTGCAGGGCTGGCGCTGGCTCCACCACCACAGGCGCTGGGGGCTGGCGTCGCTGATTACTAAGGCTCCAATAAGCACCACGCTGCGAATAACGACATCTCCATGTGCCATGATTTGGCGCAGCCGGATAGGATCTCGCGGCCCAAGACATTCCATCCTGCTTCTTCTCGTAGGGAAATCTCGGAGACGGCATCGTGTCGAGCAGCGGGGCGTTCGGAGCCTTGCTGCCTTGGAGCAAGGGGCCAACCGTCGAGCGATTTGAGTTCCTTTCCGCGTCATTATCATGCTTACCCTATGGTTTCTGATCCTTTCTCCTCCAGTGCGACATCGGCTTTCGAGACCAGAGAAGAAGAGAGAAGCGGTGGATCGTTGAATCCGTTAGAACGTCGCCCATGGAGATAAGCTGCTCCATCACTGAGTACATCCATTGGCAAAGATACGATCCTCTCAGCCTTGTTGTCGAATTGATCCATCCTCTGCATTGATCTTGCGTTTTATACTTGTTTCGTACATCGCTCACGATGGAATGCCTCAGCTGCCCGTGCCTCCGTATTCGGTAGAGCGGCCGCAAAGCCGGTGGAGCCCGCGATAAGGCAGGTGGAGCCGTGCCTGGGCCCTCGCCGTCCCACCGGCAGCGTGGTGCTGGACTAGAAGCAAATACCTCTATCTTACCTAATTGCTTGGCCTGCATTCCAAGACCCGATCGGCCTTGAGGTTTAGAGTTGTCGTTTGTCTATTTGCTCCTCTTCTTCATCCAAACTTTGGCACTTAAAATTGGGCTTGGTGTGGTGTCCTCCAAGGTGCCGGAGACCCGGCCATTGGCCGACTCAGGCGCGTGTCCTGCGCCGAGCCATCGAGGCTGCTGCCGAGTGGAAGTGGTGAGGGAATTAACGTTGATGATAATACGCAATCAATTGCGTCCAATACGAGCATTGAATGGCGATCTGTTCTCCCAAGCTTAGTGGACAAGATTCAATGGAAGCCGATGTCCAATTGGCAGCGTGAGTGAACTTCCCGAGCATACCAATTGGATGCTGTCCGTTTCAATCCGTTCTTTACCTTCAGGAACTAATTGTTCTTGTTTCTCTTTTATACAGGCAGGGTTACCTTCGACGGATTCCGAGTCTGATCGTGTCCTCCACGTCCAACCAGGCCGGCCGTGCTGGTCTCCGGAGTTCGGCCCAATCACAGGGCGTGGCCTGGTTGATTTACCCCGCCACTAGCTGCGCCGTATGGTGCATCCGGCACGGTGCACGAAGGACATACGCCCCTACAGAAGTGATCTCCATGGTCAAACTGAGACAGGGGCCTCACTTAGAAAACGCTGGACAAGTCGAAATACCCCGACTGCATAATTGATTTGAGATCCTGCTTCGAAATATGCCTGTGGAGGGCATCTCCAAGTCATCAGCCACATGGACCCATCTATCGATGATTCTCGGTCCAGGATCCCTGCCGCCTAGGCAGGATCTAGGATCTTAGGCTCTTGAACCTTAGGTACCTCCCTAGGTAGGTACCTGCGGTGTACGCAGTAGTACATCGCAAGGATCACCACCGGTGGCTTACATGCCAAGAAGCCAGTCTGTCCGCGGCTCCTGTTCCGGAGAAAAAGCTGCTACGGTGGCGTCGGAGACGATCAAGATGGTTTCCACCGGCTGAATGGAGCTAACTTAACCCAATCACTGCTGGTCTACGGAGGAAGCGCATGGCAGGAATGCTCTTACCGGAGCTAACTAGTTACTCCGTACGCGACATGGGCACATTTGATCAGTTCATCTGATGATGTCAACAGAGGCATCTTGCGATCCGTCGATCAATCCTTTTACTCTTCTTTCTACCGACTATGCTCCCATACCTTCATGCACATGCCGTGCGGGAGAGGGATTTCCTTGCTGAAGCCGCGAGTTCTTGGTCTTCGAGACTCGAAAGACAGAAGTCGTGCTAACATTCACCTTTGCTGGGTCTCATGATTAGTTTCTCTGATCTGTTCTTGAAGCCATTTCTTTTAAGATACACGGTGCATCATCTCAAAGGTCCTATGCAAACCAACCTGATGTCAATTGGAAAGTTGCGATTCTGCGTTTCTTTCCGCTGATGATTGAAAACCATGGACGGCCTGAACTGGGCCGCCAGGCGTCCTGCTTGACTTCAAGCAGAAGCACCGATCGATCGAAACTGCAATGGGATATTGGCCCATGGAGCCACACTAACCCTCACACGCGTCATTTCACTTTTCGTCTTCTCTGAACGGCTCAGTCATCTTCTCCAGAGAATCAGGAAGTTGTATGATGCAGCTGCACAGAGTCCCGAGACTGTGTATCTGCTAGGTTGCAACTTGCGGGATCTCCCAGAACCGGGATTTATTTTACTGGCCTATCACCTTGTGATAACTGAAGAACGTCTGGACTTATCTCGGAATGTATGTATGTATGTATGTATGTATGTATGTACATACATACACCACCTCGGGCTTCGGCGCAATCCGCCATGCGGTATTGTAGGGACGTGCCAAACTTCTGTCTTCAGCTTGCCTAACGAGATCTCTGTTCCCTCGTCTTGTCAATCCCTGGCGGGTTGGTGGTGGTTGTTGACTGGTTGCACACTCGCGTTACCCATGCAGCGACGGCGAAATTAGTCCCTGCTCGAGTTCCTTGACTTTTGCCTTTAATTTGTCGTCAGTCCTTGCTTTGGCTCGAAATTCTTATGGGTTCCATGGTTGGCCTAACATCCCTGCATTTTCTTGAAACTTGGCGGTTTCAGTGACTAAAAAGTCACTGTCAGCCCTTGTGCAACGGGCTTCCCTGTTCGCCTCCCCAATATTCTCGCTAGTGGAGGTCATCACCCCTCCGAGATATCTGCAGAGATGTGACTGATTTTGCAGTCGTGCCGCTACTGAAGGAGCTTTACGAGACCTGATTCGATCACTGAAGGTGTCTTTATACTATCCCTAGCGTGGGTGTAGTAGAGTTTTCTCTACTTTGACTGCGTGTTTTTTAGCCAGCAGGGCCAGTAGTATCTCCCAAATCCCAATCGACACCTCTCAAACCATCCATGTCCGAGGAGTCTCTTCTCGTTGCACGTTTTTGTTGTTGTCAACGGCGAGCGCATCTTTCAGCTGAGTAACATACTCTGTGGCACTTCAGCTGTTTTCACCTGGATGTTCTCGGAGGTCTACTAATATTGGGCAGAAAAGCGATTTCGAGAAATGCACACCTGAATCGCTAATCATGCAACAAGAAAACTTTTTATTCAGCCGCTGCATCGCCACATCTCTCGCTCAAAGTGCAGCAAATGCCCACAGAACGGGTTGCTCCAGTCTGAGCGATGAGATAATATTACCACACCCAGGTAATTTTTTTAGGGCCTTCCCACCCTCAACAATCAGCAGTGACAGAGTAGGCGAAGGACTCTCGGCTTGAATGGTAGCTGGCCTGGAATCGATAGTGAACAGGGACTTCGACTCTGGACGTGGCTTCATGTGTCACACGAGAATAACATCGGTTACAGACAGTCTGAATGATTTTCTGACAGGCTTACCAGGCAGCCCTTTTAATTAGTAGCACATCTGCTACCCCGAGAGGACCTATATCCATTCGCACAGAATATTGACAGTGTCTGAGACTCGTCCTTTTGGCGCGTACCACTGATGCTTACTCATGGTGCATTCATCCCCCTCGGAAGGGGTGGCAACATCAGGTATATCTAAGTCACTGTACGCGATCACTCGTGATTAGTTTCTGCACAGCCAATTATGATGCTGCTTTCATAGTATCACTGCTGGCCTCTACCACGGATACGTCTATCTAACGCAAAGGCAAAAGGTACTACGGTTAATAGAAGCAATGCCACAAACCGGTCTGTTCCACGTAACTATACGAGGCAAAGCCTCTGCGACAAGGTCCAGAAGGCTGTCTACTCTGCAATCCCTCAGTAGAATTCGCGTTTAGATATCAACAGACACGAATAAAAAAATTATGGACTACATGCACCTCACAGGAAGGAACTACCTACCACGGTAATAGTCGCCAGCGGGAGCTTTCGGCAGGTCGGAAACATTAACCTTAATACGGTGTAGTTCTTGTTTTTCGGCCTGCCCGGGTCGACCCACCGGAGCGCAAGCTTGCTCATGAATCATGACCTCGAACTTCATAACATTAACTTTGAGGGTAATACACCAGTTCGATTGAGAACAGCTATCGTTCGAATTACTCTCGTGCAGATTGATTGACACGAATTGTGCAACTTCCTGGACTTGTCGCAAAGCCCTACTTACTGCTTTCAGCCAGCATCATGGCTCAGCCGTTGTCCCTCACCTGTCGCCAGAAGGCGACCAGCATGACGAGACTACCATCCTCAAGCGCAGCTAGGGCTTTCTTCCTGTCGGAATATGGGAAATTGCAGCAGCACCGCAGGAAATCACTCGTTTTCGGACAGAGAATTATCACCAGATCCCTTTCGCTTCAATCCTCTCGACGCGCCAGCAGCACCAACAACACTCTTCGCTGCCCTTCGACTGCTACTCAGATCCCTTCCACAGCGAGATGCTACCATTCCCACTTCCATCCTCCTCTGCCGACACACGAATACACCAACTCCCAGACGGCCATCCTCTCCGCTGCGCTGGAGCACATCCCCGAGCACGGCTTCACGAAGGAGGCGCTGACGCTGGGCGCGCGCGATGTCGGATTCCTGGATGTGTCGTTGCAGCTGTTTGAGCGGCAGGAGATGGATCTGATTCTGTTCTGGCTGGCGAGCAGGCGAGGACTGTTGAGGGCCAAGGTGGAGAATGGGCTCTTCGAGAAGATGAAAAATGAAGGAGACAATGCGAGCCGGGAATTGAGTGTGGACGAGAAAGTCAGGATTCTGCTCCTGGAGCGATTGAGGATGAACGAGAAAATCATACATCGGTGGCAGGATGTGAGTAGATCCTTCCCTCCCCTCCTTCTCTCCCTCCCTTTGTGTATGTATATGCATACCTAACTATGTTCTACAGGCTCTAGCACTCATGTCCTTCCCATCCAACATTCCCCTGGCCCTCTCCGAACTCCACTCCTTGTCTTCTGACATCCTCTACCTGGCCGGCGACACCTCCATCGACGCCTCCTGGTACACGAAGCGCCTGTCACTGTCGACCATCTACGCCAGCGCCGAAGTCGTCATGACGCAGGATCCCAGCCCAAAGTTCTCGGCCACAGAGGCCTTCGTCAACCGCCGAATTCAGGACAACAAGGCTATTGGCGAGAAGCTCGCTGATGTGAAGTCCTACCTCGGCTTTCTGGCCAGCACGGCTGTGGGGTTGGGGCGGAGTTGGGGGCTGAAGATCTAATCTGATTCAATGTTCATTTACTCACTAATTCAAGCGCAAGTTTGTATTATACCTATCTCAATTGACCTTGTATGTGTATGTGTATATGTACGTTTATGGCTGTTAGAGTAGAACGCTCCTGGTTAGTTGTCTAGTCGGGAAAGAATCTTCGAATTGATCCGATGCTGTTCCTGTACTGCACATATATTTATTTGAATTTGAATTTGGATCTCCTCTTCTATGCGTGATACTATAATTACAATTTCTATGTACCTTCGGCATTACTATGGACAAAATACCCAACGCCCCGAAGAACTCCAAGCTAGAATAATAATAAATACTATTATACAAATGAGTGGGGAGCATCCCCACAGAAACATGCCCTAGACATCAGTGGTACTGCATCGCATGTCCAAGATCGAAAGGATTCGACGTCACTTAAGATCGTCACCTTCATCCTTCTCTTTCTCTTTCTCTTTTTCTTGTTCTTCTTCTTCCTCTTCCTCCTCTTCTTCACTATACAGACGCTCCAGATCCCGTTCCGCATTCTTGTCCAGCGCCTCACTTATACCCAGCTCTTCCAGACGCTGCTGGATCCGATCGGCCCAGCTCTGCTGGTGTCCCGATCCCACCAGCTCACGGTAGGCATGCATGTTGGGCACCGTCTCCATCCAGCTCGTGGAGTCGTTATACAAGTCCTGTCCTGCGCCCTTGCGGAGTTCTTCGTGCTGTCGGATATACTTTTGTCTCGCGCGCTCGCGCTGCGTGGCGATGGCCCGGACCAATCTGTACGTCTTCGTGTCCGGCTCGACGCCCGTCTCTTCCATCTCCTTCAGAAGGGACACCACCGTTGCAAGGTCGTCGCAGTCACGCCAGTAGTAACGGATTAGCTCATTGTACAGCTGTGTGGATGCGCCCAAAACCACGGAAGCCCGTCCGTAGGATTGGATGGTGGGCCAGATCTCGCTGATCAATGGCGAATTGGGGAAGTTCCTTCTTAGCAGGTGGAAGACGACGAGGAGCATGTTAGAGTACACAGCTGAGATGATGGCGTTTTTCGGCACGTAGGATGGAATATCCAAGGGTTGCTGTTCGGAAGCCGAATTCTCGGGATCCTTGCTGCCCTCTGCGTCGGTATCCTTCGAGTCTCGCCCATTCGCCAGTTCTGGGCTCCCCGAGTAGTGATTATGATTATGAGATGGTTCGTCTAGTTGCCGTAGCATTCCAAATATGCGCTCTTCGCAAACCTTCCACAGCCCGAGATCGCCTTTCCCTTCTCTGATTGTCTGTCGTAATTCGTTCTCGATCTTCTCCGACTCTCTTTGTACCACTAGCTTGATGAGTCGCGACGTCTCCACCTGGTCTGGACTTTCATCTTCGGCGGTGGAGTTCATGAAATCATCGAGTTTCCTGTACACCTGATCCGCTTTCAGCCTGTCGATATGAGACAACTGCTGGGAAGCGCTCGCTGGTGCCGTGTGCAATCCGGGCTCTTGGTTCGCTCCAGTTTTAAGCTCTTCTATACTTTCCTGGAATATCGCCGATATCTGCGCCGATTCATCCGTCTCCAAGTCGTCCGGAGATGACGTGTTTGAAGTAGTGCTTGAAGGGGTCTGCTTCTGCTTCTGCTCTTCTTTTCGCTTATCGCCAGGAGCCAATTCCGGGGGAGGACTGGACCCTAGTTTCGCGAATAACCGATCAAATATCTCTCTCTCACTACGAGTCACTGTTGAGCCAGGTTTGGACGCTCGTTTCTGAGGCCTGGCCGAAGGAATGGATGCGGCTTTTTTCTTGATATATATGCGAGGACCTTGACTGCTCGACGACTCGGTATTGCTATCTTGCGAAGATTCGGACGCAGTTTCCTCTGAGGGTTTGTCTGAAGATGTACTACTCTGCGTAGTAGAATAGCAGCGGTTGCAAAAAAGGCCCGGCCTCTTCCGCAAGGACAATGGCGGCGTTTTCAGTGTGCGAGTTTCATAAAGGAAAGGCAGGAAGGTACTTTCAGTCGTCGGAACGATAAGTCTGCAGGAGACCTTCGACAGCATATTTAATCGCAAGATAATGGCTCTGCCGTCGTTGAGAGAGTGGCCTGGTCGGAGCTTCGACAAGAGCTGGTCAAAATGAGAAATACAGCATTCAGATCAAATGGGCGCAGTGAGGGCATTGACATCTGCTCGGAACACGGAAAGAGCTTTCAAAAGATATAATAATACATCTTAAGAATTCCTGAATTGACGGGGGAGGGGAAAGCAGGACACCGGTTGCAATCAGTCAATCAATGATACTGAAAAAATAACCCATCTTATCGGGTCACGTGGGCGCGCGCGCATGGCTTCCCACTTAACGCGTCTCTAGACTGTCGACGCTCCACCGGCGTGGCGCCCAGCTGCTGCGACTTGCGCCGCTCGCATGAGCAGCTCGAGGCCAATTGCTCACTGCTGAAAAGGGATTTCTCCGCGTCTCTGTTCGCAATGCCGGCCGAGATAAACGACCCGTCAAACGAGCTGTCGGAGTTCGAAAAACAGCGGCTCGCCAACATCGCCGAACGAGATGCGCTGCTGAAGAAGCTCACCCTCGAGGCGCAATCCTCTGGTCTCTTGTCCAAACCGTCGCCAAAGACTGCAGCTGGCGATGGCTCCCGATCCAAGAAAAAGGCGACCCCAAAGAAGGCGAAGAAGGAAGATGAGCCCCCCGTCCCCCGCCGCATGTCGGCCAGGCTGCGCGGGATCGCCGCCGACAGCGAGGTCGAGAAACGCAAAGCGGACGAGGCTTACGAGGCTGCCCAGGAGGCGGAACGGGCCAAGAGGATGCGCAAGTCGGATTTCTTTACTCTCGATAACATGCTGATTTCCGGGCAGAAGCTCAGCGGCGACGACCTCCTCGGCGTGGATGTTATCACAAAAGGTGTCGCGAAGCCTTACCAACGGACATTCGGCGAGGAGGATGTCAAGAACACAACAGATAAGGATTTGAAAAAGCTGAGAGAGCAGATGAGTGGGTTACAGCTTTGGGAGTTATGGGAGCCCAACCGTATGCTGTTCCTTTCCTTGTACTATTTTTTTCTCTGTCTATTGCTTTTGACCCATGTTAACGTAAATTGCGTGTAGGCATCAAAATCACGCCCGAACGAGTGTACACGATGACGTTCCATCCCTCCGAAGTAAAGCCCCTGATATTCGCCGGCGACAAGATGGGCCATCTCGGCGTCGTGGATGCATCCCAAGAGCGTCCGACATCCAATGTCAAACGGGAAGATGAGGAAGAGGAAGACGACCCGGATCCAGCAATCACAACACTCAAGCCTCATACTCGCACCATCAGTTCAATGGTCATACAACCGCAGAAGCCCACCCATTTGTATACTGCCAGTTACGACAGCTCCATTCGGGAAATGGACCTGGAGAAGATGACCTCTGAGGAGAAGTATGCACCCGAAGACACGACCACGGAAGACCCGCTCTCCGGCATTGACATGGCACCGGACGATCCCAACTGTCTGTACTGGACCACGCTGGACGGCGCTTTCGGGCGCTACGACGTCCGGACACCGGCCAAGGAGAGCACAGTTGCGCGCTGGCAGCTCTCCGAGAAGAAAATCGGGGGATTCTCCCTGCTACCGTCTCATCCACATTATTTCGCCACGGCAAGCCTGGACCGGTTCATGCGTCTTTGGGATCTCCGAAAGCTATCACACACCGACCCCGTGCCCGTGGGAGAACACGAGAGTCGCCTGTCCGTTTCCCACGCTGCGTTCAACAGTGTCGGTCAGATCGCGACTTCGTCGTACGACGACACCATCAAGCTGTACGACTTTGGCCGAAAGGGCATCGCATCATGGAGTCCCGGCCACACGCTTTCTGATGACGACATGAAGCCGGACACTGTCATTAGGCACAATTGCCAGACAGGGAAATGGGTGACTATGTAAGTTATTATTACTGACCATCCTTCCTTCACCAAGATGGTTACTAATGTTTCAAACAAAACAGTCTTCGCCCCCAATGGCAGCAGAACCCCCAATCGCCAATCCAGCGCTTCTGCATCGGCAACATGAACCGCTTTGTCGACATCTACAGCGCAAGCGGCGACCAGCTTGCTCAGCTCGGGGGTGATGGAATCACGGCGGTGCCTGCGGTGGCCGTTTTCCATCGAAGCAAAGACTGGGTTGCGGGCGGCACGGCGAGTGGAAAGCTTTGTCTGTGGATGTAGTGTACTTTTTACGTCCAGTTGCATACAGCGTGGCTTCGTCTGGGAGATTCATGTTTGTCTGTATTCTTATGAATCTGCTCCATTGTATTATGCATCCTACACAAAAAGTCTGCTGATCTGTAGATCGATGCTCGGTACTGGGAATGTTTGATTTCTTTTTTCGCGTGAGCGGTACCTCTTTTAGTAAGGTAGATATAATATAATATGAAGATACAAATCTTAAGCCTCCCGTGTATCAATGTGACAGTAAGAGAAGATGCACAAAGGATAAAAAAAAATGAAGGAAATGTTTTATGCGCAAGCCAGATATATCTCAAAAACACGCTTCAATCCAACAGCGACAGGGTATCCAAACACCATATTAAATGCTTTCCAAAAGGGGTTGAGAGAACGTTAAATCGTGAAAAGGATAATCAGTACACAGAATGCATATGCGCTTGTGTGTGCACACACAACCACATCCTATACATAATGAAAAATCGCAGGATTTGCCTCCCGGTCATAGCCGTAGCAACGATATTCCTTCTCGCCTTGCGCAAAGGAAAAAAGGAGGCCGAAGTCGAACAGAGGCGCGAAAGAAAACGAAGGACAAAATAAAAAACTGAACGAATAAAATGGACGATTGAACGTACGCTGCATCTCTTTAGCTCCAATCATGTATGTCATTAAGAGGAAACTCACTCCGGGATCGAAGGAAAATCAACGACGAATTTGCGTCAATGAGACACTCTGGACCGCTAATAATAAAGCCAACCCCGTTCCCATTTAATTGTTGTGACAACCCATGCAGACGTCATTAAGAACTTTCCTTGTTCTTACGTCTTGAAGGCACAGGAACCAAATCCAAGAAACGATACTTGCTCGAGATCTCTCGGCTGATCGTAGACTGACGCGGTTTGGAACTTTCGGGATACTCAAGTGAATATGTGGACGAATTCTTGGAGCTATTTGCGCTTTCCCGTGTCTCTGATCTTGATACCAAGAACGGCAGGCGAGAGTGATCCCAAGTTGCGGAGGAAGAGCTCGGAGGAGTGTCTTCATCGGCGTCACCAGCCGTATCGGTTGATCTGCGTGGTAATGGAGGCCTCGTAAAGTATCCAATAGAATTCCGATGGCTTCCTGGTATGTTGGCCGGAGCGGTGAGTGGCAACTCCGCAGCCGGTGTGCTAGGCTTGCTTGAGCTCTCATCGTAAAAGGTGGCAGATCGGTCTATTGACTCCACCAGTTCTTCCCACTTTACCTCGTGATTTCCATTCGGTCGTTCTGCTTGCTCGGCTTTGCTAAGGCATTCTTTGGTACGTTGCTGGATCTCAAGCGCTAAGCTGTGGAATTTGGCTACAGACGGCTCGATCTCATCGAGTTCAGCGAGCTTCTCTGGCGCTGATTCAAGCCAGAGATTTGTAAGCGCCGCAAAACTTCTTGCATGGTCGATAAGGAAAGGCAGGCTGGGGAAACCTTCCCGAGACGTGGGTGGCAAGCGATTCAGAATTTGAATGGGGGTGGCATAGGAAGGTGAAACCGTCTGTGTTGGCCGGTCGGCAGGTATCGCGCATATTGCATCGACAAATTCCTTGAAAGAAGCGCGATTGGAGAGCAGGAACTTGTTCATGGGTTCCATCCACGGCTCTTTACTGCCAAAAGTGGTCATGTTTGCAAGACCTTGCAAAGCCTTGGCGATTAGAGTCAATGTGCGTTGAGCCCGAGGGCGAGGATGATCTATATCAGTGTCAGAGGTCAAGTCGCGACAAATCACAAGCCTAAGGATCAAAGCCTTACCTTTAAGCAAGCCGAACAACTTGGGGTTCAGAATCGCAGGACAGAAGAACCGCAGGAACAGAAATCCGGAAACGCTGCTGTAGGTGACTGAGCGCAAGAAATCGCCATAACGGTCCTCTGCACACGCTCTAACATGTCGAAAAATACGCCGTAGTTCTGCCGGACATCTGGAGGCAGAACTGGAAATGGATTTCCAAAAAAGACTAGTCAACGAGATCAGATTTCTCCAGTTCCGCTCAAGATCGTCGGAACGATGCACTCGAACAGGATCGACCTCGCAATCAGGATCACTTTCATCAACATCGCGCAGTCTTTCTCCGATAGTTTCTTCAAGATATTCCTTTCCGAGGCGGCGCATGTGCATATCAAGCGCCTTCGTCAGCAAGGAATTGCCTCGAAACAGCAGATTAGCTTCAAATGTCGCGGATCGTCCCAAATCCCTTATGATGACTTCTCTGTCTTGCCCGGACTCTTTGGACTCGTTCGAGTGGATTCGTGTCGTGTACCTCAGCCTGCTGACTGAGGAGTCTTTGTGGAAGCCATCAATCTCGTCTTCAACGAGCGATGATATCCACTCCGTGGCCTGGCCGGATACCTGGAAAATATTCAAAAGGATCTCCGAGAGCCTATTGAGCTCCGAAGGTAAAATTTGGACCATATGTATGGTGAGATTGTTCGTGAAAGAGTGAAGAAGCTCTGACATGGGCTCATACTCATGAGACATCAAGACGACAGTCTCTTCTAATCGGACTTTCATGAACATCTCACCCACTGGTTGGTCCCTGTCATCCAGAATTGGCCACCACTTTTCGATGTCCGTTCCAGGTTCCAATTCATCCAGTCGCAAATCGACCCGTCCACAGGTAGCATCGTGAGACGACACCTCCAGATCGTCCAGAACATTCATGGGATTCGTATCCGCATCTAAACTGTAGGGACCATGAGCAATGAGGGTCCAATCCTTCTGCGCAGGATTCAGCGTCTTGAGGCGCACAGAAACATTGGAGAGGACAGGCGGCAGATCCGAGAAAGTAAAATCCTCCCGCCAGAATGGCGTCGCTGTGTTTTGCTTGACTGCGGTTTTGGCCCTGATCTCCCCATCTAGAAGAACCTCTGCGTAATAATCGCTAAAGGAAGCCTTCCCCGACGATTTGGATTGCCCTCTACTCTTAGCATCATCGTCGTCTTTGTCATCCGTTAATTTGGCCTCGGTGATTCTCAATGATAGCGTCCGTTCGATTCTAAACATATCCGTTGTGGATTGCGCGTTAGGGTTCGTCAAATTCTGCTTCAAATCCTCGCCACTTGGGGATTCGGGTCCGTATAGCTCAGGTATGGTGAACGCACGCAGGAGCACAAACCAGACTTCGTAGAGGACCCTGGACTCCAAGGAAAGGAAGATCGGGCGAGACATAGTGTCCGAGGTGGATGAGGCCGTATATTGAGGATAGATTGCAATGCAATACTCATCATCGAGGACTGAAGGTTCCAGCTGTTGCACGGCAGAGCGGGAAAGTTGAGAGAGCTCGATCGTTCTCAAGAGAGAAACATCCGACTCCGTATAGAGCTTAAAGTGACCATTCTCCTGCAAAGTGCAGCTCACTCTTTGCCAGGACGATGACCGTTGCTGTCGATGGGTCGAAGACCTCCGGCCGGATGGGGGACGCGCACCAGAGGGACTGGGCTTTTCCCACAGTAACATCTTCCCTACTTTGATGATCGCAGGCTCTTTCTGCACGGTGCTCTCCGAGTTTCTTCTCCGATCGGCAAGACGACGTTCACCGATGGTGACAGACTGAGGCTTTGTCCGTTTATTCTGCACCCCCTTGGGACGGATCGGTTGCCAGCATAGCAATGCGGCGAGCCAGGAATCAAAGGTCTCTTGCACATGCGGTCTCAGTTGAATGCCCATCCCGGACGAGAAAGTGGACACGCTGAGATAGGTCGTTTGGAGTTCGGGGTCGAAAAGAGTCCGCACATGGCATCCACGCAGATCAGGAATTAGAGTCTTTGCGAGAGCCGGTTCTCCCTTAGCTTGATATATTAAGCTTCCCGTGGCAACGTTGATGGCACAGTATCCGGAAGTCCACGAGGCATTTGCCGCCGTGCGAAAGGAAAGGATACCATGCATTCTCCCGCATGTGGTCTTCATCAACTGTAAGATCTTTGCCGAGTCGGCATTGGATAGAGGCGAGGCAAATGCGGCCGGATTCCGGCTCACCCCCGTAACCAAAGCTGGCCCTCCCGGAGGCTGTTTGGTCAGCCGCTGGCGATTACCTGGCTGGTTCGAGAGGACTGTCGGCGACTGAATAGACGGGTAACCGATGGAAGTAACCGATTCTTCCGACACTTTGGAATTCAAAGGGGTCGTGGCAGTGTTGATTGATCCTAGACGATTTCTGGTTCGCGATAAAAACGAGTTGGGGGATATCTCACTTCTTTGATCGTCCAAGGTAGTCGTCCTCGACCGGGCCCGCTGGCTTCTGGACTCGGGCGCCAAATCGTCTTCATCACCCGTCGAATGGTACGGACTGAATTCACGGCGTCGGTCCCAATCGTCATGTCTCGTAGATCTAACGGTCGAGTGGGGAGAAACGCCCGCATTGGCCGACAGGTAACCGGTTTCAGACGACGGAGAGTGATTACTAGGGTCGGACACAGGATCGGGTGTCACCGTCCGGATAGTCGCATCTCTAAAGCTGTCGGGATACACTATTCCATGACGGTCCTTTGATGAAGATTTCTTGCTTGGCCTCCGCTCCACGGGACGAGTGTAAGTCCCCTGGTGGGCCGAGTTTCGCCGGACCCCGTTAGGGCGCTCCTGCTCCATGTCTGTCGAACCGCGCTTTTCGGTTGTTTAGAACGAATAAACAATTCACCCGCGGGTAGGTTGCGAGAACAGCGCGCAGCAGGCAATATACGCTGCACAACGTCCTCGAGTAATAGAGAGGCGCCTATCAACCGGGAGGCTGTTACCGGAACGCATGGAGTCCACCCAAAGCACGAATGGAACAGTGGCGCATTGGTCGATCTCGAGGTTGCAATTATTCGACAAGGTACCAAGAACGCGAAGGCGGGTAGAATTAAAATCGTTCGGCAGGATGCGAGACGCGACAATCGGCCAATCTCCTGAACAGTGGCTGTTTGGCACTACACCAGTGCTAGAACCGTATCAGCGCCAAATGCCAAGCGGTAGAAGGAGAAATCGTGATGATGATGGCGGGATGAGATAGAGCACCCTGCAAAAGCAATTCGGGACCAACCTTCATGGAGCGTCTGTGGTTAGGAGAATCGACGGGAAAGGGCGCGCATGCTCTGGACGGCAGCTGGGAGACAGGCGGGTTGGCGGAGAAGCAGGCGAAGGGGGCCTTTCTGGACGCGGTGGTGAGAGAAGGGACTTGATATCAGGGAAGAGGGTGAGATCGGAGAGAGGAGAGTTGGTAGAGGCGATTGACGGGCAGTGGAGTCTCTGCTGACGGATTAGGAACGCAGAGCGTGGCCCGATCCGCTGCCGAAGGCTACCAATGTCGAATCGAAGGGAGGGAGCGTTATGCGTGTATGTCGAGCGTAGTGTGCGGACAGGGGACGCGGTACGGAGTGCAGAGGACAGGGTGGAACAGCGTGGGAGGGGAGCGAGGGATGGGGCGGGTCTACAACGGCCGGCACGTCTGGAGATTTCTGGCGACGGCATGCACGGTGCTGGCCGGACGGGAGTCGCTCAGTCGTGGCTCTCGCGGCGATTCACTGAGGTGGCTATCAATGGGGGCAATGAAAGGGGTCGGCGGGCCATAGTTCGCGAGTTAGTCGGTCGCTGCTGCCCCAACAGGCCCTGCGCTGCTGCTTCACCACCCGGCGAGGTAAACAATCAGCCAGCTGCTTGGCAAGATAGGAAACCACGGCGAAGAGGCAGCTAAACGCAGGCCAGCAATCCTCCATTCATCTTGCGGGGCCTCGGGCGCTCCTTCTCAAGACGGGCTGAATCCGCGCCTGCTCGGCCGCCTGTTAGGGAGAGGCCCCAGCGCACCTTCCGTTCCAGTCGACCCCGCCGCTAGCAGCGATTCTTTGTTCGCTCGTCCGGCTGCGATGCTTCGATGCCTCGACAGAAACACGCCGCCACATGCAGGGGAAGCAATAATCCTTAATATTCTGCTGTTAATGCCCCTAAATAGTAGTAAAAGAACGACCCCCTTGGTCTGTTGCCAGTATATCCTCCAGAGTAGAGTCTAGGACAGTCCTGACCTGAGCCCACGAGGCAGTAATGAGTCCGATTGACAATGGCCTCCATTGCTCCTGTTTCTTCTTTCTCGATCTCTGCACTGATATCGGGTTGCTGATTTCTATCAAGAAGGCTGTGACGGGGTGGTACAGACGACATGCATGTGCAGACAGCAGCCGATCATGACAGGCATTAAGTCACCTAGGCAGGTACGGAGGACGGCCACGTTATCTCCTCATAGGCCGGGATTGGAAGAGCCTTCCCGAAGACCCATCCGCCTGGTTCTGCCAGGGTATGGTATGCAGTTCACGCCATCGTTATCTCTGCCAGTGTGCGATATCCAACTGGTTGCATGGAGATCCGGAATTTAGCACTACGGAGTAATGTTGCGTGTGGTCAGCACAGACCCTCGCAGCAGAAGTGCTGACAGACTGGGCACAATCATCACGTCAATCAAACGCCGGATGTTGGATGACTGGTATTCTTCTAAGCTACTGCCAACTTCTAGATAGAAGCCCCTCGCAGGTGAACCATTGCATCTGGAATGGCATTTGACTGCTTTCCGAGCTGTCTGTCCATGTGGACGGGCAGTCCGCTGGATCACGTGCCGATGACAAGTGCCAAGCCTTGCAGCTCCGTCGTCATGGCACACGCAGCGAGAGCTCGCATGAACTCGAGATGTATCACGAGGGGTTGTGCAGGTCATCCAGACATCCTGGCCCCTCGTTGCTGCCTTTATTTCTGCCATGTCTTCGCCTCGAATCCGCTCCACGCCTGTTCTGTTCCTGCAACTGATGAATACTGTGACACTAACCTGAGCAGCACCCTGGTTGGCGCGGCGGCAATGAGCTGACCGCTGGTTTCTGGAACTCCGCATTCTAGTAACTATGATGACTTCGAATTTGCTATCTCGTTTCCTACCTCCCACAGGGTCTCCCTCCATCTACGAGGCTATCCGACGCGATGACGAGGCCTCGGATGCCTCGGACGTGGAGGAGCGTGCCGGCCTGGCGCTGGACGAGGAGAACCTCCGAGAGCCTCTGCACAACTACCATCCTGACGATGCCCTCTCCCAAGCAGCTGACAGCGAAATAGCAACACAGAGCACCGCGTTTCTAGGTCAGAGACATCCTCGAAAGACAAAGACGGGGAGCCGCGCCACCAAGTCCGTTCGACCGCGATGGATGCAGGCATCCCCGCGAGCTCTCGAAGCTGACGACGGAGATGACGACGTTCCCGCTTCGCTTCTGGTGGAAGGACACGATGAAGAGGACTACCCAAAACCTCCTGCACCCCCGCCTCATCATGGCCTAGACGACGAATATCCCGACCCAGGTCCATCATCGAGGGAGACGCGAGATCGCTGGGAGGCCGCCAGAGCTCAGCAACCTCTGCATCCGCACACACCGCCAAGCGTCACTTCGCGGAAACGTCCCGGAGGAGGCCTGCCCAACTTGGCTGCCGCGAGTCCGAAGGAGAAGGCAATGTGGAGGTGGACCAATGTCGAGAACCTCGACAATTTCTTGAAGGATGTGTACGTCTACTTTTTGGGAAATGGGATCTGGTGCATCTTACTGAGTCGAGTTCTGAATCTACTGTATGTACGCCTGTGCAGACTTCAGAAGACCTTTACTAATGGTGGCAGAACCCTCGCCTTTGTTGTTGGCTTCTCAACATTTCTTTCGAGTTGCATCGACTACCGTGCTATCCGGGGTAGCAAGACTCTAAATGATATCCTCATCAAGAAATGCATGACCAAGATGTCCATTTCGAAGACTATCTTGCTGTGGCTGTTTACCTTTTTCTGGATCGGCAAACTGTTTCAATATATATTGGATATCCGAAGGCTCCGCCACATGCATGACTTTTATTACTACTTGCTTGGCATCTCCGATTCCGAGATCCAGACCATCTCGTGGCAGGAGGTGGTGAGCCGATTAATGAAATTGAGGGATTCGAACCCTGCCACGGCCGGGCCTGTCTCGGCTAAGCATCGCAAATTTATGGGTAGTCAGTCCAAACAGCGGATGGATGCACACGACATCGCGAACCGTCTGATGCGGAAGGAGAATTATCTCATTGCCCTGTTTAATAAGGATATCCTCGATCTGACGCTGCCAGTACCATTCCTTCGCAATCGGCAGCTCTTCTCCCGCACCTTGGAGTGGAACATCAATCTCTGTATCCTCGACTATGTCTTTAACGAGCAGGGCCAGGTGCGCCCCCTTTTCCTTAAAGACACCCATCGAAGAGCGTTAAGTGAAGGCTTACGGCGTCGCTTTATCTTCGCCGGCATCATGAACATCTTTGTGGCTCCTTTTATCGTCGTCTATTTCATGATGCACTACTTCTTCCGTTATTTCAACGAGTACCAAAAGAATCCGTCCCAGATCGGATCCCGCCAGTACACTCCGCTTGCAGAGTGGAAATTCCGCGAATTCAATGAGCTTTGGCATCTGTTTCAACGTCGTATCAATATGTCATACCCCTTCGCGAGCCGGTACATAGACCAGTTCCCCAAAGACAAAACGGTCCAGCTGTCGCGCTTCGTGGCCTTCATCGCAGGCGCTCTTGCCTCGGTGTTAGCTCTAGCTTCCATCGTGGACCCAGAGCTATTCCTTGGGTTTGAAATAACCCATGATCGTACCGTGCTCTTCTATCTGGGTGTGTTCGGAAGTGTTTGGGCCGTTGCTCGGGGTATGGTCCCCGAGGAAACGGACGTCTTTGATCCTGAATATGCACTGCTCGAGGTCATCAACTTCACCCACTATCGCCCCGCTCATTGGGCGGGACGACTGCATAGCGACGAAGTGAGAAGAGAATTTGCTATGCTCTATCAGATGAAGATCATCATCTTCCTGGAAGAGATCCTCAGCATGATCTTCACGCCGTTTGTTCTGTGGTTCAGCCTCCCCAAATGCAGCGATCGCGTCATCGATTTCTTCCGGGAATTCACCATCCATGTGGACGGCTTGGGATATGTGTGCTCGTTCGCGGTATTCGACTTCAAAAAAGGCACCAATGCCATTACTCAAGGTCGCCCCAACCAGCAGCGGGATCTCCGGGATGACTATTTCTCGACCAAGGACGGGAAGATGTTGGCTTCTTACTACGGCTTCCTGGATAGCTACGGCGCCAATCCTCGACCTGGTGCCCCCTATGTTCCTCCTTCGGCACGAAGGCGATTCCATCCTCCGCCATCATTCCCGGGCCTTGGATCTGCCCTTGATGCGGATGCGGCTGCTCGTGGTGAACGATGGGACCCCACACAGACACGACATTCACCGATGGCTGGACCTCTCGGTCATCAATCCATCATGCGAGGGTCCCGATTCGGCGCTGGAGCAGCCGGTGGCGGTGTTGCCCCCAACTCCCCGCTTCCATCCATGCTCCTTGATCCTCACCATCAGCCATCCGCCTCCGGGTTCCGTTCGATAAACCGTGCGGGCGCGCAGTCTCGATACCGCCAACCGCGTCATCAACACCCCGACGCCATGGAGGATGTTAAGGAAATGTCGATCGCAGAAGGTGCCGAAACCACTCCGGGACAATCGGGGCGTCCTGAGGAGGGCTCCACGGGCGGGGTGGCGACCAGCGGAAGTAACCTGGAAGGGTCCTGGCGCGTAAATCTGGCTGGTGAGGCGGAGGACAGTGATGGGCCTGAGGAGGGAGAAGAAGTGGACGCTGTCGTGGGCGGGGCTGGAGTACTGGGGTTAATTCAACAGTTCCAGAAGGCCAGCAACGAAGGCAGAACCGGGGGTGGTACCGTTGGTATCTAAGCTTCGCACGTGGATGAGGCCATGATTTGGACCAACTTTACATCGGCGGCGTTTTCTGTGTCTATTCGAGATGTCACATCGAAGCATTGTTGGTTCACGGATTCCGGGCGTTTTCCTGCATTTCATGAGCGAGCACTACGGCGTCCCCAAGGATATATAGAAAAAGGGATATCTGGATATGAGCACGGATGCATTGTAGCCATGATCTAAGAGAGACTGTTTATCTCTCATCATTTCACCTATTCTATTCCCCTTGAATGGAACTGGGTTGCTTAATCAATGAAATCAAAACTGGTATAATTAATATTTCTGATCTTCTCCTGGTTCTCAACGCCAACTTGTAGGTTGTACATCCGACCTGGTGGGAGTAAATCAACGGGCCATCTTGAGTACCAAGCCAGTGCCTGTAGCCTTCTTGGGAGACACTGACAGGGATTCGGCACCACTCTGCCTTCCAATGACATCTTTCGTACAGTACATTTAGTTGGTATTTAATTGGTACTCGGTGTTTTAGCGAGTCTAGATCTCGGCAACTATAATTAGGAGGAATGTAATGCCCGCAATCCAGACAAAATATGCTGGACTGTCGTGCTAGAGAGTATTCTACTCGTGATTATTGACTGTTCTGTTCATTTGTCTGCTGGAATTGCTGGCAGCTGCGAAAATGGGCGATGATCCAACTGTCCACTACTCCGTACAGCGCGGGTGGCTGTTCTGGCCGCCTACCTAGTATTGCCGGGTAAGAATAGTCAGGCTTGGCTCTGTGCAACGCCCAACACTGGGCTCGCCCACCCCTTTCCTTCACCATCTCCCGTCGAGAATGCCTCGAGCTTCCGCGGCGGCATTTGCAGACTCTGAGACAGTCGATGGGGAAATGCGCTGAGGGCATCTTATTGTCGCACCCGCCCAACCGACCGCCGTTCCAAGGGGAAGCCTTCGCATACGCTGCCGTGGTTCGCATCGGAGCCTCTACGGGACTGTCTTCTCCCTCGGTCGCAGAGTTCCACGCGCCGTCTTAAAGAGACGGGCAGACGCTTCAGCCATGCTCCGGCTCCGAAGATATCGCATCTTTCTCATCTTCAGCATCATCTTTATTCTCGCTCTCTTCCATTTCCTCCGGTCACGCGACTGGTCTCCGCCCCCCGAGCGCGCCCCTCCGGTGAACGTAGCTGCACCGCCTGACAGCAAGGAAGATCCCTTTCTATCCCATGGTTTCGCTCCCGAAAGTCCCGTTGGAAAACCCAAAGCGGAGGAGGAGCCTTCAGGTGCAAAGGACCGGGTCGACCATGTGGAAAAGCCTGATCTGGGCCTCGACTCTGCTCCGATGATGACACCGTCCAAGACAACGCCGACACCCGCCGATTCGAAGCCGGAAAAGCCCAGCCAGAAACCGTCACTGGGACAGTCTTCGGGCACGTTTGACGAAGAGTTTGGGATCGAAGGGCAAGGACGATTGGAGGTGTTCCTCCCTGACGCAGGCAGGCCGGCGCCTCACTGGACGAAGCTCCCTGAGCATTTTCCTGTGCCCACGGGAGATCTCATTAGACTTCCCACCGGCCAGCCCAAAGCGCTTCCGAAGCTCCAGGCCAATTTCAAAGATGAATCCTCGACAGAGAAAATCCAGCGCACACAGAAACTGTCGACCATCAAAGAATCGTTCGTGCATGCCTGGAACGGGTATAAGCAGTCTGCGATGGGCCATGATGAGGTTCGGCCGGTTACAGGAGGATATCGCGATCCATTTGCCGGTTGGGGTGCAACCCTCGTCGATGCCTTGGACACGCTGTGGATTATGGACCTGAAGGACGAGTTCTCGGCTGCAGTGGATGAGGTCAAGAAGATCGACTTCACCACCTCCTTCAGAAAGGATATCCCCCTCTTTGAAACGGTCATCCGGTACCTTGGTGGTCTCCTCGGTGCATATGACATTTCGGGGCACAAATATCGGGAGCTCTTGGACAAAGCTGTCGAATTGGCCGAGATCTTAATCGGCGCGTTTGACACGCCGAATCGGATGCCAGTCACATACTATAACTGGGCCCCGTAAGCTACATCTCACTTGTTCTTCTGCGTTAACTATCTAATCTGACTTGGCGTGTCTATAGGGACTATGTGTCTCAGCCCCATCGCGCCGGAACTAGGGTTGTTTTAGCGGAGTTGGGATCCCTGTCGGTCGAATTTACGCGATTGGCCCAGTTGACAAAAGAAGACAAATATTACGATGCGATAGCTCGCATCACCAATGAGCTCGAAAAAATGCAGAATAACACGAGACTCCCTGGAATGTGGCCGCTTCAGCTTGACGCCTCCGGGTGTAAGAAGAAGGGACGTCCAGTTAACCGATTGCCCCCTCTAAAGAAGGAAAGGGAGAAGGAAGCCGTGCCTGGTGTCCCAACGCCTCATGTGCCACATCACCCGCCAACGGATATCAATAGTTACAAATCCTACCTGAAGCGAGACGAACTGAGTGGCCTCGCGATAGATGCGCAGCCCGCGAACTATGGGGAGGCGACCCAGCCGACTCCGGCGCCCACACCTCCCTTGGAAGCTATCTGCGAGGAACAGGGCTTGGCCTCACCTCCCTATTCGACCATGGACAGATTTGGGCTGGGCGGACAGTCCGACTCGACCTATGAATATCTTCCAAAGGAATACATGCTCCTGGGAGGTCTCAATGACCAATATCGCACATTATATGAAACGGCCATGGATACGGTGCGCAAGTATCTCCTCTTCCGGCCCATGATTAAAGAGGACCGTGACGTTCGGTTCGCAGCGACGGTCGCCGTGTCCGATCCAGACCCCGAAGAGGGGGGTGAGCGGTCTCTAGACTATCAGTACGAAGGAACCCACCTTACCTGCTTTGCAGGAGGCATGTTCGCCGTCGGAGCTAAGCTCTTCGGACTGGATGGCGACATGGATATTGCAGCCAAACTTACCGAGGGCTGCGTCTGGGCCTATGAGTCCACGAAGACGGGAATCATGCCGGAACATTTTGAAGTTTTGCCTTGTGAGGACGTTAATTCCTGTGAATGGAATGAGACGCGGTACAGGGATGCATTGGACCCTTATGCGGGCTCGAGGATCCAGCAGACGGAAGCGTTGTATCAGCGTCAGGGTCAGCTCGCGCAAGGGAACAAGGAACTGAAGGCCAGTAACAAGTCCGTGCCCTCGACACTTCCTTCTCTTTCGAAGCGTGATATTCCTCCCGCCGGACAGCTTCACGAACATAACGACCAGACACCGACAAAGACCACTCCGAAACCGGAGGACCGGGGCTCTATTAAATCAATTCCAAGCCCAAGTTCTATCCCACTTCATCCTAAACCCCTGGCCCTCTCCCATGACGAGTATGTCGACTCTCGAATCAAGGAAGAACGGCTTCCTCCCGGGTTCACCAAAATCTCGTCTCGGAAATACATCCTTCGCCCCGAGGCCATCGAATCGGTCTTTATCATGTTCCGGCTCACGGGCGACAATTACTGGCGGGAGAAGGGATGGGAGATGTTCGAGGCGATTTCCAAAGCCACTCGAACAGAACTGGCGAACTCTGCCATCCTGGACGTCACCAGCGCTACTCCCTTGTTTTCCAATGAGATGGAGTCATTTTGGCTTGCAGAGACGCTCAAATACTTCTACCTCTTGTTTAGCGACCCCAGTGTGGTTAGCTTGGACGAATATGTATTGTAAGGAACTCCTGGTGCTCTCTCTTGACGTGAAGAATGAACGAGAAGCTGACATTTATCTCACAGAAACACCGAGGCCCATCCACTAAAACGCCCCAGCTCATAGCAGAGCGACATATATACATACTTGGAGATTTCCCTTCATGCTCTTCGGTATAAATACACCAGGAGAAACTTTCTGTTATCGTTTTTTTTCTCCGTCTTTTTCGGCTCATGATTTGTTCATTCTTTTTTTTTTTGATTCTGTATATTGAAGTCATTGGATTTTTGGTCTTGATAGACCGGAGATCAGAGAGGATGACATGAATGAGCGGCGCAGTTGGCAGATTGGATGGGTCTACAAACAAGGGAGAAGCAAGTTGTTCGCATTGGCGTCGATCTGGGAAAACATAGCGGCTTCTTGGGCATATACGAGGACTGGAGAACTAAGGAGTCACTAATCAAAGAACGTTATTGAAGGGAACATAGCATAGAGTCATTGCCTAGTACAGAGTAGTAACTCCGAGTCGGTGCCCTGATAACAGCGGATCGGCGGGCGTCTGTGCGGGCGGTGAACATGCGGCCAGCGACTATTGGAATACTAGCTCAACGTCAGCGCAGGCCGTTGTCCCACATCCCATTCTCCGTTCTCCATCGCCCATCCCATCATCCATCAGCAGAGGACTGTCAACAGCAGCCACGCGACGGGATGAGTGCCCCGGCAGAACCAGCGCAGGGCCGACGACAGACACTCTGCTGTAGGAAATGGAGTTTGTCGATGTTTCCTACAGCCTAGAAAACGAGCAGCAATTCTGGGATGGTAAGCCATTGATTGATTTGATTGTGCTGTCCCACCGGACATTCCGCGCATATCTCTCGGGCACTTTGACGCCGCCTTGCTTGGGCTCAACGCTGACTGTGGACGATAGAATTGCACGAGATTGTGTCAGCCAAATGCGACTCGCATGCCCTGATCGACAATGCACTGCGCGCTTATCTCAGCTTTACTGCTAGGTACAAAGGTTGTGCCCATTAATTGAAGTGAAACAAATCCCCTGCAGCTGGTCAAGAGATATGATGCTGACAGCGCGGATCTGATATAGGGGAGTACCTCAACAGCGAATATGACATCTCGCGCTGTTCCTATCAGCTCTTCTCGTCGAGTCTCTTCTCCGAGCATGCCGATTACGTTCGAAGACAGATCATCTACGGCTTACTGCAAGTACGTTTCGTTCCAACGTCTGCTCGAGATATTTCGGGGGCTGATGGTTTCACTCCGTGCCGCATTGGAAACAGGAAGATGACCCTGACACGTTGCATTTGATCGCGTCCTTCCTCCTCTTCGATGGTCGGCAGAATGAAGTCACATTCCACATGATGAACGAGGAGGGCTCGTTCCCTCGGTTGCTGGAACTCGTTCAGAGTCAGAAACCAGATGGAGATGGCGGGGCGGGTCTTCATCGGCTTCTGATGGACCTGCTGTATGAGATGTCGAGAATACAACGGGTGAAGATTGAGGATCTTGGTGAGTTCGTCAAGCGGGGTAATAAAATTTTGGATTGCTGATTCCCGTTCAAAAATGGTTGTAGTCTTGGTGGAAGATGACTTCGTCAAGTATCTCTTTGATATCGTCGAAGAGCTCTCCAACGACGTCAATGATCCCTATCATTATCCGGTCATTCGTGTCTTGGTAAATGCGCCCGTCCTGTTGTTAGACTGCAGTTTATACTGACAGTCTCAGCTGGTGCTTAATGAGCAGTTCATGGTTTCGGCGCACGACCCGGTTTCAGGAGCCGCTGTCAATAATCCGCCCACGAATAAAGTTATCAAAATCCTTTCGATGTATGGGAATGTTTACAAGACGTTTGGTGAGAATATCATCCTCCTGTTGAACCGAGAAGGTATAGATACGCCTCAGCCACATTATAAGCGGTGCTGATTTCCCTCAGGCGAAACATCTTTGCAGCTGCTCACCCTGAAGCTCCTATATCTTATCTTCACGACCCCGTCTACTTACGAATATTTCTACACTAATGATCTGCGCGTGTTGGTCGACATTCTCATTCGGAACTTGTTGGATCTGCCCGAAGAAGCAGTGGCATTGCGCCATACATATCTGCGCGTTCTTTACCCGCTTCTGGCACACACTCAGCTGAAATATCCGCCTCATTACAAACGAGATGAACTCAAGAGGCTGCTGGGAATATTGGTTCATAGTCATGAAGAGGATGGCGAGAGGATCGTTCATTTCGGAGAGGTTGACGAGACGACCAAGAGACTGGTCGCCCGCTGCTCAAACGTCGAGTGGCTGCGCGATCCCGAACCCGACGTTATTACAGAATCCCCCAAAGAGGTGGAAGCACCGTCTGCAGATCAGGGAATCTCTGTCCCTCCAACGTGTACGGTAACAGAAGGAAAGGAGGAAACCGCTGGGGTTTCTATCCCGGTTTCACCTAACTTGGAGGGCAGGATATCTCCTTCAAAGCTAGCAGATCCGAATTCGCCAGGAACGGTCTCTGGTCTCGACGCCAAGCAGGCAGAGGCGCTTGGAATGCATCTAGAACTCGCACGATCGTCTTCACTCAGTGTGTTGGAGGTAGCCGCACAGAAGGAAAAGCCAGGAGTGATGACACCAAGTCGCAAAGACACGGCTGCGTCAGACAACTCAGACGCAATCCTGGCAGTGAAGTCGAAGCAAAAACCAGAGCCGCCCAAGGCGCGACGCTGGCGCGGGAGACGTGCGAAAGAAGAGGACGAAGGCGGGGGTAAAAAGCCAGTCGAAGAGCCAGAAATCAAGGTGGACAGCTCAGTAGACAGAAGGGGCTCGACCGAGGAGTCATCGACTCCGTCATCAGCCAAGCCCTCCGTTTCCCGATCCGCGTCACGGCCTCCACCTGCCGTGCCTCCTCCTCGAAGATCGACCCAGGCGGCGCAGTCACAGCAGTCACATCATCAATCGACTGGAAATTCTTCAGCAGACAGTAACCACTCTAAACACGGGCAAAAGCCCGAACCACCAAAAACACGCCGCTGGCGACATGGTGCGCGACAACAAGCAGATTCTGCCGAGTCTCCGACTGTAGCAACGAATGCGACGAATCCCGCCTTGCAGCAGGCAGGGGTATCTGATACGGTCGAAATCGAAAACGCCATGCAGAAAGCTAGTCTTGATTGAAAAAAAAATGAAGTGAGCGGAACAGAACAGAACAATCAAATTCTGTTGATTTTTATCGGAGAGGAGGGCATGCATGTGCATATGCATACAACATACAACATACATTGATAATTGATTAATTGTAGGTATATCATGCCTGCCTGCCTGCCTACTTTCCTGCAATCAATGTAGTAATTCAGACAGAACATTGCACATACGGTTTGACAGATAGACAGACAGGCAGTGGCAGACAGCCAGCCAGCGAAAAAGTCCACAAATGACTTTCCAGTGTCGTCTACCAGATATTTTCTTGCTTGCTTGCTTGCTTTCTTCCAAAAAAGCACGTAGCAATTTCGTCGTCGTCAACTACTTACTTACTACTTACATCGTGGTATGACTATAACAATCTCCGTATCTACATCTTATCATGTCGTATCGACATGCAACGCAGAGAGGAAACCCGCGTTCCCTGTTCTTCTGCGGTAGGAGCGGTTCTTTAAAAAAAAATTCAGGTAAATCACCGATTCAGACACAAGTACATATAACAAGCACTTCTATTTTCTTTCTTGTTTAACGACTAGATCTTCGTGCGCCACCTCCACCGATAGCTCAAACAGGCCCATCTCGCCATGAAGAACATCAACAAAGCCAGGACCAGGACGCTGCCCAGGAAAGTGACCATGGCGTTCTTGCCCACCTTCTCGAGCATTTCTCCGCCGATGGGGATGCAGATGAGGGTTCTGTAAACGTATCAAATCAGTATTACTCCTACTCCAAATTATTATTTTTTTTAATGCTTAGGGTGAAACATACGCAAAGCTAACCAATGAGTAACAGGTCCCAAACCTCTTGCCAATCTCACTTGCCTTGGAGATCTGCCCAATACAGACGGGCGCCAGGCTCACGAACGACCCCGACGCGAGACCGAAGAGCGCGCTGAAGATGTACAGACCGGGCAGCGAGTGTCCGAAGGGCAGCCAGATGGCGAAGATGGCCGTTGCGCCGACTGCGATCAGCGCCGTCTGCGTGTTCAGCCGGCCGAAATGGTCGGCGATTGCGCCGGCGAAGAAGCGCCCGAAGCAGGAGCCTCTACAGCGCCTAAGTCAGCAGAAATAATAATAAATTGGAATAATGGGGTTGTGAGGATCCTACATGTTTAGAACAGCAAGAAGAGTCACGCTGGTATTCGAGCTGAACCCCTGCATGAGGATATAGGTCGGATACAGACCCAACCCGGCAAAAAGCTCGAGCTCAAGACCTATCCAGCTGTCAGCAGGACAATATCCAAGCATCTCTCATATGACATATTGGTATCAGTCTTGTCTAGGGACACGGTCAGCATACTGAAAGTCCCAATGGCCAACCACGTGAATCGCGAATCACGGAAGCATTTCAAATCCACGGCCGCCTTTGCCTTGCCTGGCGGCAGACGGGACTTGACGAAGAGCGAGCCCAGGACACACATGCCCGTCACCAGGAACGCCAGCAGCCGGATGCCCCATTTGAACCCCCAGCGGGCGAAACCAGCGCGGAGCACAAAGGGGAAGATGGTGCCGCCCACGCCTGATCCGGCCATGGCAATCCCCATGGCCAGCCCGACTCTGCGCTGAAACCACTGCGGCACGACGGCCATGGCGGCCGTGCTCAGCAGGGCCGCTCCAATGCCGCCCAGCACGCCCAGGCAGAGCAGAAACTGCCAGTACAGCCGACACTCGGCGAGCAGGAAGAGGCTGGCGACGTAGCAGCACGAGCCGCAGAGGACGATGCCCCTGGGCCCGTAGCGGTCGAAGATGGGGCCCACCTGCACGCCCAGGCTGAGGCCCAAGAAGACGAACAGGCCCGGGATCCAGCCGACCTCGCTGGTGGAGTAGTGCGCGAGCTGGTTCGAGGCGAGATACGACTGCAGCACGCCGAGGGTGTTCATGAGCCCGTACGACGCCATCAGCAGAAAGAACGAGCCCAGAACGGCCAGCCAGGACTGCGTGCCGCCGTCCGGGAAGGTGTATTCGCCTGCAGAGTCGGTAGGAGGATACTGACGGTGAGGGTTGGAGGCCGTGCTGTGGGCAGCAGTCGTCGAAGGGTCTGGCGGAGGCTCGACGATCGAGACCGCCGAGAGAGGAGGGACCTCCTCGTCAGCGAAGCTGGTGAGAGATAGTTGATCATGATTATCTGGATGGGATTGAGCTGGCCTTTCGGAAGTCGCCTGCATGGCAGTGCCTTCCTTCAGCACTAAACACTTTATTTCAATTGTATGTATATACAAAAAAAAACCAGAATGGAACCTTTGCGGAGTGAGAATTAATCGAAGGCCATAACCATATCCCTCTATATGCAGTCTGAATGGGTGGGGTCATCTAAAGAGACAGCCAGTCCATCATTGTGATCAATTAACTGATAGATAGATAGATCAAACTGATACAAATGAGTCAGAAGAACCGTCTCTAACTTGCGGTGTCGGCGGGGATATCTAATCCAAATTGAAATAAAATCAAATACAATTACAATCAATCGTCTGTGTCGGAATTAATATTATTGGTGAGTTTGTTAAAAACATTATACTATTAGTACGGAGTATACTATATTAGAACTATACTATACTGTCTATGTCCAGTACCGAAGAAGTGATTTAATCCGATAGGCCGTGTTCAACCGATCTAAAGCGTTCGTTCGTTTGGATGGAATAATAATGATGACAACAGGGCTGTAGTCGTCAATTCAGTTCATTCTTTTCATTCTTCTACATCAACAGAGGGAAAAAAAAGAATTGCGCCAAGTTGTGGAAACGTGGGATGAAGAATTATTCTTAGTGTCTAAAAAAAAATTGGGGAAACTAAAAAAAAGACTGTGAAATATATCTTTTATATATACAAGACTGCTAAGGCAATATCTATCAGGCTTCACTCGCCCATTTAGATATCCGGAAACGAACACCAAATACGCCAATTCTCCGCGCGCGACAGATTAATATCTGCCATGCTATGCAAGCCCTGCCATTGCCAGTCTTCTTCTCTCTCCTATTGCAATAACCCCCAGAACTTCTCCGTATCAAAAGTATAGCTGTTATCAACCTTCCACTTGTCATCGAACGCGCTGAACAAGATGATCCCGCCGTCAGGGAAACTGTTCTTCAGGCTCTCGATCGCCGCGTCCTGGTTCACCCTCGACGGGACAGCAGCACCGTTGGGCTGGCCGGCATACGGCCATCCAGACTCGGTGATGACGGTCTTCTTCCCCCCGGCTGCCGCAGAGACACGCTCTGCTTGCTCCCTGACGTAGGGGCCTGCCTCCTCCGCGGTGACGCTCGCGTCGAAGAAGGCGTGGCAGTTGGCAGCGCAGTAGTCCGATGCCTCGCAGAGTTCCGGATGCTGGATCAGCATGTTGAACGTGTCGACCGTGACTACTGGTCCCTCGTACCCTGCGGCACGGAGGATGGCGCGCGCTGTATTCACGGCGGTGACGACGTCGCTGGGCGTATTCTGCCCCCGGAGCACCAGCTCGTTGCCGATGGAGATGGTGTCGAACGGGGACCAGTCGCCCTGCGCGGCGTCGATGATCGTCTGCAGGCTCTGCTGGAGATTTTTCAGGTCGTAGATGCCGGCAAACACCTTCATGCCGTGCTGTTTCGCTGCCGTCGTGACGGTCTCGACTTGGTTGCAGTCGACTCCGTAGATGCGGACAAGGGGGTAGTCGGCCAGTTTCTCGATGTCGGCGTCGACCTCTTCCTGGGACTTGCAGGTGCCATCATCCCTGTATGGCGAATAGGATATACCATATTTGTTACTCGTTGCTTCAGAAGTCGGGGCTGGTGGAGGGTAGTAGGACGGTTGAGTAGGGACTGCATATGTCTCAGGATAATGGTATTGATCCGTATCATAACTCAACCATGTCGATTCAGTAGCCGGATCTTCTCGCGGAATTGGGAGTTTCGCCGTGGTGAGCAACGTCGTCGGCTGTGGCTGTACATGGACCTATCTCAACCAGTCTTGTGTATTAGCATGTAACCATCCTCCAATCCAGGAAGCATGTACGCTCGCTCTCTTACGTTTGTGCCCACAGGCTGCGTCGGAGTACAGGCTCCCTTTGTTTCCACACTGAGCGTGTGCCCAAACTGATCCACCCAGATGATCACCTCCGCTGCTGCTGCTGATGATCCATCGCGATTACGTTCGACATGCTTACTGCGTTTGGCAGCGTGGTTCTTAGGGCCTGTATGTATGTATTTCCTCATATTAAGCATTTATTTCCCCCCAAGGTGATTCAACAGAATCGAAAACAATTCGTACAGACTAAGGCTTACTTACTGTGCGAATGCGCCAAAGCAGTCTGCAAAAGCGCCAATGCAGCAAGAGCTAGGACGGTGTTCTTCATCGTGAGGGAGGTGTGTGATCGGAAGAGAGAGAGAGAGAGAGAGATGAAGCTTCCCTACCTGGACCAAAGTCAATATCGTCTGGTTGAGCGAGCGAGCAAGTGAGGCAGGAGCAAGCAAGATTCAACAGAGAGAACAACTATAATAATAGCAACAACAAGATGGACACTTCTATGCTGTGCGGTGCGACAACATCATCACCATTGCATTGCAATTGTATTGTATTTATTGCCTTTACTAAATAGGGAAGATAAAAACAATGCGGCACAGAAACAGAAGTTGCTATATTATTGAGGAATGGCGTCGACAATATCTTCTTCCACTTTCATCCGCATGCTGAGCGCCACTGGGGAAAGAATGTGGTGGTAAATTAAATAGTGCCTCGTGAGGAATGAATGGGTTGTTGTGTGAAGAATGAATGAAATGAAATGAAATGAAAGGGTCTGTATGGAATGTGGACGAAATGAAACAAACCCAATCTTGTCATCTTCAAGGAATTGATTTCAAATTGTCGAAATATCTTATCAAAATAAAAGCAAAATCCTTCTAGATCAATAGGAAATTATGAATGGCTTGCAATAAAAAAAGAAAAGAAAAATGTCTCGTATCTCACCTGTTGGACTTCCAACACTCTCCTATCCTGACTTTAACCCACTGGCTGGTAGACTACTGTGAATCACTCGAACAATCATCAGACATAACGTCCATTAAGATTAAAAATATCTAGTCTAAAACAAAGTTGGCCTCAGCGAAAGGAAACAAGGCACCCCCTTGGCAAGAGGGCCAGTCGACAAAGTCACTTCTCTCTAGCGGTGGTTCTCAGCAACCAAGCATCCACCGTAGAACAAAAGAACCAGCCATCGAGGCGATCACGAAAATCGATATAAAAATATGTCCTGGCAGTAATATGTCCTTCTGTACACCGAATTTTGATAACCCAAACCAAGAACGGGAGACAATGACTCGTAAGAATACAGTCAGAAAAAAGGGTCGTTACACATGCAATGGCGCAAGACCTTTTCGATAAACGATGCAGGACGGGCAAGAATGAGAGTCGACATCTATCTCTTCTTGCTCATCACCTTGGTGATCGCATGTCGAATAATGGTGCCAGCCTTTTCGATTTCCTTCTTTGTAAGTCCCGTGTTAATACAGATCTTCAGCGCTGGAAGAACAGGTTGCTTTGGCGACATGTTGTCTGGGAGAGACTTGAGGCGAGTGATGAGTACTCCGTTTGCAAGAGCCTTTGCCCAGCCATTAGCGTCTATCCAAAAAAAAAATCAGGAACTGCTAAAGAAATGCTCACCTCATCCACAATGTCTTGCAACAGGAACTGCTGATCTTCAAACGAGAGCCGTCTCGAGGAGACAACTTCCGGCTTGATGACCAGGATCATGATGGGGTTTTCTGGGGCGCTGGTACAATACATCCAGTCGCTCCGCGGGTCAAGCTGAGCCCACATGGCCTTGATGTTTGCTCGCAGCTGCATAATAAGCTCCGGGCTCGACTGCAAAAGATTCAAGGCTTCGCTTGCTGTTGTCGACAGCAAGGCTGGGAGCGCGGCAGAGAACGTGTACGCAGCAGCCGAAATCCGCTGATGGTGGACGATCTCCTCCGATCCTGCGCAGAAGCCTCCTCCAGCAATCAGGGGTCCGGACAGAGAACCGACGATCATATCGATTTCGGCAGGATCAACATTCTGATGCTCCGTAACGCCTCTTCCCGTGCGTCCAAGGACACCGAACGACCATGTCTCATCCAGAATAAGACGAAACTTGTACTTCAATTTCAACTCAACCTGCGAAAACATCGTCAGCATAGATAGCCACCAAAGACCAAGGACAGGAGGACCCACAATTTTGGGCAAATCGACCATGTCACCGAATGATTCAAAGAGACCCTCCGTGATGATAAACCTCCTGGTCAAGGGCTTTCGGGATTGCTCCCTGGTCACCTTTTCCAAGACGCGCTCCAAGTCCTCCATATCATTGTGCTTGTACCACCGCACGATACTCCGTGAAATTTGAATTCCCCTGCGGATCGCATAGCTGACCCCTTCATCGGCCACGATAATATCGCCTCGCTTTGAAAAGGCCGGAATGACACTCGATATCGTCGAAAACGCCTGGGCATAAATGATACACGCTGCTGTTCCCAGAAAGGCGGCGACGTCGGCTTCGGTCTTCATGTGAACGTCTTGGGTGCCATAAAACCCTGGTGGACCACATGGACCGACACCGTACGTGCGGAGGGTCTGGATTGCCTTCTCCTTGAGCGATTCGTTCGACGTGAAGTTGTAGAAATTGTAAGATCCAAGGTTGGTGACCACCCGCCCATTGGACAGCTTCACCTTGGGGCCCGTCGAGCTGAGATAAGCTGAATTAGAGCAGGTTCAAATAGGACAAGCAAGCACAGGGTTCCTAAGAGCATACCCAGAAATCACGACCCTCTTCTCTACCTCAGTTTCCTCCAGCGCCGTTGGGGGGCCTACAAGCGGCTCGGGCTGCCATTCGTCGACCAGGTCATCGATCTCCTCTTCGGAAAGTTGGACGATGCCGGGCTTGGTGGAATACTTGGGGGCAAGAAGATAGCGCACGGCGAACAGGAACAAGAAGAGCTCGATGGCCGAGCGGATCGGATCGTTCTGGTAGCTCGACTTGACGTAGCGAAGAAAAATTGCCGAACCGGGGAGACGATGGAAGAGGTTGGCGAGCTCCTGGAAGAAAACCGTGAGGACGCGGTAGGCTTCTTGCAAATCCATCATGGCATTGCCGAACCGAAGACCGCGGATCCTCTTGAAAGACGAAGTACAGCAGAAGAAGAAGGCAAAGGGTCACGGAAAGGGAGTCTGCATGCGGAGGTTGATATGTCTCCTTAATCGAAATTGTTGACTGAATCGCGTACGGGGAGCGCGGAAATCAGCGCCGGCAGCCGCGATTTGATCACGTGATGTGCACCGACCGATAGGGGCAACTACAGACGTAGGTACTCTGTACTTGAGCTCTGGTAAAGGAAATGGCCTTTTTAACATTCAATTGTGATCCTAGCATGTGTCATATCATAGCATCTAGAATGACTGTAAAATGATAATGGTGACATTGTTCCCTTTTCGATTCTTGAGAGAGGTGAACGTCCAGACAGTCACCAGTTCCCAGACCAAGCCAGCCTAAGCTTCGTCACCTCCCAGCACATCCTCTTCGGCCTTGACCTGAGAGTTGGCATTGACACTGGCATTCGCATTGGTCGAGGCGCCGCGCTTGCTGAACTCCTTGAATTTCTTCTGGCACACCGCAGGAGGGTACCTTTTGCCGCCCTTCTCCTCGATCGCAGCCGCAATCTTGGCCCATTTCTCGATTTCGAACTTCTCCTCGATTTCCTTCATCGCCTCGAGGAGTCGTTCGCGGTCGTCGTCTTCGAAGACGACGAAGTTGGCCTTCATGCGGATGTATCGGGTGCTCAGTGTGGTGCCTCCGACTTTGATGCCCGTCATCGCTTCCCAGGCAGCCTTGATCTCGGCCCAGCCCTTCCCCTCGACGTCTTTCATGTGAAGCAGCATACGGTCTGCTTTTCCGGCCGACTCGTAGGACGTTGGGATAGGCATGGTTCCCCGTTTGACTCCCTTTTTGCTCTTCTTGGTCGGGCTTTCGTCCTCGCCGTCGTCATTGTTGGCAGTCTTGCGGCAACGCTTCTGGGGAGTCGGGGTCAGAGACGCGTTGGTAGCTGACTATATATATATGTAACATGGTTAACATGACATCAGAGACAGGAATATGTCCAGTGCATACCTCTTCCTGAAGACCGTCATCATCAGATTCATGCTCAACCTTCACATCTTTCAGCATGTCTTCATCCTTTTTGGCAGGCATGTTGATTGGAGTAAAGGCTGGCATGTGTGCTTGTCATGCACCACGTATGTCTGTTATCAGATGAGCATGATGAGCGTGAGAATGAAAGCAAGAAGGCCAAGAAACCACTCACTGGGTAACTATTTGGTAGCAAGGTAAGATGTTCTTCGGTATGATAAGGTGAAGGAAGGAAAACAGCGTATGCAGAGTGTGAGAGAAAGGGAGAAACAACGTCCACCGCACAAGAACGCAACTCCCTAGGGGGAAGTTAGCTGACTTGCGTGCTATGTTGACGAAGGAGACAGTTCCAGCAGGTAAACAAACAGATAGATAGACGCTGGGCTGCAGGTCGTGAACTCACCTTGACGATTCGAGGTCAGTCACCAGTGAAGCAAGATAAAGTGAGTGACAGATCCTAAGGAACCTGCTACTATAATGCTTTTTGACAGAGGGAGCCTCTCTGAGAGTTCACTATCTGAAAAGTAAGGGAGTTAGTTCAGTGAAGAGACTACCTGCAAAGACGCATCTATATCATATGTTACATGATCAACGATGAACTGTCCTAAAGTCATTACTCCTGGCAACCACCCATCTTATCTGAGGTGAAATCAAGGCATGAAAAAGGAGTGTCATAGCTTCGATAGGTAATAAGTGACCCTTTCTTCAGAGAATTTTTCAATCAACATACTACCAGCGTTAAGTAGATCAAACAAATATCTCTCACTTATACAGGTATATATACACTGCACTGCCCTGTACTTCAGTCCTGCTCTTGCTTAAGGAATCGACCATCCATCTTCCACACCTCACTGATATCGGATTCGATCTGATTTAATATCATGTACTGACTGTGGTATGATGGCCTTTCGTCCCAAGTGAAATGTCTGATTACTGTGATATTCAATTCACTCACTCACCCCTTGGCAGAATCACAGCTATAGTTATAGTTATAAGACGCCACTGACATGCGATGATACCTTCAGTCATAATGTCCAATGATCAATCATTTATGATTCGAGTCCTGTGGCAGGCAGGCAGTAATGAAAAGTCTCATCTTTTCCACTTACAGATACCATGGACGAAAAGGAGGAAGAATATTATTGCAACATACCGTCTGATGTGATGATTATGTAGTAAGTCACTGAAGCTAACAAGCTCTCTCCGGTAGAATAGAAATAGAATAGCATTTCTTCTCAGCCAGGAGTAGTAGTAGGACTCAAAAACAAGCAAAAAAAAAGACATTTTCAAGCAAAGATAAATAAATTAGTGACAGAGAATAAAAAGAAGAACAAAACCTTTAAAATTAAATTACAAGACCAGTGCACTGTGTTGTACACATACACTGTACGGAGTACTTACTATACATACATATACAAACCCTCCCTTTCCTCCTGAAAACATAACATTCTCGTTCGGTCGAACTCTCTATATGGCACTTTCCCCTTGATTTAAAATAACGGGCTAGTGGTCTAGTGGTATGATTGCCGTTTTGGGTTAAAATTCAGAAAAAATTATTTATTCCTTAATAATTTCTGGATGTTTGGCTGTCTACGGCAGGTCCCGCGTTGCAGCTAGCCGCGTTAATTTCCCTTTTTGCACCCGAATCAAGAAGACCCGACTGTCTTTTTCTTTGTTTTCCCTTTTTTTTTTCTTTTTTTTTCTATTTATTTATGTGTTTATACTGTCAGCAGCAATAAATAGTTGCTTGCTCGCTTGCTTGCTTGTCTTCGAGGATGCACGCATGCGGAGGATTCGAGACTTTCAATTCAAGTGTCACCGAAGATGAGAATTTGAGACAGACCCAAAGTCCATAGGACCTACTAGTCAACTGAAAACAAAACAAAACAACTTATGGTTCTTTATTTATTCTATTTTTGCCCTTTATAAAATAAAAAAAACTGAAAAAAGATTCAACCGGGTCGTCAATAATCTCTTATCTGTCTTGTTTTTGTCTTTGGTCTATATACATAGACCCTCTCCTTCACCAGCCCAAGCCCCTGTAAAGACTCTCTCTCTTCTCCCATCACGAATATTTTATATCCATTTATCAATCATATCTGTTACTATGTAGCATGCATACCCCATTGTAGTACATACAAGTTAGGTAGTACCTCCTTTTTGCATGGCATCATCTATCGATTACCTTCCGAGATAACTTGATTATAGAAAACCTCAATTCTAGTACCAGAATTGCAACACCGGAGGCAAATAATACTAACATACATTATACGGGGCAATCCAATTCTTAATACAATGTTTTATCCTCATAGGAATTGCTGGAAACTAAGTTTAAACAGGTCAACTAAAAAAAAAAGACAGGCAAAGGACGGGAATACAATCTTGAAGAGAACCAGTGATTTGCGCGCAAAACAACCAGTCAACACCACGAGCATACAAGGGAAGTGATCACGCAAGATCGAGGTCATTCATTAATGTTGATAAGAAATGAAAGAGTACAAAGGGAATGGGGGTACATTGCAGCCCAGGTTATGCTCAATGCGATTTAATACCCGTGATTTCAGACGCATCTGTACAGCCGAGTTCAAGGAGACGTTAAAACGTATGGTGCGCGCGAGAAGATATCCTGGTTTCTTTTTTTTTAGAACATGAACATCATCTTCGCGCCACCGCCGGTACTGCTGGCCGCCGCCCCTGTGGGCTGCGCCTGCGCCGACATTCCACCAGGAAGGTTGTTTCCTGTGTAGAAGCTGGTCGTGTCGTTGTTATCCTGATTGATTGGCTGCATAAGTAGCATCCCGCCCGCGCCGCTGAAACTCTTGGTGATATTCTGTGCCATTCCCATGTTACGGACAACAAGCGGCGCGGCGATCAGGATGATGAAAAGAATAAGCATGGCGAAATAAAGGATTGAATAGCGGATAACACGACGCCTTCGAAGCTTGGTTTGTTTTAAGGAATAAATCGGTGGACGAATCTGCCGGCTAGGAGGAAGTCAGCTTTTTAAAAAAAAAGTTCACGAGATCATACAGCACTCAAGCCTTCTCTTACCTTGGACGCAGCCAGAAAAGAATGACGGAATGGAACTTGTCAACATAAGGAATACAGAGGGCGGGCAGCATGATGAAAAGGAGCATGTGTCCCAGGACGAAGTCGGCAGCAAAGTATCCGAGCTCCGTAATCTTGCAAAGGAATTCACGGCCGGGCTGAGAGATCGAGTGCCAGCCCATGCTGTACCATTTTCCAGTCCACCAGGCGATGTTCGATTGGTCGTGCTTGAATTCTCGTGTCAATGCCAAGGCAATGATCAATTTATAGACGAAGCGCTGAATAGCAGCCATGGAGATCATGCCGAGCAAGCATCGAGGCAAGCTGAAGCCTTCCAGGAAGAACATCACCTCGAAGATGGCCAGAAGCATGATAACGGCAACGGCGTGGGCAATGGCAGCGAGCACAGCTCCAAACTTCTTGCAGCACATGCTCAGGACGGGACCCATGCAGCAAGCCATGCCGAACATGGCAGCCGCAACACCGGCATTGACACCAATAGGAGCGAATGCAACAATACCAACACGAACCAGGGAGTCGGTAGGCTTGGCGTTCTTCACTCCTGTCTGCGCATTGATGTACAGATACGGGATAAGGGTCACGGCAACGAGCACCAACGGGCCAACGATCTCGCTGAAGAAGATATTCGACAGACGAGCTCGGGGAACATCACCCGACAGCTTCTCCGAAGGTACACCAAGAACTTTGCGCTTGTAACCCGTAATTCTGGTACGAGACAGGCGGCAGAATGCGATCCAGGACGAGGCATGGGACCGAGAATTACCGCGGGACAGCCATCTCAGGTAATCACGATAGTCGATGAAGAAGTCGTTCCAGGCAAACTGGTGCGGGTTGAACAGGAAAGGAGAGATGCATAACGCCAGCAGAGACACCCAGAACCAGATCAGGGCCGGAGTCCACACGGTGGTCGTGGCAAAGAACAGCATCAACAGCGCCCGGGCTCCAAAGTAAATCGACGGGCTCGCGAAACGAGAGTAGAGAACTCCGAAAGGAATACGAGCCGTGGCAAAGCCTCGACCGGTACCGATGTAGCGGGCACCACCAAAGGAGAGATCTTGCTGGATCGAGTTGGCATAGATCTGGCACACGAACACCTCGAACATGAAGGAGAAGGATCCAAAATGCTTGGCAAGACGAGTCGCCGCGCGCCAGAAACCTCTCTCGGTCAATTCCTGGACAACCAGAGGAACGAACGAGATGAAGAACACGATGAAGATGGAGACAATGCAGCGGTTCACCCAGTCGGTGATGGGAACCAGGTTGGCACAACCCGTCGGCATGAGTGGATCGGTGATCGGCACGTTGGGGTTGTAGCGGCACAGGATCGTCTCGTGTCGCAAGGCACCCAGGTTGATCAAGACGATCATGAACATCTGCACCGACAACATGATAAACATGTTGTTGATGTGGAAACCAGGGTGGGCATAGTAGAACGACAGGAATCGATCCAGGGGAAGCTGAGTGCCAAGGTAGTAGTACTCGCGAGACAGCATCTGTTCACCCATACCGGTTCCGATCTTGGTGGTGAAGTTGAGAATAGAACCAAAACCCAAGTCACGACCTTTACCACACTGGAAGTACTCGCAGTGCTTGATCCGACCGCCACGAAGCATTGCGTTCATACCAGCGTAGATATCTTCGTTCAGGTGCAGACCCTTCTGAGCCTTGGACACGCCACCTCGGGTGCACATGAAGATACCGTTCAGGAAGTCAGGGTGACCATAGTGCAGTTTACCACCGATTTCAGCCAGCGTCCGTGCGAACAGGGTACCGAAGGTCTGTTCCTTTCCAGCAGCCACGTCACCGAGAATGCCAATGTTCTCCGAGAAGATATATTCGCGGGCACCAAGGATGGCAACGGGGTTCGTCTTGTTGGACGGGAGACCAGGGGTGTAAGGAGACACATTGTCGGTAGTCATTTCCTCGAACTCGGCCAAAACGCTGCGGATCTTGAGACACTCTTCCAGGTAGTTGTCCTGGTTGGCATCGACCAGTTGAATATACTCGCCACGGTAGAAAATGATGGCATGGTTCTGATTGTCCGATTTGCCGTCACCGAGAATCGGGTTACCAGACAGCTGGATGCGGAACTTGGGCTTGCGCATGCCGCTTTCCAACAGTTCGCAGTGTCCATCGATCAGGGCCGAGTACAGTCTTGGCTCTTCGCCCTCGTTCAGAGGGGGCTCCTCGTCCAGATAAGCGATCTGCAGGTCAGGGTAGGCACGAAGCAGAAACTCGGTGTTCTCGCGCTCCTCCTTGTTAAACTTGGCATATCGCTGCATGGACACGCAAATCTTGAACTTCCGGCGGGCCATTCGTTCGAGTTCCCGTTCGAGCTTGTCGGAATTACCGCCAAACATCTGCACCACTTCGGGGTTCTCAACACGATACAGGAGTTTGATGGCCCGGCTGTAGTTCATGAAACCAGAGATGGTGCGGTACAGAGTCTGAGAGCGAAGCGAAGCCCAGATCCGAGTGCGAAGCGTGTACTCAGGAGCCGCAGATTTGAAACCAATGCAGTAGAAGGGCAGATCATCAATCTTGCTCTTGGCAGCATCCTTTTCACTCTTCTCGTACTCGCCATTAAACTGCGAAGTCTCGTCGGCCAAGATCTTGGTGTCCTTCACGAAACAATCCCATTCGTGCGGATGCAGCTGCTTGAGATATTCCAGGAGAGTAACACGCGAGTACGGCTCATCTTCCCGGATGATCTCACGCAGAGACAACAGGATCTTTTCGCTGTAGTGGGGGATCAGGACCGTGAAGGTCGGCATGTTGTCAACCGGCACGGGCTCCGGAATCGGGGTCGACAGGGACTGAGCGAAGAAAGAAATGCGACGCTCGGCTTCGCTCTGGGGCGGGAAGAACTCGGTCTTGAACGACTGGTCCTCCTGCGAGACGAAGAAAGTCGGAGCCCTCAACGTTCGCTTGCCCTCCTGCTCCGAGGGAACCTGGTGGTACAGAAGTTTCTGAACATGGTCGATGGCCAAGAGATGCTCGCGGTACATGGAAATCACGATGGCGTTCCACACTTGAGAAATCAGGACCTTTGGCTTGTACTTGATCTCCATGTCGGTGGTTGCCAGGACCTTGGAATAGATACGCTTGGGCAAGCGAGAAAAGATGTTCCGCCACGGACTCCAGATGGAGACACCCAGGTAGAACGACCGAGCCACGGAGAAGACGGTGTTCAGAATAATGTACCACAGATAACTGTCCAGGAAGAAGAGGGTCAAGTCGGTGAAGAACATGAGACCGAGAAGAATCTGGGGCTGGTAGTGGCACAGAACATTACCGATGATCGCGTCACCAGCGCAGCGACTGATCTTCATCGGCGACAGAATCCGGATGGGATCCTTGAACGAGAGGGTCAGGAAGAAGTAGGATTCGACCAGCTTGGCGGCAAAGACGCAGACCCACAGACCATAGGACATCCACATGCTGTTGCCCTCAAGCCGAGGGAAGCTGGCCGTGAACGTCTGGCTGGCAACATATCGACGACCGCCCTTCTTCAAGTAACTACCGAACAAGGCACCCAGAGGCATGAAGGAGAAGAAGAAAAAGGTTGCCAGCGCAACAAAGAACTGGACGATACCGAGGATGAGAGCGATCGAATCCGTGCCATCCTTGGAGATTCCGAAGACGTAGACACTGGGACCAACGTTGATCGCGAAGACCAGGAGGAGGAAGAGAAGCCGTTTCGTCAGATGCTGAGCGCCTGCCCATCGACGCGGAACATACGCCCACTCGGCCAGAGTAGCCAGGATCTGGATGATACAACAGACCGTACCACCCAAGGCGACGGCGGACCATTTGTAGGAACCCGGTGGTTGATTGTTCCGCTGTTGCTCGTAGTTCTTGGTATAGAGGGTCGGCGAGTTGTATGCGGTGAAGAACCAGAAAGCACCCAGGTGGATGACCCAGATGCGGTTGAAGTTGGTAATCATATGGAACCAGGACCGAGTCTCCTTGTACGTCTTGAAGAAGACCTTCTTCCAGTTGACCTCCTTGAGCTTGTTCCAGCGCTCGGCGGGTGGGATGTCGACGAGTCGGGTCTTGTCCTGCAGCACGATCCGCTCGATACCCTCCGGATACCAGAAGAGCTGATTGACATCATCGTAGCCGATGATTTGGTTGTGGTCGCGCTCGCGTCGCACGTACTTGCCGTCGAGGATTTCATATCCCTGGTCGCGAAGGTACTGGTAGAGCGGAGTGATGACGTTGTTGAGATAGGACAACTCCTCGACCGGCTCGACACGGTTCTGGCACTCGGGAGAGTTCAAGTAATCATCGGCACACTTGAAGATGAAGCAGAGACATTCAGGCATGAAGCGAACCTGATTGGCTTCACCCCACAAGAGCAGATACAGAGCGAGCTGGCGGACGCGGTCATGCTGGGACATGCGGTTCATTCGAGTCTTCCACCGGTATTCGGCGGCCTCTAAACTGTTGTCACCTTCCAAAGCCTCCAGGGTCGCCTGTTCGTTCTCCGGGTTCTGGGCTGCGGCCTGCTTGGCGGCTTTGCGAGCCTTCCTCGTCTTGCGATCGGCCTTTCCGAGCTTCATGTTGGCAAAACCAACGGCATCGTCCAGATCCAGGTGGGCAGCGAAATACCAACGACGGTAGTTGGCATTATCGCCGCCGATGTAGTCTGCATGCAGAGAGAGCAGAGCCTGATTGGGAGTCATCCGAGACGCGCGGGAATCCAACTGCGTCATCAGGTGGTCGTACATGTTCCGCATGCTGTCGCGCTGGAAGCCAAATTTGTTGACGAGATCCAGGAAGATATCCTCAATCTCCTCCTTGGAGAGGGGGATCTGGGCGTCCGAAGCCCAGGCCGGATACGGCTCTCGGGATCGCTGCCCGGCGGGAAGGGCATTGGAGTAGTCCATCCCATAGACCGGAGTCGACGCACCGGACGAGCGGTTCCCACCATAAGAAACCTGGGAGGAGGGGGGTCTGTAACCGTAACCGCGACCCATCTGACTCTCGTTGTAGCTGTTATAGCGCTCATCACCACGGCCATAGTAATCCATGTCCGCCGCACGAGCAGTCTCGGATCTCATGGTGAAGTCACTGAAGGACTCGGAGTCGTCCTCGGAATCCCCATGACGGCGGCCTCGGCCTCCTGAACCGCCATACTGACCAGCGTGGCCTTGGTCATAGTACTGATCATTATAGTAGTCGTCCTGATAGCCGTGGCCGCCTTCATAGTAGCCTCCGTTGTTGTGCTCTCCATTGTAGTAGCCGCTATTTCCAGCATCAGCGCTAAGGTCCAGCCCAAGGGCCTCATGATCACATGCAGAAAAAAAACACTTACCCTTGGTCATAATACCCATCATGCTGGGAGTAATCGTGTTGATCGTAGTACTGATCATCGTGGTAATAGCCATCACCGTGGCCCTGATGGTTGTAGCCATCATCGTAGTGGCCCTGATTATTATTATAGCCCGACATGGTGGTGAGGACCAATTATTACAGCACGGGAGTATAACTTCTATCAATCGGGAAATCGATCTGGTCAGCTCCGTGTTTCCAAGGCACCCAAGAGAATTGCACTCCATCCCGTCATGGCAAGGGCACTCGGCCACAACACCAGGGGGAAAGCGCCGTAGCAAAACTCACTTTTAGGATCCGCCCATGAAACTGGTTTCAACGAACAAAAACCAATGTCGAGGTCGAAAGTCACTGGTCAATCTGGATTAAATCGCCATAGAAGAAGTGCATGAAACGAGCGTCGAGAAAGCAGGGCAGCTTCTGTTCGACAAGACAACAACACCGAAGGGTAGTGGTAACGGGCGAGCTGCAGGCTCCGGCACAGCCAGGCGACTCTATTGACAGCAGCAGTCGAGAATCGGCAGTCTTCACGCAGGCAGCAGGCTCGGAACCTCAGGACGCAGAGGAGTCGAGTTGGCGCGGATGGTTGTTGTCGAACGAACGAAGGAATCAATCGGGTGTTGCTGAGCCAATGTTCCCAGAACCGGCAACGGTCGGGGCAGGGTTCGGGGAGGGACCAACAGCGAGAAGACCAGTCCCAGCAATCCTGCCTTCTTCAAACGAATGGGAGAGAGAAGGAAGGAGGGACGGTCGATGGCGTCAGCAAAGCGAAGAGCAAAACGATGCAGAACCAAACGAGTGTCGGGGGGGGGGGAAAGAAAAGAGAGAAGGGAAGAAGAATGGTGGAGGGACGATCGACAGTGAAGGTGGAAGAGAAGGAGGGAAATTGTTGGCCTGGCAGTCGACTCGTGGTTATTTTGGGCACTTGAGGACGAGCCACGTAGGGGCGCGCGAGGCTTGGGCAAACAGAAGCGCATGTGCCGTGGTGGTGCGTGCGCCGTAGCCGGTTGCTGGCGCCGGGCAGCCGCACTATGTGCAGGGGCGCTATTGCCACGCACCGCGCCAGGGCGGCCGGACAAGGAGAGCAACTGGCATGTGGAGCAGGGGGGAGGACGCGGTGACACTGGCTGTGTCGCAGGCAGACCGCTGGATGGCAGCCCCTGAGACAGGCCCACACCCGGTGGCGGGTCGTGGTCTGCAGAGAATCGAGAACCGGGACTGCGCCCTCCCATTGGCCGTCAGCGGCCAGCCGGGATGGAGTATGCAGGGATGCCTGGCCCGGTAACGCGTTTTCAATGCGACCGGAGGCAGGAATGGGGGGCCCTCGGCTGCTCCCCGCCCAATCACCGCGGGCCTCGTGCGGATCGCATGGAGCCCGCTAACCGCTGGTGGCTGCTAGCCGATAAGACACATCCACGGGCGTCCGGCGCCGGCCTCTGCCCGGTCGGCCGTTTTCTATTTTTTTCACGCCTGGCTAATGATCTGGAGATGCATGGCTGCAAGGCCATGGAATTATGATGGAAAACTGCCCTCTGGCTGTTTTCATGTCAGTGGCAAGCAATCAGGCATCGTTGTTACTCCGTACTTGTTAGGAGGAATGAACGCGATATCACCTTCTAACAGACTAACACATGTACGTCATCCATCCGTCATATTGCTACTCGAGTACCCCGTACTTCCCTCGACGAGGTGCCCTGAGCTAGCATCCGGAAGCCCAGAATAACTATACGCAGTCTCATTCGCAGTCATCCTTGCAACGACCGGAGCGTATGCATCAAATCGGCGTGTAAGGGTTATTTATTAGCATTACTATTCCGGGGGATTATTATTATTATTACTTCCTCTGCCTCCTATTCAAAACGACCGAATTCATGAGACCATCCTCGAAAGGACATCTTGGGGCCTTGTTAGTCCATCTCAAAACGTTTGAGACGAGGCCCCCACAACGGATTCAGAAAATTCCATGGCCGAGGCTAGACCTGGTTATCTGGCCCTCATCAACGGTGCCTCCTTTGCCGAATCTCGATAGAATCATAGAACAGGCTCGACCCATTCGATCCAGTGAAACGGTCCCTAACGAGGATCCCGGCGAGTCGGCTGCACAAGGTGACAATCTCCCGTAGCCTGTAGGGTACCTGGCCGTTATTTATTGTAGTAGTCCTGTCTCCTATTGCAAGTTCGCAACAATCACGAATCCCAAAGTCACACTTCAATTCTGGATGGAAACAAGCAACGAGATTGCAGATCCAGCTTATCCAATCGCTAATGCAGGAGTCCTGTAGTAAATGGGCACTCTGTCGGCAGTTGGAGACGTTTGCCGATGAAATCTCCAGCACCTTCTTCGGTTCTTCCCTGAATTACGGAGTACTGCCGTGTGGCTGTGATTGATCATCATATCGTCAGTGGCGTGTCCTTGCCCGTCTGCAGATCCAAGTAGATAGAGAATACCAATGATTAACCAGAGGTTTCTGAAAATATCAACGATAAACCAGATTAACTTTCAACTTTCAACACCTGCATGCGCTTGCAGGACGCCGTGTGATTACTCTCCATATTGCCCTGCGATAGCAAAGTCCTTATTGGTCCAACAGCTATACAACCGAAGTCGGACGTCCCATGGATTTTGGACCGCCCGAACCATCGTTGCCAGTTGTAAGGAACACATGGGTATATCCCGAATTTCGAACGGGTCTGTTTGGCTGCGAGTAGCGAGTAAAAAATATGAACCATGCAGGTCAGGAACTCAATTTCGATGCCATGGCCAGTGAAATGGCAGTTCCTAGCCCGCTGGACAGGTGGCAAGCGTGCTGTGTGGCAGGTCGGGTGTGATCCGCATAAATTAATTTCCTGGTCCTGGAACAGGGGTTTCTCCAGCCGCATCCCACTTTGAAACCTCGCTGGCCCCAGCCCAACCCCCGGTGTATACTGCGTACTCTGCTCTGTAGCGTCCCTCACTACTGAAGAACTGCAGCTGAAAAGAACCAAAGAAAGAGAATACAGCGTACCATAAGCAGCCCTTTTTTTTTTGCTTGATTTGTGAAAAAGAGGTGGCAGGGCCAAACACTCAAACCTGCCTACTCTGTACTACTGACGGACAGGCGACTTTCCAGAGCAGTAATGCCGCCCATGATCTCAACAGGGATTTCGAAAAGCTTCCACAGGAATATCAAATGCAGTTTAACCCACTGTATATCAAGAATAAACAGGACTTCGGCGAATATTCATCGAGAGCCGACAATGCGTACGGTGCGTACGCAAGGCCTGGCTGACAATATTGTCGGATGTTGTTGGAACCAGCTGAGAAGATGCTGACCTAACCACGATGCTGGAGCTGTAAGAGACTGCTTCTCCCTGTGATGCTGGAATCGAGTCTACTCCGGACAGTGATGAGTTCTCTTGTTGAATCTGGTATAGAGCTGGCCTACCGAGTCCCGTGATTTACGTCCCGTGATTTACGTCGGTCGATGGTTTTTCCGCTCAGTTCGACTCCCCCGCCAGCAAGAATAATCAATCATTTAGTTCGCATGGCTGATCATAACGGTCGACTCGAGAATCACGGAGTTGATTCTATCATCGTCCGGACTCCAATCTTGCTGGTTGAGAAAGTTTTCTGGTCGCCTTCTCCAGAAATGGGCGAGGGTACTTGTACCTTGCAAAATCACTGAGAGCGAGGTGCGGAGTACTCTACATTATCTGTACACCGTCCCGTACAGTTACATCAGATCTTGTGCCTTATGAACAGCACAGAGGGCAGGAACTAATAACATGAACCACCAAAAAAAAAGACAAAGAGGCCGCTTTAGAGCCTAAGGAACAGACCTCTTCTTCCCTTCAGCTTATTATGGCCGTCTTGGCAGGCGTTCCGCCCAGCCTTGGCAGGAGACAGTCCGCGGTAATTGAGCAGATCAACGTCCTCCCACTCGCTCTGGACGCTCTTCCAAGACTTGTCGTTGCAAACTATACGAAAAACCATGAAGCCCGACTGGAACGGGGCCTGCATCCTCCCCGCCCATGTCCTTGGCGGGGGCAGCCTGCCCTGGCCCCTGTTCCTCTTTAAGGACAGTCCCCTACTCGGGAGAATTGCAATTAATATTGTCTCTTCAACTGATCCTCTGTACTGTTTGAATTTGTTTCTTGTTATTCGCTCGTTATTGAACCTGCAATTGGTCTTTCGCCAGTCACTCATTGCCTATATTGGCCATTATTTACTTCTTGCCATTCATTCCTTTTTGTCACTCCTTCGTAAGCATTGCATTGGGAGTAGAAACTCCCGGGCTGCGACGAGCAAGCAGCGGTGCCTGCATCACCTTCGTTTCGGACTCTCATTTGATATACGGAAGTCGTAATTGACAATGAAGTTTTCCTCCGTCCTTCTGGGCGTGGCCCTCTCCGCGGGCACTGCTCTCGCCGACGTTGACCCTATCGTGATCAAGGTGCGGACGTCTAGTGTCGCATCTGATCTGGTTTCTCATCACTGATGTCTTCGTGCGCAGGGTTCCAAGTTTTTCTACAAGACCAATGGCACCGAATTGTAGGACTCCTATCCACGTAGTGCTCGAGTGTAACTAACCGAATTTCAGCTTCATTCGTGGTGTTGCCTATCAGCGTACGTATCCCCCAGCCCAGCCCGTCTCTTAAGTCGAACTGCAATTGACAACTACATACAGAGTCTTATACGGGCGGCTCGAGCACGGATAACAACAACAAATATGTTGATCCTCTGGCTGACCCCGCTACCTGCAAGCGCGATATCCCGTATCTGCAGGCGCTGCGTACCAACACCATCCGCACCTACGCCATTGACCCAAAGGCGAACCACGACGAGTGTATGCAGATGCTGCAGGATGCCGGCATCTACGTCATTTCGGACCTCTCCTCGCCTGCGGAGTCTATCAATCGCGATAGCCCTGAGTGGAACGTCGACCTCTACAACCGCTACACGAGCGTCATCGACGCCTTGGCCAAGTACCCTAATGTGATCGGTTTCTTTGCTGGTAATGAGGTCTCTAACAACCACACCAACACGGACGCCAGCGCTTTTGTCAAGGCCGCTGTGCGTGACATGAAGAAGTACATCAAGGCGAAGAACTACCGCCCCATGGGCGTTGGATACGCCACCAACGACGACTCCGAGATTCGGGTGAACATGGCCAACTATTTCAACTGTGGCCCGTCGGAAGAATCCATCGACTTCTGGGGCTACAACGTCTACTCGTGGTGCGGTGACTCCAACTACCAGAAGTCCGGTTATGAGGCCCGCACGCAGGAATTCTCCGACTACTCAGTCCCCGTTTTCTTTGCTGAGTACGGCTGCAACGAGGTCCAGCCCCGTAAATTCACCGAGGTGGCCGCCCTCTTTGGTGAGCAGATGTCCAAGGTCTGGTCCGGTGGTATTGTCTACATGTACTTCCAGGAGGAAAACGACTATGGTATGTCTTTGAAAACTGACGTCCTCCTCTTGTCTCCCCCATCATTTCCGCATATCTGACTTCAAGACAGGTCTGGTATCTGTCTCCGGCAACACTGTCAGCAAGCTGCCCGACTATGACTTCCTTTCCAAGCAGATTGCCTCGGCAACCCCGACTGGCGTGAACAGTGCAGCCTACACCCCAACCAACACTGCTGCGCAGGCCTGCCCGACCATTGGCAGCAACTGGCAAGCTAGCGAGAAGCTCCCGCCGAGCCCGAACCCGGATCTCTGCGAGTGCATGGTGAAGTCGCTGAAGTGCGGCGTCAAGGATAACGTCTCTGACAAGGATATTGGCAAGCTCTTCGGCATCGTCTGCGGGTACGACGGCATCTGCGACGGGATCAGCGGCAACGCGACCTCGGGCAAATACGGCGCGTACAGCATGTGCCAGGCGCGGGACCGGGTGTCGTTCGCCATCAACCGGTACTACGAGCAGCAGGTGGCCAAGGGCAACGGCGATTCGGCCTGCGACTTCGACGGCGCCGCGGAGCTGAAGTCCAGCAGCAGCACGAGCGGGACCTGCGGTACCCTGCTGAACGAGGCTGGCGTCGAGGGCACCGGCACCGTCACGTCCAGCCCTACCAGCCCTGGCGGTTCTGGCGCGGCCAGCACGGGCAGCTCCAGCTCCTCTTCTGCGGCTGCTCGCCCCATGGCCGTTCCCGGCAGCGTGCAGGTCGGCATGTGGCAGTTTGGCGCGTACATCATCACTGCGGTGATAGCCGGTGTTGGTATGATTGTTCTGTAAATAAAAAAAAAAGAAGGATTTGCTTGTATTTAGTTGCTTGTATTTAGGACTTTTTTGCTTTTCACCGATATCAGATATTTTAATTTCGTTCTTATATGTATAATGCCATTGTCGCCAATCAATTATGGCGTCCTTTTTCCTGCATATCATCTGTTTTGTTTTATTTTGGCTTCGCTTGATTCACAACGTGTTTTACTAGAGTAGTCTAGGTACTAGCAAATTATCCTATTGTATATATATTCGTCAGTGTTCTGTTGTAGTTGACTACTTGACGCAAATCGCGAACAGAAATATATAATTTTTTAAGTGGGCAACTTGAATTAGTTACCTAACTACTTAGGTAAGTTGTAACACAAGTCTTGTTTTTTTTTTCCCCTACGAGCAATTAAAAAACAATAGGAGTAATAATAATAACGCAGGTTTCGCTGCAGCTTTGTAACAACTAACAAAAGACTTCTTAGGTCACAGTATTGTTGAAGTTAGGATGGATGGCCCTTTCATGCAGCATTATCTGATACAGGGAGTGGAAGACCGAGGATGCGCCAGCAGACTGCCCCACAGACGCACGTTAGCATTTCATTTCATCCTCTGTTCTGAGAACGTGGAATCGAAGATGCTGTACAGAAAGCAACTTACTCGACAACCCCAGGTCCGTCCCAAATGACGTCTTGTAAGCCTCTTCTCCCCCAGAAACACCCATGTCCGGGTGATACGTTACAGCCGTGCTTCCCAACGCGAGCGCGATCATGGGTGGCACGTATGGGTAGACCTGCAGCTCGGGACCGTCGATGTCTCCCGCTTCTCCCTCCCTGCTGCTGCTGCTGCTGTTGCTGCTGTTGCTCTGCTTGACCACTGGTGTAACATCGGCCGTGATGAGCTTGAGGATGTTGACGGCTGCGCACTGGCCCATTGACAGTGCCCGTCCGACACGTTTGATCCCGGACCAAGCTGCGATGTCGCCTACGGCGAAATGGACGTGATTGTTGGGGATGGTGGCAGCGAATTGCAGACTGCGTTTTACAAAAAAGAAAAAAAAATCAGTCATTTTTCTGTCAAGTGTGACAGAGAGGACTTACGATGGAAGAACCTTGACGTATCCCTCTTCGTTCAGCGATTCCGGCGGGAGGAACTCCGTTCGAGGCAAATGGCGAGACGTCGCCCAGATCGTGTGTCCGGCAATGATCTCGTCGCCGTTCGACAGCTTCAGTCTGATTTCCTGGGATTCGCCGTCCGGGGCTGTCTGCGTCGTCTCGTTCATCACTCGAGTCTCCAACATGACCTCGACTCCTTCGGCCTTGAGTGTGGCCAGGGCTTTTTCCTTGAATTCCTCTGGCAGGGGCTCGTTTGACAGGAGGCTGGCTCGAGAGTGGATCAGTATGACCCGGTGGTCGGGGTAGTGGTGTTTGATTTCGGCTGCAAATTCAGTTCCCACGGCTCCTGTTGGGACATACGGTCAGTCAGTCACTTTTCCAACACTGTTCTCCGGCTCTTGTGATTTCCTTACCCCCTCCAATTACGACGATCGGATGATTCCGTGTTGCTTTCAGCTTGGCAATATGCTCCTTGGCATCCAGGATATATTGCTGTCTCGTGAAGCACCGGGGCAAAATGGGCCAGTCTCGCTGCAGTCCCGTGGCAGCGATGAGGTAGTCATACTGCAGGACTCGGTCGGGGTCGTTTTCGGACGCCGCGCTGCTCCTCCAGAAGGCGCATTTCCGAAGCGGGTCGATCTCGACCACGCGGCCTTGCAGGATGTGTACGTTCGCCCGCTTCAGGGCCGGTATGTCGCTGTACCGGATCCATGCGCTTTCGGTCACCTTGTTCTCGACATGCACCAGTGGCGTTCCCATCGTGTGGACTGTGGTGTTTTGTTCAGGTCAGGTCAGGATTTGTCAGCCGGACAACAAGAGGAAGCAAGCAGATTCTTACAGATGCCATCTCTCTCATCCACGATCGTGATCTGCGGCGGCACGTCAGGCTTGCGAATGGGACTCAGGTTCATCACAGACGGGAAGTGCGGCTTGCCGTCACATATGTTGAGCAGGTTCAGGACGGCATAGAGCCCACTGTATGCAGCTCCGACGACGAGGATATGGGGCGGCACCGGGGGTGTCATCTTGTCCTGTTGAGCACTGAAATCTGGATAGGATCAGATCAGGATGGTGGCAGCCCGGCTGAGATATAAGCAGTACTTGTAAGTGAGTGCAATTATTCCGCGCAGAGCAAGCAAGCCATGGTGGGAGAGAGAGACGATGATGATGGATCTCCAGGGCGACTGTCCCACCACAAGAACATAGTGGACGGAGTAATAATCCCACAGATCCGGTGTCAGCCCACTTCTTTCCAGGGGGGTCGTGGACCTCGTAATCCTCCTTGGCCGGCCGGTGGGCTTTTTCTTGGAACAATCCTGCTAATAAGTACTAGGCCGGGGCGTTGGCGTAGTCCTCATCTAATCAGATCATCTTATCTGATCATCGGCCCTCTTGGCGGCTTCGCACGGACATGGCCAGCATCCTGACTTCTTCCGAATTCCGATACCGGCCAGACCTCAATCTCGTAATTTTACGGAAAAACAAAAGACAGGAGGAAAGACTGGACCATATTGCAATGAATTAATTCCATGTCGACTGGCCATCATCTACATATATAGGCGCAAGCTAGAGCTTTGGGAGAATAGGCAGCCTATAACGATCACGTGATGCAATACTACCCAAATAGTTAATTTAGATAATCAGTATGCAGGTACCTACCTAGGTAGGTAATAATATCATTCAAAGATCTGTGAGCAGCTTGCTCTTGTCTCATCTGGACTCTGCTGCTTAACATAGCTCTAGAAGTATAATCTGCAGAAGTGCTAGGCAGAGTAATTAAGACTGGAAACAGAATAGGTAATCGGCAAATGGCGCATGATTGAACAATGAGAATAGGGAAACCAGAAACATTGATTTGTTTACCATAAAACCGTCTCGAGGACATCAGATATTTGTCATCATTTCCTTTTTTTTTTCAATGGGACCTTTGTCAATATTATTAAGTGTCTCACTGTACCCACAGATCTCTTTGTTTTGAAAAGCATATATATGCCTCTTCCATCTTACATGTGCCGTCTATTTAGTACCCAGAGTTGTCAGCGCTTATCACATGGACTCGCATGCTCTATATATTCTGACTGCTTGCCCATGTATCTTCCTCTGTTCCAACGTTTCCCTTTCGCGCTGAGGTCTCTCATACCAGTGGCTTTCTCTCCTTCCGGACTTTCTGCCCCCATTTGCAAGATGTCGTGGTATCTCCCTGATGACGAAAGATCGACCATCAAATGATGAGGTAAGGCCTGTCATATCATCATAGTGTTCAGGCTTTGCTGACACGCGCAGGGATCCTATGAGGTCCAACCTTTAGTCCGATTTCCAAACCGAGCGAGATAACACGGTATCTGGTGGAAGGCTCATGTGGACTACTGCGCCAGATTTAATGGACTTGAAGAATTCACAAATATACGGTACTAGGTACCATACATCCAGCGATCCAAGGTCTAGAAGGCAAGATAATTACGGTCTAAATGTATGTCTAAGTTTTCTGGCTATTGGAACTTACTGCTGATGTCATGTGAATTTAGACTCAACAAAGATCAAGCACAAGCAACTTCAAGACCTGGACCATTGGCCACCAAACTCTGGATATCTGGACTACATCACGGATAATCGAAATCAACATTATTGGCGTGCCTACGTCGGCCAATCCGAAGCTCCTCTGCTGCGGATAAAACATCATATGAGGACAATTTACAGCGGAGACCATGATACCCTCCATTATTACATTGTGCACAAAGGGTCCGGCCATCGACAAGCAAACTTCATCAGACTATGGACCATTGTGTATCCACCGACTATGGATACATCTGTTCTCGTTGTTACCAGTAATGTTCTGGAAATGGTGATGACGAGGGCTTTTCAATCGCATCTGCCAGAAGTATTAGAGAAATACTTTGGTGGCCCTCCTGACATGGAGGGTTCAAAATACTCAGGCGTGGGTCTAAACATTGTACCCCCTCAAAGTGGTTTCACAAAGTCCGATTCTCTTATTTGGACATTCAACTTCCGCCGATACATACTTAGTCCAGAATCTTTTGAGGCTGCCCTCTTGGAACCGAAGAGGCAGCAATGCTGAGTCAGTTTATCGTGACCTTGTCCTGAAGAGCTGTCTGCGAGTTATTCTCATTTCCTGTAAGAACGCGAAGAAAATTCTTCTACCTCGTGATGTGCACTCAATCATCCTCAAGCCTCAAGGTGAAGTATGTGATAGGACAATCAGAGTTGTGGAAAGTCAGACGTTACCACACAGTAGTAGTATACTAGATGGATTGTTGTCACTCCACATTAGGTATTATAAACAAAGAATCAATTCTTTACGAGTTTAGATGGATGAAGTCTAATGCATAAAATTGATACAGTACGTATATGTATAGTACCATGGGCCTACTGTGGATAGTAGTTATTGGCAATTAGGTAGGCAGTACTGTGGCTGTTGCATTTGTCCTCCGTAGAAATCTTGGCCCTGCTGAAAAGAGCAAGATTTATCCACGTCACTTCAATGCGACACTTTGGCCGAGTGGTCTAAGGCGTGTGATTCGAATACTCTTAGTACGACTATCACATCCCTACGGGGTCGCAAGTTCGAATCTTGCAGGTGTCGTCAATTCTTTTTTTACCACTTCATCCATCTGTGTGGACAGATAAACACGTACAAAGTTCTCCTTAGTGAAAAATATGGGTTACAAAGATGGTGTTGTGTGAGAGCACGATTCTTGGCATCCACCGGATTTATGTTTTTTTTTCCTTTTCTGTTACTGCCTTAGGTGTTAAATCATGTGATTGCATTGTCAGCAGATCAATAACTTGGCTGACATCATCTACTTCACCACTCTTCCAACACTGAGTAGTCAAAGGCATGTGTGATTCAGTAAGTCACATGAGCACACCTTAAACTGTCTACTTCACCACTCCTCCAACCCCTTGGCTTAGTAGTTTAAGGCGTGAAGGCGTGCGTGAAGGTGTGCGTGATTCAGTAGGTCACATGAGCACGTTACACGAAGCTAATAATCTATACCTTAGAACCTCCTGGTACAGAAGTTCTTTCACCCTTTCTCTCTCTCTGCCTTTTGCTTCCTATACTAAGAAACCAGATGACTTTTTTCTGTTCTGTGAGAAATTTCATATACGCTATCCTCGATGTGAACAGACGTACTAAGACAGTGTGGCCGAGTGGTCTAAGGCGCTGGTCTCGAATGAAAACCAGTCTCTTCGGAGGCGTCGGTTCGAATCCGACCGCTGTCGTTGTTCATTTTTTTTTACTTCTCATTGCTGAGATCAACCACTGTAAAACTGTAAACAAAGAGCTGATTCCAGTCTCAGGGGAGAGGTTAAGCGAAAGATCATCACATTGCTTCTGGGTGAAATCAGCTAACCCGACCATAAGATTAGATGAATCCTGAGTACAGGTCGGGCAGCACGACCCCCTAGCCTAGTAACATGACTTCTTTTTTCTGACTAATATGGCAGGAAACTAAACTGGTTGGTCAGGTGGCGTACGCCGTATCTACTCCGTAGAGGTACCTTACCTATACCTAGGCTCCTAGGTACCTACATACACACTGTACATACAGTACACCCCTTTGGGGTAGGTGTCGATTTTTTTTAGCACACAGACCGATGACAGGTTTAAAGCCCTCCTCCCTCCTATATAATTAGGTCTTTTACTTACTAGAAGTAGACTGTAGAAATAGACGAAAAAAGAAACAATACAAAAGAAGTACCTTTTATATTTTGATAGACAGGCTAAGCGACTTCTTCAATCCTCTCCGCTGGAGGGCACAAATTCAGATGATTGATATCGGGCTAGCTTTCTCCCTTCTGGCTTTGAATCGGATTCAAAAATGTCGAAGGAACTGTCGGAATCCATGGCTGCGTCATTGCCAAACGTCAGCTTGCTTTTCTGGGTTGCGCTTTCCTCGGCGGGAACAGATGGACGCGTCTTGTTTTGGAAGTGAGCACGCGCCGAGCGCTCCCTATCCCCCGGGTCGCTGAAGATGTCGAAATCACTATCTGATTCGACATCCGTTGTCTCTTGCGCAGCTGTTTGCTCCTTTTCAGTATCGGACGGGATGAAGTCATCCGCGTCATAGTACTGTTCGTGCACTTTGTCTGTGCAGCTGTCTCCGTCCAGCATAGGGGCCCTACATCTTGCGGCTGATGCTGTTTTCTTGCTAGGCCGGAGAGCATGCTGTTTTCGGCTCCTAACAGCCACGCGAGGAATGCGAATGATCAAGTCGTTGTCACCGACTTTGTTGGCCTTCGAGCGGGATCTATCGAACAGCAGTTCAGAGCCACCGTCAGGTCTCACGGATGTCAAGATCACCTTGATCTTCTTTTGCTCTGCCCTTCCGAAGTCCTCGAGGTCTTTGAAGCGTTGGAGTAATTTTTCAAAGTCCTCACCAACACCGGGAATTCGAGTTCGATCAATGCCTTCCACGACGAGATATATCACTGGCAAATGCACTGCCCGGAGACATTCCAGAAAGATTTTCCACGAGAGCTCCATGTCCGATTTAGCAGCCACAAATATCTCCGCGTTGAAAAGTTCCGGGTCTCCATTCGTGAGGACCTCAGGAAATCGCCGAAGCAGATGAAATGAAAGCCTCTGGACCAGAGCACGGGGATTACAGATCGATGGAGTGTCCGCATACAGCGTACAGAAATTGTACAGCACTCCGTACCCCGCCTCCAACGCCGCGCGAACGATATTCAACGCAAACTCGGTGGTCCAACTTGGCTGACCCGGTACTTCGTAACCATCGATCCACAGGAGACCGGATGCTTCTTTTTCAATCCACTCTCGGAAATCTGCGCGGTGCACGACATTGATCCCTTCGTTGCACTGCGTCAGAGGCAAAACTTGCATCCGTTTTTGCGCATCTTTAAAGTCCTCCTCGATGGGAAGTAGCTCAGAGAAGAACTGTTGGCAGACGTCTAGAGCGGGAAGCCGGAAAAGCTCACGGTCGACATTTCTAGCACCTGAAAGGGTTTGTTGGCACGTTATTTGGAAATGTGGATAAGTTCATGAGAGCTAACCTTCTATAGCCCTGATTTCTCGTTCCCTTTGGAGCCGGTTTTGACTCACAAGCTCTATATCAAGGTTAGCCGAGTCATATACTTTTCCATGCTGGGGACCTTCTCAAGCTTGATTACCCTCGAGAATCTCGATGATTCGCCCGGTTCTGGAGTCAGTGTGGACAGCGAAGTCCTTGAAAAAAGACATGTCCTTTTCGGTTTGCAGTTCCCTCTGAAACCCCCATATCAATCTCTGGATTTCAGCCTGTTCCATTAGCTTTCTGTAGCTTTCGTCGACACTCTTCAGGATTGGTCCAAGGCGTGTATCGAACGGGAAGAGAGTTGCCTTAACGCTTCTCACTAAGATATCAGACGTCAGAGAATCGTCCAACCTCAGTTGTGGACGAGACCTCACCTATCCTGTTACTACGGAACCAACGAATGGAGATCTCCAGAAATTCAGCGAACCCCGCGTACATGGCGGCCGCAGCGTCCACCATCTTGTCGTGAGGAAAAAATCGAAGGAGCAGTTGGACCAGCTGGAACCTCTCCCCGAACTTGCTGAGATGAACCGTGATGCCCTCCTGGATCTTTTGATACTCCACGGGAATCATTACCAACAGCTTCATTGTGCCCCACGCAATACTCGCCCAGTCTGGGTGCTGCTGGATCAAGACATCCAGAACGGCGGAGTAATAAAGCGTTGTTTTGCAAAACTGTTGCAGAGCTGCTTTTGCCTTGCGCTTGAGACCAACTGCCCCCGTGCCCGGAGAGTTCTCATTTTGGAGCTTTTCTGCTACCTTACGGACCTCTTCAAAATCGACCCCCCTTTTCTGGATCAATTCCCATTTCTGCTTGGGAGCCTCAGTGTTATATTCATCTATCGCTTTTTGAAGCTCCCCAAATCGCTCTCGGACACATTGTTGATTGGAGATTCTCAGAGCCCAGATCGACTGAGGAGTTTCTGACGGCTGCGCAAGGGTCTGATCCGCGCTTGCTGAAGTCCTTGTCTCCTCGGAAATATTCCTCAATGACTGCAATAAATCATCTGCGGCCAGTTTCGAGGGATGTACTGGTTTGGATTTTGTAAGAAGCTTACGGATTCCGGCGTCCTTGACTGAGAGTTTTGGCACTGGTCTCGGAATCCCAGGCCCTATTTGAATCGGTTGATTGGTTAGACTCGTGACGCTATCTGGATCGTGGCCTTCCATATCTCGATGCGACTATTATCTTCGATATGTTTTCTCCAAATGCAGAGCAAAGAAAGAACAAATATCAACCGCGTCTTACGTTCTGGCGACCTCTGTAGAGGCTACTATCATTCCAAGGTTACATCATTAATATCCCCTCCCTAGTGATGACTGAGCAGCCAACAGGAAGATCACAAGCCCTGGCAAGGCTAGGCAGTTCCAAGGCTGTACTCCGTAAGAAAACAAGGCTACGCCAGGCCCGATCAAGTTAAACGATTTCGAGATGCAAGGATTCCATTGTCAGATTCGTCTAATAATTCCATGAAATATGCAAGTCAATTGACGCCTCGCTTGATGGGATTATTTGAATGGCGAGTATGCCTTGAACCATGTCACAGTTACATTATCAGGTAGCCAGGCTGTCCACCTCCACCACACTTGGTTGGCATGAGGCTGAAATGGGACGAGGCTGAGAAGCCGAGCCTTTCTCCCGTATAGCTGTGTGTGTCTCCCCGTCATATCTGCCATGGCAGGATTGTGACTTGTAAAGATTGGTTGTTTCAAACTCCAAGATCCATTTTTCCTTCCTATGCAAACCACTTGACTTGCAGTTCATTGCCCAGAGGATGGCGTTCCCTTTCCAGACACGCTCTATCAGCTGGTCCCCGTTCATTCGCTCAGAAGGAATCACACTCAAGCGCGCCAGGAGTCCAACCAGCTTGTCAGGCAGCGAAGATGACAAAGATGAGTTGCAGGATATAATTGTGAAGAGAAGAGTCGTTGTCTGTTACAGAGATCGGAAAGGCGGGCTCAGCACTGAAACGCACCCTGACCGGCCCGGTCACAACGTGCCCACCAAAGTTTTCAAGGAAGTTCCTCACCTGATCGTGTATCGCGAACTGGATGAGAACGGTGAAATGTGTAGAAGATATCTGGACATTAACTCCTGGTCCTTCATACAACTCTTGCGTCAGGTTGAGAAATTTACCGTCCATTCACAAAGCCAGGATTCAATGTCCACGGATATTCGATTTGTGGAGCCTTTCGTCGATCTGTTCTATCGCCGTGATGGCCTCCGTGGATACGTCGAGAGCGTTGATCCAACTACACCTGAGATGAGTGTCGACGTAAGAGAGAACATGGCTTGCGCCACCCAGATTCTTCAACTCCTTGACAACGAATTCTCATTTATCGGGAACACTCTAGACAGTTTTGACTCATCACAACCACCTAGCAGCATAAATTATACCGACCTTTGGATGATTTATCGCCCAGGAAAGCCTGTTTTTGGCATTGCGGATGACGGTGAGCCGATTTGCTTAATGGTAGACTCCGTTGTTTTTGAAATACCGGGTCCCAGGTCGGAGGTGGTGTCTGTTAAGAACATGGTGACATTGCATTGCTGGGCGATAGACTACGATGGACAGCGCTTCCGCCGCCGAGGATACTCAATCGTTCTCGGACCCTTTGTTGGGACGATGGAGATCTCCAATCTGCCCTGGCTACCGGAACGGTTTCTGAAAGATGCTGACAAGATCAAGGCTACTCTGAAGACAAGAGGCCGGGCTTTCTGGGACATGCAGGGCCAGAGTTATCGCCAACTGAGAGATGACCCTCAATCGGCGTTGGAAAGTGACGAAGCCATCAGAGTCATGGTCGACGAAGCGATGTATCGAAGTTTACGGGCTCGGGACACCGACGCGGCAATGGGATCTCCCCTGTACGAGGACGACAATATAAGCCATGTTGCCCACGTTGACGGCATACCAGGGGGTGTCCTTCGTGGGGCAAGAGTTCCCATCAACGATTTGGGAATCATCCCCGGGTCGAACTACTCCAAGGTTTGGTTCAATGAGTACGACAACATCGATCCGGCGTCCGAGCCAGACGAATTGGTCCTTATGTTGTGTCCGAGAAAGGTACATGCTTTTTGCATGCGAGACAAACTTTGGCGTAAGTGTTTAACCAAGAAAAAAAGAAGAAGGAACTGGAGAAATTCTGGACCTTGATGTAAGATCTGATATGGAAACTACACAGATGAATATAGCGTCAGCAAATTGGAACCTGTGCAGTTCCGCGAAAATGCATGGTCTCGGCTAGTTCTAGAACGAGAATACAAGGACGTCGTACAGGCCATGGTCAAGTCATATCTTAGCAAGACATTCAAGTTTCAAGACCTGGTTTTGGGAAAGGGTGCTGGACTTGTCATCCTTTTGCATGGACCTCCTGGCGTTGGAAAGACACTCACCGCAGGTATAGTACCGAGCAGATACCAGACTTCCTTGACCTGTGCACATCACTGATACAAATTCCGGTCATATCTAGAATGCGTGGCGGAGCTCTTCCAAAAGCCACTATACATGGTGACAGCCGGCGACCTTGGAACGAATCCTCACGAATTAGAATTGAAGCTATCTACCATCTTTGACTATGCGGTCAGATGGAACGCAATCTTGTTACTCGATGAGGCCGATGTCTTTCTCCAAGATCGTGACTATGAGAATCTGAGTCGCAACGCCTTAGTATCCAGTGAGTTAACTTCCGTTTCAATGACTCATAAATACCCTTGATATCCTCCAAGATCCCGTGGAACATACTTCTAATTCAGATAACTTTCCTGTCCAGTCTTTCTCCGAACTTTGGAATACTTCAACGGCATTATGTTCCTTACCAGCAACCGCGTGGGGGCCTTAGATCAAGCCTTCCAGTCCCGCATCCACATTACGTTAGGAATTCCAGAGTTCGACTGGACTCGCCGTAAAGACGTCTGGGGGATCTTCATCAAAGACCTGGGTCGCAAGCGTCCCGATGGCTCCCCTCCCCTTTTGACACACGACGAGTGTCGCGAACTGGGCCGCGAGGTTGTGGCGTCATGGGCCAAGGAACCGATCAACGGACGGCAGATCCGAAATTGCGTGCGGAGTGCTCTCGCATTAGCTGCGGACAAGGGGGAGAAATTGAGTGCGAAGCACTTCAATACAGTGATCCAACTAGGCAACACTTTTACGCAGTATATGAAGAGGTTGCAGAAGGCAGAGTCGGAGGAGATTGCCCAAATGAAAGGTGACCGACTGGCAACGATGCGGGATATTATGATGGAGACAACCCGGAGGGAGAACGAAAATCACGGTGGGCTGTGAGAATAAAGATGACATGTTATGGCTGTGGTAGATATTTCCGTCGCTCTCAACTGATTGAATATTGAGTAAGTAGGGTTAGCAAATGAGATTTTTACCGGCTAAGTATCTCTGACGCAGAAATAGCTCTTGCTAATCTTCAGCCGGTGGTCCAGCTCTGTGATGATTGTTATGTATTGCTGGTGAGATAGTAATGATCAAGTAGATTTATCTTATTAATATATTCTAACCAAGTTAGAATTACTTGAGGATATAAAAGAAATGATACATATAATTCATAGATCTTGCAGAACTAACCTGTTGTTCTATAACAGGTTCACTGCAAATGGAGATGTTCACGTTGAAACCTCTCCATTTTGCGATTCAAGTTATGTAAATACCCATTTTAAAGCTGGTTCCCTGTGTCATACCCATGAGCACTGTTTGTTGGCTCATATTTGCTTCTATCTTCTCCCTTCTGCTCTATCACATGAGTCATGACTAAAGCAGCGATGCTCCCGTCCAAACACGGAAATGGCATTTGTACGGAGTACGATTGACCACAACCAAAATGTACTGCTATCATTGATAATCGAGAAGCAAATACTTAACTGCTACTCTGCTGTAGCCTTAATTCCTTTTCTTCTTCTTCTTCTTCTTCTTCTTCTTCTTCTTTTATTCTTTTTATTTTGTCATGGCTGGGTAGACTTGGCGTGATGCATCGTCAGGTGGTTTTTCGTTGCTATGCCAACAAGACGGATATACAGAGCTGCTCCACCCCAACTGGCTGGAGATAACAAGGATGCAGAAAAGATTCCCAAATATTACGGAGTAAATTAGCTACTCAATCTCTGCAGCGAAGATATCCAGGGCCAGCTTCCGCGCCCGTGATTTTTTTTTAAACTTCGAACCCGGAATCAGGGCAGCGGAGGATACAGAATACAAACATCTCACCCGCAAAATGGCGAGACTGAATCTCGCAAATCCCGCCGTTCTCAACGCACGGCAAGCTCCCTTGAAACAAGCCAGTTCGCCTTCAAAGAAGACGACGAGAAGCGGGACGCAAGAGGTTCTCGCCGAGGAAGAGAAGGAAATTAATGCACGGTTTACAAGCCCAAAGAAGTCAACAACAGCTGGTGTGAGGACTGGGTCTACAAAGACGATTGGATCGACAAGCAAGAAAGCAAAGGGCTCTCCAGCTTTCGATATTTTTGAAGATGAAGAATCCGCGCCCGAGGACAGCAATGTCTACGAAGATCTGTCTACCAGTCGCCCCCAGACCGCGAAGACAAAGCTTCCTCTGAGACACGCACATTCGAACTCGATCATCTCACTCTCCCGAGCCTCAAAGCAAAAGCAATCTCGGAGCGAAGAATCAGAGGACGAAGACGACAAGGAGAACCGCCTTGTGGAGGACGAAGCAGAGGAGGCTTCTGAGGAAGAGGAAGAAGAGCATTCAGACGAGGGCGAGGAACTGGGAGCAGAATCAGATGAAGATACGGAGGCACAGGAATTCGAGAGCCCGAAACTTGCTACGCGCGAATTAAAGACAAGGAGGAATGCCAATGACCAGAAGTTCACGCGGTATAGGGAACAACCGCAGGAGGAATCAGAAACTGAAACCGAACAAGAGCCCGAGGACGATGATGATTTCGACTCCCTTGATGGCTTTATCGTCAGTGACAACGAAGATATCAGCTACCACGAATCGCTCGATGGACTGCCCGATGACAGTGACTTGGAGATTGGGTCCCCGTCCCCGAAGCCAAGGAGGAGGAGGCTGATACGGGGGCGGAGGCCGTCTCGTAAGGTGGAGCACAGCAGTCACTGGGAGGATGCGGTTGATCCCTTTCAGCACTGCCAGGAGCTTTCACCTCCTCCTAAATCTGAATCTCCTCCCCTGATCGGTTCAAAATTCACACGGCTATTTCCTAATGACCGCAATGATGAGAAAACGAAGCATTCTGATGAAAATGACGACATCCAGAAACATTCTACTCAAGTCTCACGGTGAGTTCCTCGCACTTAACAGTAATACTTGAATTCTGACGTCTGTGCAGCTCCTCGCAGTCAGATTCACCAATGAAAAAGAACCAGCAGAAGAAGATGGCAACGCCGCCATCCAGTCCGTCGAAAGCACACATTCCGTCGCCAGCAAAGACGAAATATCGGATACCGCCATCTCCCCACCGCGAGAGCTCCGACGCCTTCTGGAGCCAGGAAGTGACCAACGACTGGAACGACCAGTTCTCACCGAGGAAGGAGAGGACACCGGGTCGTGGGCTTCAACGTCTTCTCAGTGCGCTGGGAGAGGACGTTGTGGAGGAAGAGGACTTATCGGCTTCGTCTTCTCCTCCTCCTCCAACAGACGCCAAAGTGCCCAAGAGTCCGAGCAAGACGGCGCTGAAGAAGGCTGAGGCAGAGAAGAAAAAGGCCATCCTCGCGCGAAAGAAATCATTTGACAACAAGAAAGCCGGCCTCGCGGAGGAATTCCTAAAGTTCCTGGACGACAACGTCTCCGGGGGTCAGGTGCAGAAGCTGGCGGCAGAAACGGGCGGCATCAAAATCATCTGGAGCAAAACGCTGCAGACGACAGCAGGACGGGCCAACTGGCGACGGGAGAAACCGGCGCATCGCAGCGACGAAGAGAAGAAGCCGCCGCTCCACCACGCCTCGATCGAGCTGGCGGAGAGGATCATCGACTCGGAGGACCGGCTGCTCAACACGCTGGCGCACGAGTACTGCCACCTGGCGAACTTCATGATCTCGAACGTGCGCAACAACCCGCACGGGGCGAGTTTCAAGGAATGGGGACGCAAATGCACCGAGGCGTTGAGGGACCACCCCGTATACGGCGGGCGGGTCGAGGTCACGACGAAGCATTCGTACAAGATCGACTACAAGTACGTGTGGCTCTGCGTGGACTGCGGGCAGGAGTATGGACGGCATTCGAAGAGCATCGACCCGACCAAGTCGAGGTGTGGTCGGTGCAAGGGCATGCTGCAGCAGATCAAGCCGAAGCCGCGCAACGTGTCGCCTAGAAAGAACAACAGCAACAGTACTAACTCCAGCTCAGTCAGCCAGAAACTCGACGACGTGACTCGGGGCGTTGGAAGGGTTAGCTTGAATGGTTGATTTGGGTGAAGCACATGATATGATGATTGATTGATCTCTTTACTTTTGTTGAACCTGTACCATACAATGACGTCTCATCTATCTATAACACATCCGGGATTTGCATCTACTGTATGATGACTGAGATGAGATGGAATGAGATGAAACGAGATATGAACCCTGCTCGTTTTTGGTTTGTTTCTGATTCTGGTTCCGATTCGATTCTCTTTGGACATACCTGTTTAGGTAATTTATAAATATTTGATTTAACCTAATGTGAAGATGGGATACCCGCTGCTCTGTTCATTCGTTTGTTTATTTGTCGATAAGACACTCCATTAGTTCATTTATTATTCACTTGACTTGACAGATGACAACTTAACGACTGCACAAGCATTCACTGAATGCATTTCCTTCACTATTTAGCTTGACTAAATCTTAATGTATGTACAGGACATACAAAATTTATTTTTATTGTTCATCAAGTATTCTCCTTCTGGGCCCAACATTTGTCTTGCTCTCTTACGTCCTGCTTCTTGTTCTCATTTATTATTATATCATTACCATTATTGATGACTGTCTGCTCTTATATTTCCTTATATATCATGACATTTATCTTTTATTTTATTTATTTATTTTTTTTTAAAAAATCTCCTTTCTCATCTTATCATATATGTCTTCTTTTCCTTCTTTTCTTGTTAATCTTCCATTTCCATTCCTTGTCGCCTCCTCAATCTAACAAGCAAACAGACCCCAGTTTCGGACCTCCAACGTCTCGACAAACTTGCCTAGCAGGTTGCTCGCCAGCTCCTCCTCCCTGGACAGCGCGGCTGGGTCGCCCTGCAGATCGAACTCCTCGTGCGGCACGTTGACAAAGACCAGCAAGTCGGTATTCTGCGCCTCCAGCCGCACGAGCAAGAAGTGGCAGCTGTACGTGGAGAGCTGCGGCCCCGCTGCGCTGGAGCTCGCCGTGTCGCCGTCGATGGAGGTCGGGGCACCACCAGTGTTTGGTGCTGCTCCTCCTCTTTGCCGTTTGGGCGAGGTGAATGAGACCAGTCCAGCGTAAGCAGGCACAGGCGGATTGAACCGCTGCAGCAAGACGGGCTGCGGGGTGTTGATCACCTGCATCATGTCGCCTTCGTCGCAGATATCGCGCAGATGGTAGAGCGCGGCAGCGATGTCCTCGGTTTGCGCATTGGCATGAGCGCCCAGGGGAGGAACAGACTGTTCGGTCAGCATGCTGAGGACTTGTTCGCGTGAGACGCGTTCGTTGATCTCGACGATGAGGTTGGAAAGAGTTGTTCGCGAGAGGTAGATTTCTTGGTGGTCGGGGACCTCGCGAATGTTGCTGTTGATAAACGTTAGATTAGAGAATAGAAGACAAAAAAAAACATTCAATAAGACATAGATTAGATGTATCAGATGAAATCAAATCAATATGCTCCTAATTTACTCATCGAATAAACGATCATACAACAGAAACGCACAAAGTGGAGTATACAACAAGCACAAAAAAAAGTCATATCAATCTGACGGGAAATTCCAAGTCCAACCAGATAAACACGAGTACTGCGCATAGCGCCTAGAATGTCATAAAAGACAAAAAAAAAAAGAAAAGGCAACATATAATATAACCTCTATCGGCCCAGGAATCTCGATTGTCTATTTGTATGTGTGTATACGTACCTGGCATCGATCCAATCGTCGGGGCAAGCGCCCGCAATGGCGCCGCCAAAAAATAACTTTTCTGAAATGCCTGCCATGGTGGGAGAATGATTCAATAGAAAATGCGTCTTGATGTCAATCAACAGTGGACAGTATCAATCTTGATGATTGATTGCCCCCCGCCTTCCACCACTCACTCACTCACTCGAGGTATTTATCTTTGTGTAAATTCGACTTTTTTTTTTCTTGCCGTGTATCTAGTCTACCACCTAGGTAGACATCGATCGGAGCCCAAGACACCGCAGCAATCAGAGTGAATAATGCGCTCGCTTCACACCAGCACACCAGGCAGAAAGCTGCCAAGTCGCGGGGTTGGGAAACGAACAAATCGAATCAGCCAATCAACCAGCCTATCAGGTATGCAATGTAATATACCTAGGCAGGAAAAGTGAGATTGTTTGCTTTTTTCTTTTATTGTTATTGTTCACTGCCTGCAGACTGGGGTAATAGTCCGGTGTTGTTGGGAACAATCAAATCAGATGACGTCTGGAGTTCGTCGGCGTGGGAAGCACGTTCCGCGAATTTGTATTGGTCGGCCGAGGGGCTATACAGGTGACCTTCCAGTACACAGTCTGCCTACGGAGTACATTCCTACGTATACACGATTTTATTGCTACTGGACCGATTGATGGGGGAAATAAATGGATAACGTTTGAAAAATAAAAAAAGAAGACGAAGAGAAGAAATATTGACAATTGTGCATTGTCTTTAGCTGTGTGAAAGGTAACTGGCATTTCAGCTACAGCAATATGTAATCTATATATCTCTCAAATTCGTGTTCAGTCGCCAGTCACCAGGCGATTGACGTGGCCAGCGCAACGCTACACGTCCAGAAGCTCTTCGACATAATCCTCCAAATTGATCATCTTGAATCGAGATCCCCACTTCGCACGGAACTCCTTCCGCTTGTAAGCATAGCTGGTGTTCGTAGAAAAGCTGACAAGCTCGACCGTCCATCCCTTGCGCAGCGCGCGTTCGACCATCTTCAAAAATCCACCAGAGTACTCGGCTTCCGCCGCATCCCCGGTGGCAAGCACCATGGTGGCTGGCTTTTCAGCATCCACCAGGCTTTCCAACATCTTCAGGTGCAGAATTTCGTCCACACCCTGTTCCACCCACCGCTCCTCAGGGGAAGAGCCCATCTCAGAGCCGCTATGTACCCCATTAGAGAAGGCGTTTCGGAACTTCAGTTGACGGGGCGTCCACTGTTTCGCTTTGTGAACGCGATCCAGAATATTCGTTTCGTAGCCAATCTTCTCGGCTTCGTTTATCGCTGGAAAACGATCGGAGCCCACAAGGACCCTCTTAGCCGCAGGTCGGCCGCGCTCCAAAATAAGTGAAAAGTTATGAAACGACAATGGGAGCCGACGGATGCGGGTCGAGACCGGGATGTTTTGGGATATTTTGTAACAATCATGAAATCCGATCATAATCTGCAAAATAACGATTAGCAACAGTGGAGGCTTGAGGGCGTGCGCCCCAGGAAAAAACTCACATTAGAAGAATCAACAAAAACATGGACCTGTAAAGAAGGATCCGGATGCTTCTTCTTGCTGGACGAGATATGCACCGCGAACTCAGGAAATTGCTTTAATAATTTGATCATCAGACCAGCTTTCCTCTCGGCTGACGACTTGTATTTGGTGGATGGCACGACAGCAGATTCGGCTTTACCATGGTGCCTCGGGGAAGTCCTGTTAGGGCTCCCATCCAGCTCATCGCAGGAAGAAGGAGGTGTCAGAACAGGGTCTGATTTCCCAGATGGTGAGCCAACTTGGGGAGGAATAAATGATAGACTGGACGGTCGTGGAACGGGAGAGTCGAATATGCTGACATCCTCAACGGAGTCTACTCCTGTAGACGAGTCTGAGACGGCTTCGGGAATGGCATCATGGTCAGACAAGTCAGACAGGTCTGACGTCTCTGTCTTTGTGTTTGTGCGGCTATCATGGCGTTTCAAAATGGATACTTTCTGTGGAGGAGTCTGTGGAGGAGTCTGCGACGTATAGAGGTCGGAGGACGACGGTTTGCGGGGGCTCGTGTCGCAGTCTACTGCTTCCACAGGTATGTGACCATTATCAAAGGCCAGCTGAGGTGGCTGATTGATAAGGTCCCAGAGGGATCCAAAGTCCCCAAGCCTCCGATGACCTGCATCCTGATGTGGGATATCCTTTGGCTGGGTAGAGGACACCGAAGTCCGGCTGTTGGACTCCGACTGGCCTCGATCCGAATCAGGCGGAAGCTCACGATGCCGAGGACGGTACGGGTCAACGGTCGGATTCGTGGGAGAGTGAAGGAGATCAATCACCGCAGTGAAGTCCCAATTAGAAGACGATTTGGCTGATGGCATGGAAATATATTTGTTGTCGTACTAAGAATGATGGCTGAGATCGATTGGCGGTGACTCAAGATCTTAAAGAGGGATAAACAAGGAGACAAGCGGTGAAGCGCATGCATGTAACGACGATGGAGATATTGAGCGATACAGCGAGGAAACGAACATCATAAGAGGAACATTATGGCGATTCAAGCTGCAGTCAACACCATCTACACTCTGGCATGGGAGACAAGTATACAGAGAGAGTGACGATGACTCGAGTGGCGGAGGCAACCAGCTGCAGTTCCGTTCACCGCCTTCTGCTAAGCCTCATTCGGAAGCGGATCGGAACGGGAATGACACGTGATCTGTATCTATGACAACGCATCTTCTAATTTTGTCAACTCATCAAACTCATCCCTAGTACGATATTCTCTTACGTAGCTTCATTGACTTATTCATTCAAACTATTTCTGGCTTCTCACCAAGTCGCTTCTGCGAAGTATATTCCTACCCAGCTCTAGACTAGTTACGAATTGCTTCCAGCTCATGTCTCGCGAGCTGTTTTGGCCACTCGGTTCCTCCTCGGCGTCTCTCCCCAGATCACGTGATATATCCATGCTGCCCGACGAGAACACAAGAATAATAAATAACTGTTGGTCACATTAATAATAATATTTTAATTCGGGCGTACTAAATAAACAAAAAAATAATAATATGCAAAAATACACGGATCTAACCAGAAAGAGTACAGTCGACCGTTGACTGCACGGGCCTTGAGCGGGGAATTTTTCTCCCAAGCGCTCACAACATACTCCGGACTAGCAGGGGTGTGAGTGCTTATCTTGCAAGGCCGAATGCAGCACTGCATCGTCCTGCTAGGTAGGTGGAGAGATTGAGATTGATCATGATGGGAATATCATTCATAAGACATATACATATATGCACGATGATAATATACACAATATGAATGCGGTTATTGCTGTTCTCTATTACTTGAGATGGCATCTATCGTCGAAAAGAAAAGAAGATAAACCCAGACTCATTCTATATTCACGCATGCAACCAACATAACATCATCACAGTAGTATCCCTAGGTAGTAAATAGTGTAGCAGATGATGCAAATCGTGAAGACTTGTCCAGCCAATGGCTGGCAGCACTAGAAAGGGAGGGGCCTGCGTCGCTGCCTCAGGTCCAATGGGACAGATAACATGACCACGAGCTGTGCCGGCAACCTTGGAAGGAAGCTGCCACCTGCAGGTCTAAAGCCGAAGCAAGACGCAGCTTCCGCCCTAGAGCGCATGCAGATCTTAAAACGGTAAGCGTGCAGACTGTTCCTTCCCCTCTCCCACCTAAACTAGCGACATATGCATGCATGTACCTTTCCCCTCTTCAACATGAGGGGGAAGAGGGGCTTACTAGTCTGGTTTTGTTTCGGCTTTCTTGCTCCAAAGACCATGACACACCCAACCATATGGCTCTCCGAATTCTGCAGAAACGGCCCTGAGGATTTCTTGCTCCCCGTCTGCACAGTTGTCAAATTTCCGACCCAGCTATAGACCCGCATCAGGATCCTGCCCAGCCTGCTGTGTCTGACACCTTCGTCGGCGAGATAAGCAGATTGGCGAACACACGCTGTTTGTCCTCTGGTGGGTCCGCAAGGCAATGCAGCAAGTACATGAGGAAGACGGAGTTCGAAAACTTCCACTTAATGATCACTATTACTGGAGGACAGCGGGCGCAGCACATCTGCGAGGAAACCGACTGTTCTGGTCTCTGGGCGCGCTGATGCCTTCGACCAGCGCTAGTTTCTGCCCCCAGTCTTGTCGTTTCTCCTTATTGTTACTACTGTCGTTGTTGCTAATGATAGTATTATCATAGTCAGAAGAAAGAAGACTTTCGTCCTCGGGCGGTGTTAATAACAGCCGCGGGGAAATAATCGGTGCCCACATTGAGGTCGAACCAGCATTTCCTTGGGAGACGGGCAACAAGGCGGACTTTGTCCGACATCGCTAGGCGAAGCTGTTACTGAATTGGAGGACGAAGAAGCCAGTGTTCAGCCCGTGATTATGGCGTGCGCCAGCAGTCAACTTGTCCGGAGTTGTTGCTTACTTGGAAATTCGTAGCAAGATCTGAGAGAAGATACGTATATGGCCATGGGTAACACCTGTCCCAGAAATGAACGAAGAGTATAGACTCATAAAGATCAGGGGTCCTAGAGGATTTATGAGATGGCTCAAGACAACAGCATGGCTTCCACCTGTACAGCCTTACAGGGGACTTCCCAAGGCGGCATTGAGCTAGGGCTCGGCCCTTCTGACACGATGACTGATGACTAATCAACTTCACGTGATTCTTCACTGGAAGTTAACGTGCGTAGCTTGCACAGCCACAAGGAGTGGATTCAGTTAACCCGACCAACTAGTTTAGTTTCCCGACCATTCTTGGCAAAAGTCATGTGATCAGATTCTGCTGGATGGCCCGTGTCTATTACCTGGCCTTATAAATTACAAAACATAGAATTTGAATTTCATTTACCATAAATTACTAGATTTCTCTATACTACCACCCCTTAAGACCCCCCAGCCCCCCCCCTAGTGAAGCCCCCCCTAGTGAAGCCCCTGGTAGGCACCTAATAGCAGCAAAAATATAGGGATTCTTTAACCATTTTTTAACTGATTGCGAAATGTTTTTAG